TGTGTCATGTAATAATGTGGCTGTTGGAATGTCCGAAGTAAAATAAGTGTTGAGATTTTTAAAAAATCGGCTGCGTTTAATGAATAGAATCATCGAAGCGAACGCTAAAAATAACCAGAAATTATGATTTTTCAGCTCAGCTTTGCACAACTTGGAAGCAAGTAACGTGGCAAAAAAAGCTATTCGACCTAAGGACAAAAATGTAAGCATTAATTATACCCGTCCAGTTTGAAGACCCGAACACGTGAGGCAGCTGCCTTTATCTGCATTGTTATACTTATAGCAGTAAATTTCACGTAGCCATGTTTCTACGCGTACTGCGTGACGCACGCTACTGCAATTAACGAGACTCGAGATCAGATTCAGAGGGCTCTGATTAGATTTAGAGCAAACAGTAAATTAGTGGAAACTTAATATTTGTCCCTTATCATAGCTTGTAACTGCCTTTCGGTACTTGGCACATTCGCTACAATTTTATTTATGATCTGCACTCTGGGATTTCAAAATGCAAAAGTTCGGAGTTTTGGAATGAAATCATAATAATAATATTATTGACATATTTTTTTCTTCAAATTAGCAGGGTCTTGGAGTGGCGCATGGCGGCGCAGTTAACTGGCGAAACCTTACAAATTTAAGTTCATTTAAATAACATTAAACCACTGAGTCCGGTAACTTACCCAATGTGCTACAAGTACATACTATTTAAATAGTGTTTTAATAATTTGCTGAAACAAATAACCAATAGAAAAGATGTATCATTATTTACAAAAATTACGTCAATAATGCTGCACTAATAGTAATGATAATCTATGCTAAATACCTTAGGCATTAGGGCCAATAAATTTTGTTCACAATAAATTTGGTTACCATAATTTTGGTTATCATAATTTTAGCCACAAATTTCGCAAATTTTCAGCCTGCAACAATTTTAATCACATTTTTGACTTTTCGAGACCATTTTCCATTCCATTTACCTTAAGAACGACAAATTTAGTCTACCCCGTCTGAGCATTACAGATTAAGCTGCAATGCATTACTCAAGAATTTCAATAACATCAGATCCAGATCAGAGTTTATGACTCTGTATCACTAAGTTTTTCAGTATAACACTGTTCAGTTTCTTTTTCACCCTTTTTCGACTTTACTATTTCTGTCGGTACGAGGTAGTTTATGTCGATATGATCCTTCAGCCGTTTCAACAGAGCATCATGCATTGGGATGGATCGATTAAGAATGTAATGTGTAAGACTAAGAGGACGAGCGTGCTAAATCACTCTACAGTCGATCTTCGAGATTGTTCTAAAAGGGCCCGGCCCCCGACTGTTGAAACCAACTTGAATCGATGTATTTTTGGACGCTGATTCCGAATCATCCCCATAACATAGGGTTAAATGCTCCCCTGGTGAGATATTGGCTTAGAGAACTTCGCCGCTTCGACGCGCCGCGCAAACTAGCATTCTTGCTTCGCATCGACAATATCGTTGCTCTGCTTCGCAAAGCAACGATCTGGAAGGGTTGACATCGTCAATCAAGATATTGGCAAACAACTGTCTCGATCACGTGATTTGACCGTATAAGGAATTAGTTATAGGGGGTGCACGATAAAAATAAACTTGCTCGGATTTTAAAATTTTTTGTACCACTGTTTTCTAGACTTAGAGACTGTGAGAATTTTCACAATACCAAATTTGTCATACCTTTTTGGAAAGATCAGTGAGTTTCGCCTAATTTGACCAAAATCGTTGATTTTTGTCGTATTATTTGGATATATCTTCGGTTCCTTGAATGAGATCATTCTCAATTCTGAAAATTGGCGACGACCTTCCAATAGGGCTTTTACAACTGTCCAAAAAATTTGGTGGATATCGGAGTTGATATTCATATAGTGATTAAAATGGGGCAAAATACGCTGCTTTTAGCTGTAACATAATCATAATGTCTGTTAGTTGGATATGCTTTAAATTTTTCGGACACTTTCATTGTAAGTATATGAGTAAGCTTACCAATTTTTGTTGCAATTGGAGGTCGGGAAGGATACTCAATATCTATTTATTTGAAGAAAATTGTGCTGGCCGAAATTAGCGCTAAAAAACCATCCTACAGTCGGCACGCGCGGCTCACTGTCGATGGTGCACTACCTATTAGTTAGTTTAATTTCTTGTTAGTGGTTAGTGTTAGAGTTTCAGCATATGATTTTGTTAAGAATTGGGTTAGGGTTAGGGTTGCGATCAGATATTAGAGGGTTAGGGTTTTGAATAGTCGTCCAGGGCCAGCTAAAGAACGGGTTGAAGAAGTCACGTGACAGTCGAGTGTAGAGTGATTAATCATCATCCCCAATTCAAGAGGAGCACCCTTTAAGTACATAATAGGAATTTGGTACGGTTTTGTGCAGTAGGAACGGTGATGTCATTATATTTTTATTAATTATAAAGCCCTATAAACAATGTAAGCTTAGTTATATTCAAATTTCAATATTCATGTCATGTCATGTATACAACATAAACAAATATACTCTACTGAAATTTTGGTCTCCTTTAAAATTAGTCGCCGAAAAATTTAGTTTCATGAAATTTGGTTTACGACAATTTTTACGTCAGTTTTAGATTGATCGCAGATTCCAAAATAATAAAAATAACACGAAATAATTTACCTGGGGACCCCAGGCTTTTAACATTATATTTATGTTCATAATAGAGATTTGGCGGAATGACTGGCTGATCGCCGCTTAGTCGTATGAGTAAGAAATTATGATTTTCCAACACAGCTTTGCACAACTTGGAAGCAAGTCACGTACGCGCACGTGGCAAAAAAGCTATTCGGCCTAAGGACAAAAATGTAAGCATTGATTATAGTTATACCCGTCCAGTTTGAAGACCCGAACACGTGAGGCCGCAGCTGCCTTTATCTGCATTGTTATACTTATAGCAGTAAATTTCAGTTGGAACAAATATTTTATGAATATCACCCGTTAATGTCAATGATTAGAGCAAGCAGTAAATTAGTGGAAACTTAATATTTGTCCCTTATCATAGCTTGTTATAAGTGTAACTGCCCTTCGGCACTTGGCACATTCGCTACAATCTTATTTATGTCTCATGATCTCAGATCTGCACCCTATGATTAATGATAATCACAGGGTGCATATTTTCAAATTTCAAAAGCTCGGAGTTTTGGAATGACGTCATACTATTAATATTATTATATTGTTTACCTGGGGACCCCAGGCTATTATGTTCATAAAAATAATAAAGATTCGGCGGAATGACAGGCTGAGCGCCGCATAGTAATATATGTTGTCATCTTTTTTTCAAATTAACAATGCTTTGGAGTGCAGCGCAGTTAATATATAACTGGTGAAGCCTTACAAATTAAAGTTTATTTAAGTAACATTTAACAGCTGGACTTCAGCAGATCCTTCTTAGTGACTTCCTTCTTCGGGAAACGCCTGTTGTTTGCTCTCACCAAGAACCTCGCTGTCTCTCTTATGAGGCTGGCATCTGTGTCGGTAGTCTTCATACAGGGAGCAGGTCCGGAGGACGTGTACCTCATCTTCGATGATGGGGTCGAAGAATGGCATTTCTGCAAAATTTTCGAGCATGTCCATGTCCTCTGTTGAGCAAGCTTTACATATCCGACGTACGATCCGGTTTCTTTTGTGGGTTCCATGACGTCCTGTCTCAATATTGAAATTGTGTGAGCTTGATCTGAATTGAGCCAGCTTTTTGGATTCAGCGTGCGACAGATTCATATTGAGGTACTGCTCATAGCCAAAACTCATCTTTATGGTGTTGTAGAACGTTAGTTTCTTGTTGTTCCATCTCTCAGTGTTCCATATCTGCCTGAAGTTAGAACGCATCGCTTCTTTGATTTGTGAAGGTGAGAGTTTTAGACGATATATATATATGGATCCGTGCCATTTTACTGACACCACGGCATCAACTTTAACGCGACTTTCCGCAAAAACCGTAAAAGATATACAACTTAAATTTTTTTTGACTGGGTCAAATGCTTTAATGGCCTTCAAATCAGCGTGAAAAAATAAAAAATTGGCAAAGGAATAAGAATTTTAGTGCCCCGCTTTAGGGTTAGACGGGATCCTGCTAGTAAGTATAACTCACCCAATCAATGTGCTACATACTATTAGCCTCCTCATCATCATGTCATATGTCGAAATGATACGTTATTAATGATATTTCAGTGGGCGAAACTTTTACAATTCTGAGAATAAACAATGGGCGACAGTCTTAAAATTTTCTTAAAGTTTTGTTAGAGCACCTAGCTCCGGTCTTTCTGCCAGTTAGAGTGAAATATATAATATATCAGTACGAGGTCTCATAATGTACGAGGTTGAGGAATCTAATCACAACACAATTGCATGACCGGGTGAAGGGGATTATTGTTAATGTTATTGATCACGTATTTCTACGGAGATGTTATGGTGTACGAGGTCGAAGATACTTTACTCACTAGTGAGGGTGATATCAGGAAGCGAATTACAGAGTTTATTTTTTTACTTTTAATTATCGTTTGTATAGTACGAGAAAATATAGCTACAAGTAGAGAGCATGCCCCAAAATCTGGATTTGGGGCATGTTCAGGGTATTTGGCTAAATTGTGCCTAATTTTGACCAAATATGATTATGGGCGTGGCTGCCCCGTGGGCAACGTTTGGCGTTTGGGGTCCGGGACCCCCTCAAAAGTTCGGTCACCGGTCCTAGTTTGTTGGTCTATCTCAAAACCAAGTTTCACAAAAAAAGGTAAGAAGGAAGGTAACCAAAAAATGTTTAGGCGCATAGGTAGTGAACCAAATATGTCTGTATTTTCGAAATTTTACCTCCTAACTATTTCTCCGTCCAACATATCACCAGTAAGGTCACACGTCAAATCAGTGAGAATCTATAAACACAATTTAACAGTAACACGAGACTTTATGTTTACTACATTACGTTTGATTATAAGCTCACACTAGCGAGCTACTCTTACATAAAAGAATGAATGCCAGTTTAGTCAGCGTATTTTGGAGACGATGCTCTGGCAAAGCGAGGAGTGTTGAAGTTGATCCACCCCTTGGAGCACGGCATAGTGACTGATTGGGACGCCATGACAGAGGTAATCCCGTAATCTGCCATATTTTCTGTGTTGTAATTATTTGTCAATTACCTGTCATTTTCAATGGCCTGTACAATGTACAACGTACATAGTTTTACAATTTCTATTGCAATAAAGCAATAACATTACGAGATAGTGATTAATTTGTGTCTCTACAAAACTGACAGTTTGTCTGCAGGTGTGGGACGAAGTGTTCTATAACGTGTTAAGAGTGTCCCCTCAATCTCATCCTGTGTTCCTGACCGAGACTGCTCTCAACCCTAAGGAGTCTAGAGAACAAATGACCGAGATCATGTTCGAGGGATTTAGAACTCCTGCCATGTAAATTTAGTTGTGTAATACAAATAATCATGTAATAATTTAGTAAATTTAGTTGTGTAGTCTCTTCTAATCCGGATTAGAAGAGATTAATTTTTGCCAGCCTAACATTTACGTTTAAGCCCTTAAATCATTCATTTCTCCCAAGAAAAAGAATATTCAAACTAATTTTATCAATGATGCTAGTCACATGGCGACAATTATACAATGCAAGATTTCACAACTTCAAAATATTGACCTTGACTCTCAACCAAATCGGTATATGGTATATCACACTACTAAACCACAGGTACGTTGCAATCCAGGCACAGATGGCACTTTATTGTACCGGGAGAACTACTGGAATTGTGCTGGATGTTGGGGACGGAGTATCTCACAGCATCCCTATCTACGAGGGTTGGTGCACATAATATTGGAATATTATGTTATATGAATAATATTATTACATAATATTTGAACAAATCTAATTTAGTATTTTCAATATGAAACGTTGAATTGCCATTAGAGAATTTAGTTTTGACAAAAAGAAGCTGTCGCGATGTTTCATGTTTATAAAAATATCCTCGGCTAAATAGTGCTTGGTGTCAATTATTATAGTTGTAGGAAAATTAAGGCTACATCATCTTTCTGCACTTAAAGAAGAAGTATACTTGGTGGATATACTCTACCATCCTCTATCAACAAACTATTATTCATAATCATATAGCTGTATATTAATCTCCCCTAGGATATTCCTTGCCGCACGCAGTACTGAGAAAGAACATAGCCGGTAGAGACTTGACTTCTTATCTCACAATGTTGATGCGACAGCGAGGTTTTAACTTCGTCACCGGAGGAGAGCTAGAGATCGTCCGGCAAATTAAGGTAAGTAAGTACAATTGGTTGCCATGGTGGTTGCCAAGGTGAGTAGATAATACAAGTGGTTGCCAAGATCAATGTGCAAAAATTCCTGAAAATCCTGTCAGTATATAATAAAACTGATTGATACTATGACCGACTCGCAGGAAGAGCACTGCTACGTAGCTTTAGATAAACCGTACGAAGACGAGCTTCCAGAGCTCCCGATAGAAAGAAGGTACGAGCTTCCTGACGGCCAGATCGTCACTATTGGTAAGCACTTTTACTTAATGAAGACTTTCAAATAAACCAGCGATGACCGTTTCGCTAAAGTCAAACGACTACCTTAAAAATAAATAAATTTTTAACTTATTGTTTGTCAAAATGAAAAGACTATTGTCCATGTCAAATGTCAAGCTGCCAAATTTTGTAGCGTAATGCACTATAGTGTGTAGTGGGCCGCGCCGCATATGAAATAATGCTTCTCATAGCCACGACGAGATTGTAGCAAAGCTACAAACTGGAAGGAATTGACATCGTCAATCAATGCCAAATCAAACTTTTTATAGTCTGGCGCAGTCAGCTATATTAACGCTTTTTCTTTAACTGAGTCAGCTAATACCTGTTTCCACCAGGACGAGAGAGGTACGAATGTCCGGAATGTTTATTTAACCCCTCCCTGATCGGTGCTGAAAGTGAGGGGATACACAAGCTGATATACGACTCTGTTTCAAAGTGTGATATCGACCTTCGGGCTGAGTTTTATAAGAATATCGTCCTTTCAGGTAATGCTTAAAAAATTGTGATGATTGTCAGTACTGTTTACTATTATAATTAAATTTAACTCATATTATATTTTAACTCATATCATACTCAAAGTCAAAACACATTTGTGTTCTGAAGACACATGAATTTTGGTACGTAAACTCATTCGTTGTTCGTTCAAATTGAACGCATAAGTCACAATCGACCGGTTAAAGTAGGGAATAAGTCACCCCAATAACCTACAACCCCTCCCAGGCGGAACGAGCATGCTGCCGGGTATGGGATATCGGGTAAAAAGAGAGCTGTGTTCCCTCCTCCCCGCCACAGTGACCGTCAACATCACAGAGTGGGAGAAACGGCAGTATATGGTGTGGAGGGGAGCTTCTATCCTTGCCTCCTTGTCTTCCTTTGCGTGTCAGTGGATCTCAAGTCAGGAGTATGATGAACATGGTCCTAGAATAGTGCATAGGAAGTGTTTATAATGAAGGAGAGGTGTGTAAGATAGAAGTCAGACTGGGACGCTAGTTAAAGCGCTTTCAATCCAACAAGGTTCCATATGAATGTTTATACATTTGAGATCATAAAGTTTGGTGCTATTTACACTTTGTTAAATTAGATATTTGAAGTAGGAAACGAAATTTTGCTCGCTGCCAGTTTAAACAATGTCTTTGGGTTTACAGGGTTGAGGATAGTGTTAGGGCAATAGCACTAGCAGTTTGTTAGTGTTATTGTTATGAATAAGTCGGTGTAAATTCAAATGTCGAACACCTTGACCGGAGATACTATTACTCGTACATCATTTATACGAAAGACCGTATAATTTGTATAAAAAGCTTGTCTTAATATTGTTGACGTTTCTTAGCTGACGTATTTATTTGCTGATGTGTTTATTCTTGAGATCCCTTCAAAGGGGCAAATCTCCTTTGTTTCATGACTTCTCATTAACTTCTAGATTGCTTCTTTAAATTTGATTTCCTTTGTTCCGAACAAAAAGAGCTGTAGATTACTACAACAGAACGACCTGTTCTTTTAAAATGAGCAGGTATCTGGACGCGTGTAGCGACTGAAACTAAACAAACAAGCAGAATTTCTGCGATCCATATTCCATACTTCACAAATTGAAACGACTGTATGTTGGAAATCTAGAATCTAATATCATCAATACAGTAACCATCCGGGGACGTTTAGTTAATTGTTACCGTGGTTATCTAACAGTTCACATAACACTTTAACATACGTAGAAAAACATCTCTGGTTGTAGATATAATACATCTTCCTGGTTAAGTTAATGATAATTTACAAAGTTCAACCCGTTATACATATATAAAACTTAGTTAAAGCAATAAATAATTTAAATGCAATAATTACAGTACTATTCACTTCTGAAAATGATAATATAAAAGACATCGTATCATATTAAACTGTATTATACACTAAAAAATAAACACACAAATTCATTTTCTTCTTCAACAAAAAAGAAGCTACAACTAAAACTATCATACAAATAATAAAACTCTGAGAAGTCCGGCAACAACAATTTCTACTTGTTTTGTTGCTCGCTCTATGACACGTACTTTTTGTCAAGTTTCTACTTATTGAGTCGCGGGTGTGTCCATTATATTTCACCGGAGGTCTACCGGGGTCACGGTTTTGAGCTAAAGTGTGCTAAGTCAAGAGAGACTGGGGCTGGCAACTCTCAAATTCCAGCTTCGTACTCGTTAATTCCATTCGCTCCTTCGTTAACGAATATAGCACCCTCCAGATCTGAAAATATAATAATTAATATCGAGTGTTCATGCAGGGAATATAAATATCATATAATTGATTAGAACTAAAGTTGAAGTTTATTTAGATTGCAGAGTGCTTATTTAAAGGAAGATGAGCTTCAATTTATCTAACTTAAAGGGCGTGTAAATGTGAGATTTGACTTTCGTATATTAATAACATATATCTTTCCTTGAATTCAGAATGGTCTCCTAAGTAATTACATCAAACAACGAACTTTCTAGCACACAAATTACGCTAGATATCGCTTGCTTACTCTAATTCAGTCGGAACGTCAAAGTGTCTCCCTTTCTACTGCCTACTATTTATCTACGTGTTACTGCAGTGAAGAAGTTGATTATTTGTGTATGAGAAACTTACTTGATCTAAATCGATTAGCTCTGAGTCGGTTGAAGTTGGAACTGTTGACAGAGTCTAGCAGGAGTTTGTGAAGGTAAATGTATTGAGGCTCGTTCTGAACCATAGCGGACCTCTGCTGTCTCATACTGTTTACACATCCCAGCACATCAATAGTGTCCTCTTTAGTTAGTCGGTCCAGTGTAAAGTCCATACCGACGAAGACTCCAGTCCACCCAGCGCCAGCACTGCAGTGCACGACTAGCGGCTTCTTGGAGTCCTGTCTCATGTATCTGATGTAGTAGAGGAAGGTAAGGAACTTGACTTCCACTGGGTACCCTACATCGGGCCACTCTGTGTAGTGGAACTGCAGGACGGTCCTGGTGGATCCCTCCACTTCTAACTTGAGCTCTCTGACCAGGAATCCTGGGAACTTGTTCTCAGACTGTTTGGTGACTTTAACAACTCCGTACTGCTCCACAGATTCATCAGGCCAGTACTTGACGCTCTTCTTCTGGCCGCCTTGTTCTAGGTTTGTCAGCATCACCACAGAGGAGACGTTCTGCTCCCATACCATCCTCCAGAAGTCGTTCACTGTGTTATCTAGAGGACCTTGAGTGGCGATGTAAGCATTCGGGGTGACGTATCCGTTTATGTAACTGGCGTTGATATAGTCAGAGTTGAGATCGTTGTTTATCTTCAGGAGTCTGACTCGGGAGTGGTCATATGTTGTGATGGTTCCATATCTGTTCTTATCGTAATTCTCCGTTAACTGAGATACGATCTTCTTTGTGTCACTTCCCACACAGATGCTCCTGAATTCCTTGATGAAGCCCTCGTTTTTATTGATTGCCATGCCTCTGATGTAGTCGTTGAATCCGGACACCTTGAAGGGGTTACTATTGCCAATCTGTGCTCCAGAGTCGTCTTTACCCCTAACAATAACATGCTTGCTGCAACTAAAGGCACTCTCAGGCCTCATCTCTACATCTTGTTCACTATCTTGATATTCCTCCTCCTTTTTCTTCTTCATGTAGAAGCAGCAGAGTGGGATACAACAGAGAATGAGGAGGAAGATGATGACCAGGATCACAATCACAACTATCAAACCACCGGACAGACCGTCCTTCTCACAGAGACCAGCTGAGGTTTCCATCAGCTCACCGTCGTCACACCTATAGGAGATATACTCAATGTTGGGGTTTGATGTGCTCTTAAGGGTGTACCCTTCAACACATTCGACATCGAAAGTCTCCCCAGGAATGTAACTGGTGGCTGCTGTTATGCTCAAGTGGTTATCTGAGACCATAGCTGCCGGTACATAACAGACCTCTGAAAAATAAACCATGGTTAGCAATTAACATTCTTAAGAAATCTACGGAAGCAAAGAATCATTAATAAGAAGCCACGCTTTCTGAGTCCCCAATAAGAAATCCCACAACTTAGTTATCTAGAAACCAACCGTGACAAAAGCCTTCAGGATCGTCCAAGGCTGCAAACTGGTCACAAGAGAACGTGTCATCGCTACCATATGGAGGAGAGAAATTGGAGTCACACTTAACAGTTACTCCGATACCATTTGTTATGGTACTGTCTCCAAGTGGGTAAGTGGATCCGTTGCTCACATTAGGGACTCTGCACGAAACTGAGAGGGAGTAAGGGGTTTAAATAATTTACCTTGATGTAGATTTGTATTGTACAATCATTAATTTATAGCGAGATTACGAGAAATTATAGCGGGATAACGAGAGATGGATACCATTGAGCAGCAAGTAGTGAGAATGAAATATGTTTAAGAAGAAGTAAAGTGATTGTAACCCTACCTCCACATTCATCAGACTTTGCAGAGGCAGTTCCGGGGGTAGTCTCATCACCAGGACAGGCTATACAGTAGGTTTTACCTGCCTCATACTGGTATTCACCCTTAGGACACGCTACGCACGCTGTACCGGTCGAAAAATATCCCGCAGGACACTCAACTGAGAGAGGGATAACACATTAGGGTACGTTGAAATAGTAAATATCAGTGTCTTCCCGTAAAAATTAATGAAACATAACTAAAGCGTCCTGAGCTGAAAAAAGGAGCTACTATAATATCACTAAATTTACAAACCACACTGATCCTTGAAAGCAGGAGCTCCCAGCGGGCATTCCAAGTCCCAAGCAATTACGATTGAATCAAATTCCCAAGAAGCAGCTCGTTTATTGGTATTGTCTCCATCAGATATAGTGATCTTTTGTTGTAAATCTTCCAAGTCCAGATAATCATGTTTAGCAAGGTTAATGTAGTTTACCGAGTATTTCACCTGCAGAGAGAAATTATCAAAATTAAAAGAGATCATTTTCGAGTGAATTATTGTAGGCAATAATCAAAACGCTATGTGGAAGCAAAAGTAATGCTTTAAGATACGTTTGAATCATAACACAAGTTTCGAACCAACTTACAGATAACGCGTAGCCATCAGGAGTAGTGTTGCAACCAACAAGAGTTTCTGTTATTCCGGTCAGTTCCAGATCTACTTCTCCTTGATATCTCAGGAAAGCAGCCGTCTTCTTTCCCTCAGTATCGCAGTCTCGGTCTCCATTGCCGTAAGTAACGGTTACAGTCACAGACTTTGAATACGGAGTGATTTTTTCTCCGCAAAACTGGAATGAGCTTACAGAGCTAGATACAGACAGTAGGTTCCAGCCATAATCCTCACACCTAAGACGAGGCGGATCTTGAAAGGCAGAAAAGTGTCCAACACATTGCAGAGTAAGGTCAGGGTGATCGTAATTGACAAGAGCGGAGATAGGGGCGATGGTAGGACACAGCAGTTTCTTCCTTACACATCTAGGTGGAGAGCTCCAAAGCGCTCCTCCCGAACACCTGTATTCAGACTGACCGGAGAGTTGGAAACCGTCATTACACTTCACAGAGGCAGTTTCTCCGGGGAAGATAGAGGTTCCGGATGCGGTGACAACTCCATCATCAAGATCATACACGGCGTAACACTTTTTGTCTATTGCGGCGACGATCGTTCTTACTTTCGTAACATCAGGAGACCCATCCTTAAAAGAGAAATCAACAGTGCAGGTGATCGTAACCGTAGAACCAGACGTTAAGCTGTTTCTCCATGTAACGGTTGTCTTGGAAACATCAGCATTAGGGTCTGAACCCAAAGATAGTGTTTTTTGGTTGGAGGTCAGGGTTCCATCAGGGACTGTCCACTTAATCTTCTTAGCGAAGATATCAGCTGTTTGGGTGGCCGTGCACTGCAGCTCGGTATCCTCTCCAGCAACTAGTCCTGTACTGGTAGGTTCAGCGATGTAAATTCCTGCTACATTGAGTGTATCGCTTTGAATAAATAAACTTTCCTCGTCTCCCCAAGTCCACATTAATTCAGAGGTGAAGTCTCTACTTTCATACAAATTCAAGGGTTGACTAAGATCGATCTCAGTTTGATCAGGAGCAAAGACTCTTGGGTTAAAAGAGGCGGGTGAGCTCTTCAGTTGGATCATAGTATCATAGAACACATTGTTCTTGTCTTCGGGAACCAGAGCATAGTTCTGGAGATAGACCTTGTAGCCAACAGTAACTTTTGTCTCGAGAATGGTGGCAGAACAAGAGTAACCAGTACCAGGAGCGGAGATTGTGAAGGTAGACGTCATGATCTGATCATTTCCTGAGTACTTGGTGCTGATGAGAGGGTTGTCAGAGCCCTGCTTATCTCCGTTAGCATCAGTCCATGTTACAGGGGACCCCAGAGGCATCCTCAGGACACAAATCAGTGTCAGAGAATCTATCTTGCTGCCTGGGTAATAAATCTCATAGTTTCCAGCAATGGGTGCACCGTAGGTGGTGATGGTAAACTGATCAGACTTTATAGTCTCACCTCCCACGTTCAACTCGTAGTAATACCTGCCGGTACTAGCTACAGAGCGTGTCAATGGAATTGACACGCTCTTCAAGCCACCAGATGCAGTCTTAGTGTCTTGTTGAGTGTTCTCACTATCGTAGAGAGCCAGCACGATGTTATCTTTAGGAGAGGAGCCCACCTGAGCTACGATTTCAAATGTCCCGGCTAGATGAAGGATGTCAGATGGTTGCTTGTAGAAACCAACAAAGTAGGATTGTCCTTCTTCTTTGTGCACGTCTCCAAAGTTGTTGTAGTAGGCGGTGCAAGCAAAGTTAGTAACACCCTCAGTGAATAAGCTTAGAGAGACTTCGTATTTGGAGAAGTATTTGGTACCCCCTCCTTTGGCCATGGTGCTCATCGCATCGAGAGGTGTCTCAGTGGTCAATAATCGTCCTTGGTTAGAAATAGTAACACCATCGTGATCTCCAAATACCACGCAGGAGATCTCAACCTCCTCACCGGACTTCACTGCGTCAGGAACGATCAACTGTACTTTCATCACCACAAGTTTAGCGGACTTGCTGCTGACAATATCTGCAGCCACACAATAATAGATACCTGCCTGTTCCGCTGTTAGACTGTGCTCTGCTATGGTGTCACCTGTCTCTGTCACGAAGGTGTGATCAGGGGTTTGAAAACCAGTTGGTGTGGTCCACATTATACTGACATAACCTGACGCTTTGCAAACAAACGTAGCAGCTTGTCCTTCATCCCGGTACAGGTCCTTAGGAGATGAGAGGATCCGTACATAGTTCAACATAGCACCGGAGCTCCTGCCGTTGTTACCTTCGCAGAAATACTCGCCGTTATCTGATTCAATGGGATTTGAGATGGTCAGAGTAAAGAGGGTGTTACCGTTAGCACCACTGTTCTCCGAGGTTTGGGTTGATAGGTCCAAAGCGTTGTTGTCTGTTTTCTTAAAACTGACGGTGGTTCCAGCGGGTACCAGACACTCAAACTTTACACTCTCCCCAATAGTGTACTGGTCAGTTGGTCCCGAGATCACGTTTGTGTTAACCACGGTGTAGGTGTATCTGGAAGTCTCCACGGAGTAACCATCTTTAGTTCCGAGACAGTAGTAGTCAGCAGTCTCCGGAGTGTTTGAGTTCAGGGTGTAGGAGGCAGAACCGCCGTTAGGGGTAGTTTGCACCACAGTTTCAGTGCCACCTGAGCTGACCTTCACGATGCTGATGGAGTCAACATTGTGCATCTCGCACTCGATATCGTGGTTGGTGTTTACTGGAATGAACATATTTCGGCTGGGCTCTTTGATAACACCTGGAGATTTAGAAAAAGGGGAATTTATTACAAGACATTTACTGAAATACTGCACGAAGAGGGGGTTTCCTACATTAAAACTTCGGTTTTCCTACATTAAAAATTCAGTTTTCCAATGACAAGAAACATAGTCCAAAAACAAACTAACGAACCTATAACGTTGAATCCATTGCCGTTTTCCTTAGTAACAAACACGTCCTCATCCACCTGGATGTAGATGAACTCGCACGTGATACTGATGTCTGAAGTAGCCTGGAACTCAACTTTCAGGGACAGACCATCATCAGAAAGGTCTCCCTCATACACCTGGATAAAACGATTTACGTTTAAATGATATACAAGTCTGACATGTATTTGATATCTACCACGATTGGTATCTGTGTGTATTATAGAAGTATTAAATAAGTGTGTTAAAAAACAATAAATTATGGGAATTAGGTCCTTGAAATTTGAATGAGTGCCTTGTAAACTTAATTTCGGTCGAGCAATTACCCCAAAAGTTTAACCACGAACCTGCTTGTTGTTGATAAAAGCGGCAATGCTAGGAGGAAGATCCACTCCCTCGGGTTGTTGCCCAGCACAAGTGAAAGTGTAGGTGCTTCCAACAATTAGAGTAGCGCTCACACCAATATCATTTACTGAAGTTTAGCTTTGTTAGTTTCGTGTTATACAGTCATACACTAGTAGTTTAGCGGTATGGTTGTTAGAAAGTTAACACGTGTTAGATAAAAGTTAACACGTGTTAGATAAATGTTAACATGCGTGTTAGGTAAATGTTGACACGTGTCAGGTAAAAGTTAACACGTGTCAGGTTTATGTTCTGGTTACCTAGAGCAGTGACTTCGTGAGAGTGGTCAGCTAGAGTGGAGCCGAGTTTGCAAGAGTACTCCGCACTATTGTCAACTGTTACGTCCAACACACTGAAACAGGCAGTTCAATTAATTATAATCACTAAACTTCCTTTAACAAAATAAATATCATGATGATGGAAAATCTTATCCATACATTCACCTTGGTTACATTACCAAGATCACCTCATATCTCCCCCACTTACCTTGTGGTAGTCTGGGAATCAGTCACGTCAGTAGCAGTGTTTTCGAGGAGGATGTTGTCCCTGTACCAGGTGAGCCGAGCAGAGGTGTCGTCAGTGGTGTACTGACACGTCAGACTGTAGCTGTGTCCCTTGCTGGCGTACCCTTCGTACCCTGATAACATCAGCACACCTGGAAACGGTGGTGTTAGTTTATTGTGGAATGTTGTCATAACATGTTGATTGTTGATTGCTTTGTCCAGAAAGTTATGCAGGAATTCGGCCCTAACAATAAGTCTAGACTCACTTGAACAGAACTGAGTAGTGCCGCATGTGTGAGTAACAGAAGTCTTAGTTCCGATGAAGTAGCCCTGGTCACAGGTGGTGACGATGTTGGTGTTAGCTTCTACTCGGTACCCGGCTGGAGGATCTGTTGTTCCGAACATCACTGTTCCCACCTCACACACATCTGGAAATAATATCAGTTAGTTTTCAGATCACAAAGTAGTGAGCTGCACAATTGATTCTTATTTAAATAGCTTGGTTTCAGAGCCTGGGGTCTAAAGATAAATGTAGCTGTTCTCTTCTATTGTTAGATTTTAAACGAATGACCAGTGGTATAAGGTGAAAAAGAGAATGAAGTGAAGAACAGTACGAGTTTGAGAAGAGACCTAGATTAGTGTAACTCTCTTACCATCCATACTGGGTACGTGTAATTCATGTTATCTCTATTATATAGCAAAGCATGTGCCACAGATACGTTCTTTACGCCTCTCTTTAAATATCTGGTTTGCTAATCTTGACGCTCAGTTCATTTACGACCACCTTGAAGTTTCTAAAACTATAAAGCAACAATCGTGTTACAACACCATCTGTTTATCGCCCTAGCAGGAAGAGATTAGAGAAGGCCAGCTATAAGTATAATCCACAAATAGTTGGACTTTGGAGGCACGCGCTATTGTTTATTCCTTAACATGTTGAGCTTCAGTTTTAGTTAATGCTTCGTATGTATATAACTATTCCAAAAATCCCAACATGAAAATTATGATCTGCATCATCAATCGAAAGCTTTCTTAACTTAACAAAACATAAAGTTAACACTGAACAGGTCCTCAGTCTTGAATGCCAAATTTTACTTTAGGCTTCTCTTTAAATCGTCCATCTTAACAACAGCCACTTTCTTAACACCTTTCTTTAGATATCCCTTTTTACAGCCATCGTTTTAAACAAAATATCTTAGTGTCGAATATTTTAAATTAAGGTAGTCCCTTTACCTGTTATAAAACTTTATTAAAAGGAATTATTATAGTTAAAGTTTTGAGATAAGTCTTATGATAATGACTTATATGCTGCTTCTGTTACTGATGGCACCTCTTAGTGCAGCATGGTCAGGTAAGAAAGATTGCAGTTAAAAGTTTTGCCATCAAGCTTATTCCCATTTAATAAAAAGTCGTATCCTAATTTCTTTTCCTGCTAGTTTTCTATAATCACAATTATATCAGACCATTACATCCTGAGAGCAACATGTGACGATTACATGAAAGTGTATGTGGACGGCGAGGAACAGTCGTCTGAAAAACTGGACAATTGGAGTGAAGAATCTACCTTTGAAATACCAGCATCGTTCCAGGTGATCGGAATATATTGTAAGGATGCAGGGGGTGACTACGGTATATTAGCTTCAGTGGAAGATACCGAAGAAAATGATATCCTAGTAACTGACCACACCTGGAGATGCTCAAAGGATGAGCAAAATGCCGATTGGCTGCAAAAAGAATTTGATGATAGTACTTGGGAAAGTGCCAGAGAGAAGGACCACGGAGGTAATTTTATCGATGGAGATATCTCCCACAGTGCAAAGTGGATCTGGTCAAAGGGGACAACACAATTAGCAAACTGTCGTCGCATCAGCCATTTAAGTAAGTATTTATACCGAACTCTTGCTTTGTGTTATCGGTAGCAAATATTTATAAAGCTATAAGATAATGGGCACTTTATAGAATTCTAGAGTTTCTAATAATTTATTTATTCATTAGAAGACTGCACGGAATTAGACGTGTCCTGGAAGAATATAAGAAAAGAAACAGTTCCAGCACTGCCAGTAAAACACGGCATGAAGGTGAGGGTGATCTGTGGAGGGAACCATGTTAACCTTGGGGGAAGAGAAGTGCAGTGTAGGGAAGGAGTGCTGACAACTGTAAGAGATCCAGACTGTAGAAGATCAGGTGAGAACCTCTATTTAATAATCAAGATATTTTGTAATGAATTGATAGAAAACATAGAATAGGGATTTTATGTTTTCTTATCAACATTACAATCATGTTTAACATAATTATACTTGTTTTAAAGACCAACCATTTGTAAATGTCCAGCCTCTTCAATAAGAGTAAAATTACAATTTCAGCAACATGAAAATTATGATCTGCTCACTTCAGAATGTAAAGACGGTCTCTATCACATGGTTATGGCTACAATTATTCAATATTCTTATTCTATGCATATATAATATCCGTCTGCACAATTTATTCTTATTTAAATAGCCTGGTTTCAGAGCCTGGGGTCTAAATATAAATGTAGCTGTTCTCTTCTAATGTTTGATTTTAGACGAACGACCAGTAGTATAAGGTGAAAAAGAGAAAGAAGTGAAGAACAGTACGAGGTGGTGAGGAGTAAGAGACCTAGATTAGTCTAACTCTCTTACCATCCATACTGAGTATGTGTATTTCATGTTCTCTCTATAGCAAAGTATGTGCCACAGATACGTTCTTTACGCCTCTCTTTAAATATCTGGTTTGCTAATGTAGACGCTCAGTTCATTTACGACCACCTTAAAGTTTCTAAAGCTATAAAGCAACAGTCGTGTTTCAACACCATCTGTTTAGCGCCTTAGCAGGAAGATAAGGCCAGCTATAATCCACAAATACAATAACATTAGAGGACGTTAGAGAGTGTTTACTGTGGAGTGTGAACCTGAATAACATTAAGACGTGGTCGGTGTACAAGAGAACATCGCACACTGCTATAACATGCCAGTTAATCTGTAACAGACTACAGAGCTCCAGTTTTAGTTAATGCTTTGTATGTGAATAACTTTTATTAAAGAAATGGACTCAAAATTAAAGTGAACTCAAATTTGTTTGCCCTATCAGCATTTAGATTCGCTCAAAGGACCATTCATTTGTAAATTCTGCGCCATTCCAGTTACATTAAAAGTACAATTTCTGCACCATGCAAATTACACTCTGCTGAAGTGTATAGACGGTGCTACATTCTTTATCGAATAGTTATGGCCACAATTCTTCAATATTCTTATTCTATGCAAATATAATATCCGTCTGCACAATTGATTCTTATTGAAATAGCCTGGTTTCGTAGCCTGGGGTCTAAAGATAAATGTAGCTGTTCTCTTCTAATGTTAGATTTTAGACGAATGACCAGTAGTATAAGGTGAAGAAGAGAATGAAGTGAAGAACAGTACGAGGTACTGGAGAAAAGTACGAGATTAGTCTAACTTTGTCTAACTCTCTTACCATATCGTCACTAAAACACCTTCTTTTTTTAACAGAACATTCGTCAACAGTGACGTTATTTTCATATAACAAAGCATATGCCCACAGATAACGTAAACAAGCTGAACAGGTCCTCAGTCTTGAATACCAAATTTTACTTTAAGCTTCTCTTTAAATCGTCCATCTTAACAACAGCCACTTTCTTAAAACCTTTCTTTAGATATCCCTTTTTACAGCAATCCTTTTAAACAAAATATCTTAGTGTCGAATATCAAAAATTAAGGAAGTATCTTTACCTGTTTATAACTTAATTAAAAGGAATTATTATAGTTAAAGAGATAAGTCTTATGATAATGACTTATATGCTGCTTCTGTTACTGATGGCACCTCTTAGTGCAGCATGGTCAGGTAAGAAACATTTCAGTCAAACGTTTTGCCATCAAAGCATCAAGCTCATTCCCATTTAATAAAAAGTCTTATCCTAATTTCTTTTCCTGCTAGTTTTCTATAATCACAATTATTTCAGACCATTACATCCTGAGAGCAACATGTGACGATCGCATGAAAGTGTATGTGGACGGCGAGGAACAGTTGTCTGAAAATGAAAAACTGAACAGTTTTACTGAAGAATCTACATTTGAAATACCAGTATCGTTCCAGGTGATCGGAATACAATGTGAAGATATAGTGGGTGACTACGGTATATTAGCTTCAGTGGAAGATACCGAAGGAAATGATATCCTAGTAACTGACCACACCTGGAGATGCTCAAAGGATGAGCAAAATGCTTATTGGCTGCAAAGCGACTTCGATGAAAGTACTTGGGAAATTGCTACAGAGAAGGGCCATTCAACTAATTTGATCCCTGGAGTTATCTCTCACAGTGCTACTTGGATCTGGACAAAGGATGTGACAACTGAAGGTGGAGTTACAGCAAACTGTCGCATCACACATTTAAGTAAGTATTCAGACCCAAATCTAGCTTTGTGTAACCAGTTACAGATCTTTATTAGATATTTTGGAAACTTCACGCATTTCTTATGATACTGACTTATGGCCCTTCGTTACGCCATTGCGAATGACCAGTAGTATAAGGTGAAGAAAAGAATGAAGTAAAGAACAGTACGAGGTGGTGAAGAGTAAGAGACCTAGATTAGTTTAACTCTTTTACCATCCATACTGAGTATGTGTAATTCACGTTCTCTCTATCATAGCAAAGCATATGGTACAGATACTTTCTTTAGGCCAGCTATAAGTATAATCCACAAATAGTTGCAGAGGCAAGCGCTTTTGTTTATTCCTTAATATGTTGAGCTTCAGTTTTAGTTAATGCTTCGTATGTATATAACTATTCCCAAATCCCAACATGAAAATTATGATCTGCATCATCAATCGAAAGCTTTCTTAACTTAACAAAACATTTGTTTAAAGTTGCGTTATTTTCACTAGCAGGAACCCGTATAACCCTAAAATGGTGTCAAGACTCAAGAGACTAAAATGATTATACCTATTTAATTCGCGTTTTTGGCACCACTTGGGGATCCAAATATTGGGCTCTAAAACTCCTATTTCTTGGCCAATTTTTTATTTTTTCATGCTGATTTGGAGGCCATTAAAGCATTTGGCCCAGTCAAAAAAGTTTCAGTTTTATATCTTTTACGATTTTTGCGGAAAGTCGTGTTAAAGTTGATGCCGTGGTGTTAGTAAAATGGTACGGATCCATATATATATCGTCTCGCTTTATATATAGTAAGATAATACAAAGCATATGCCATAAATAAAATGGACAGATCCTGCTCCTTGATTCTGCAATCCCAAACATAATACCTCAATGTCTTCAATATTCAATAGAAGGAAAGTCGCTATACCATTTGCTTATTAAAACTACTGATCCCCGTAGTAAAAGTATTGCGATTAATCTTGAGACCATGACTTATTTGCTGCTTCTGCTACTGATGGCACCTCTTAGCGCAGAATCTTTAGGTAAGAAACATTGCAACCAATGTTTTCCCATAAACTTATTCCCATATCAACAATTTTATCTTAATGTCTCCTGAGAAAAGTCTTAATTAATCGTATCATATTTATAACAATACTTTCAGACCATTACATCCTGAGTGCAACATGTGACGATCGCATGAAAGTGTATGTGGACGGCAAGGAACAGTCATCTGAAATTGAAAAATTGAACAATTTGTCAAAAGAATCTACTTTTGAAATACCAGCATCGTTCCAGGTGATCGGAATTCGATGTGAAAATTTAGGGGGTGACTACGGTATATTAGCTTCAGTGAAAGATACCGAAGAAAATGATATCCTAGTAACTGACCACACCTGGAGATGCTCAAAGGATGAGCAAAATGCTGATTGGCTGCAAAAAGAATTCGATGATAGTACTTGGGAAAGTGCCAGAGAGAAGGACCACGATTTTATCCCTGGAGATATCTCCCACATTTCAAAGTGGATCTGGACAAAGGATGTGACAACTGCCGGTGGAGTTACAGCAAACTGTCGCCGCGTCACACATTTAAGTAAGTATTCAGACCCAACTCTAGCTTTGTATAACCAGTTACAGATATTTATTAGATATTGAGCACTTTTGCAAACTTCGCACATTTCTTATGATACCGACTTCTCAGAGGACTGTACGAGATTAGACGTGTCCTGGAAGAATATAAGAGAGGAGACAGTTCCAGTACTGCCAGTAAGACACGGCATGAAGGTGAGGGTGATCTGTGGAAGGAACCATGTTAACATTGGGGGAAGAGAAGTGCAGTGTAGGGAAGGAGTGCTGACAACTGTTAGAGATCCAGACTGTAGAAGATCAGGTGAGAACCTTTATTTAATAATCAAGATATCTTTAATGAATTGATAGAAAACATAGAATAGGGATTCTATGTTTTCTTATCAATATTACAGAGGTGTTTAACTTTAGACTCACAATTTGAATAAAAAGCTTCCAGTTAACATACAATTGATCTACACAGTTATACACACACTATTGCCGAGATAATGGCCCAATACTTGCCCTCCCGGATGCAGATCTCTCGACATCATGCCATTAGGAATGTTACACGCGGGGCATTCCATTTATCAGATCATTATCTTATTTATAGTTTAGCTCACAATACAAACTAGCACATACTATCAGCTAACTTGATGCTTCTGTTCCCAGATCTTTCTCCAGACTTCAGCAATGAACATAATAAGGAATAGAGTGAAAATCTCAACAACAACAAAAAGAAAAAGGTAAATTAACAGAACATACCTAGACAAGAAGTGGAGCCAGGACTTAGTGTGCTCTTTCCGTTAGAACAGGATTTACAGACGGACTGACCAGGCTGGTCTTGGTAGGATCCAACAGGACAACTCACGCAGTCCTGGTTGGTGCTGTAAGTTCCAACTCCACATTGCACTGCGATAACAAAGTTTAGAGATCCCATAGCAAATATATTAATCCACTTTGTGATCATCATACCAAAAATGTACTGTTAGCGAATTCAACAGTTGTAGTATTTCTAGATACCTTTATAACAGTCCCGAACTTCTAAACTCACCGCAATAGAGCTCTTCAGAACTGACTCCGGACCCAGCCGGACATTCCACAAGGAACCCAGACTCATCAGCATCCTCCTCTTCTTCTACCGTGAACCTCTTATTACCATACAGAGCAGATCTCTCAGCGGTCCTTACTTCGAGCAGGTCATCAGGAGTTCGGGCCACATTTGTCTCATCTGATTCTATCAACCACTTAATCTTGCACTTCTCCTGAGTGTAGAAGTTTTGAGTGCTCACTAGGGTGTTATCAAAGCCTTTCATGTCAAGATCCCGGAACTTCTGTTCGGTTATGAAGTTGAATATTTCATCAGAGCTGTCTGGAGGGCAGGTCAAGCCACCGAACGTTACTACCATCACCGCTTTGTAGGTGATCGGGATGATTCGTGCTGAAATAGTAATCATGATTAGTTGATCAAATGTGAGGTCGATATATTAGATTAATAAGTCAGCATCATGATTGGATGAGTAGAGACCGAGACACTACAGTTTCCCAATCACTACCACCTATCAGAGGATCGTTCCATGATTTGATTGCTTACAGTTTGATTTTTCGCACTTTTTACTGCTCGACTATTACAATCTAATCTCTATATATTTCAACGTTTAAGTTTGTTGTCTTGAAGCAATGAAATAGTAGACAATATCCACCCACTCAGTAAGAACTCTCTGAAAGAACAACTCACCTGTACAGGAAGGCATCTCCAGTCTGAGTGAGCTAAGATAGGTGTGGGACCAGTACCCTGTGTCCCTGCACGTGGTGGTCACACTGTCCTCCCAGATACTGGACATGGCGTTGTCTCCACTGCACGTGTACGTGCACGTGGTGCCTGTCTCTATTAGTTCTGTAGAGCAGATCAGGGAGGCGGTGTTTGAGTTCGGGTTCACGAGGTCCTCACAGCGTTCTGAGGTGGTGGGGGTTGTCAGCGCGAGACTCTTGATATTTGCAGAAACTTTATACCGACTTAATATTTATTGCTGATTGCGGGTAGACTTCTTCGCACGCTTTATTAATAATTCACTAAGTTGGAGAACTTTCATTTTAGTTTTCTTTGACTTACTGCTGATTTCAACTTGTTGAGGGTCGAAGTAGACATTCCACCGGTTCTCCTTCTTAATCTCGCAGTTGTAGTCTCCCATGTCAGCCAGTTCTACTGACGATTTCTCGTACTTGTAGGTAATCACTCCCTGCAAATTATGGTGTTAAGTGGGAATAAATAAGGGAGGTCTAGTTCTTATCAAGTAAACCGGAAATTAGATACTATTTGGTCACCAGCCGGGTCTCTTCAGGTGAATTCCTGTTGACGCTTCGAGGAATAAGGAACCAATTTAGAGTACTAAAATTTGTTGACAGAGTTCAATTCGTCGATACTCGATACAGTAAAACATAAAATTGTCATTTAGTGAGCAATAAAAACTACAACCTTATTGAATGTTATAAACTCACATTGTCAGTGGTAGATGTAGAACTGAGGGACTGCTCACTGAAACCGCGGTACAGACGAGCTGTAGTGCCCTGTTCAGTACTGCACGTTACTGTCAGTTTGTCCCCGACGTACAGAGAAGTTGAAGATACGCCGAACTTTCGGACACCTGGTGGAATTTAGAGTTACGATTATAGATTTAACTGAAGTTGTAGCTGCTGGCTGAATCTCGAATTATGTACTGCAGAAATAAATTCTCAGCCACTACTATCACTGGTTGCAAGCATTCAGTGCGGTCAAAAAACTGTTTTGATTCCACCCGATAGATTCCCTTCCATGAAATTGTACATTGCTTCGATGTTAATAAAAGCGGAAGGCAAGCTATATATAACATTTTAAATTTTACGAAACTCACCTCCAACTTTGACCACTACACGTTTCACCACGAAAGAGACTTCAGAGGCGTAAAAGCTAGATTGGATGGTTTGTTTGCAGGTGAACTCCCGATCTTTATAGTAGTCGAGACCATTAATTCGCTCACTCACCCCTGTCTTCGAGTATCCTTCCTCAGTTCTGGGTTTGATACTGTTTTTTCTTTAGAATTTGAGATCACTAAATTTAAGTCTCTTGACGCCATCAATAAACAATTATTATTATTATTCTGCTTCCGGATTAACCAGAAAATGTATAATATTCCCCTACCTGTGGGTGGTAACATATTGATCTTTTCCATCCTCCTTAGTGTACCAGGAGACGCTGAAGAGAGGTAGATCACTCGTAACAGTACAGGTCAGCCAATCATAGTCGCTGTACTGACAATCACTTCTTCCAGGTTCGGAACAGCAGGTATAGGTATTATATCTAGATCCAGCTGTTTGGAAATAGTGTACCCCTCGATCTCCACCGAGCAGATGTAGGGTCCAGTGAAACTCGTCGAGGTTATTTTTCCGAACTGGCCGTTTTTGAAACCAGTGGTTATGAAATTCTCCCTGGCATCGTCTGTGACGGTTTCATCAGCAGATGGGGAGATGGTCACTGTGCCTGCTGTCTCGAAACTGTATTGGCAGATGAAGGTGAAGGAAACACCCTCGTAGACAGGGAGGGAAGATTGGTGGGTTCCCAGCTCGATTGAAGCAGCTAGAATTTCAACCTGGCCACTGCCAAGTTCAGATTGAATTCCGGGGCTTGATTCGTCCTTGAAAGTGGCGTGGCACTTGAACGGCCCATTCTTGGTGATCACTTTGGAGAACACAGCTGTTGTTGTAATCCTAGTTAAACTGTTAGAAGTAGAGGTTGAGCTATCTTTAGAATACAGCAAAGCATATTCGTCACTAGAGAAAGCAGAGCTAACGAAAGTTCGTCCCTCTATCTCCGGGACAGAAGGTCCAGAGAAGGTGCAGGTTATCATGGCTGTTTCTCCTGTCTCCACCAGCATCTTATTCTCCGGCAGGCTCCAAGATATCAGCTGCAGGTTACTTTGTTTCGAATCTGTTCTTATGCTGTTTATATCAGTAATCGAACATTTGTACAAGCCTTCATCGTCGTTATCCACGTTTAGAATCTCTAAGGTACTGCCACTCTTGGCAGCGCTCATCCCAGTCAATGTTTTAGCGGACACCAGTGTGTCCACTGATAAGTAGGTTACCAGCATCCTGATTAAACTTTTATCCACTTCCTTCCAGTCACCACTATTGTCCCGTTTGTAGTATGTGAATATATTAACGGTAGCTGAACCCTCATACATGCAATACATGGTCACATCATCTCCTTCTTTGCCGACCCCGTTGGTTAGGAAAATGTTGGAGAGATCAGCTTTGGTTCCTACGGAGTTAGTCACATCAAGATTGTTTCCGTTGAAAGTGGCAGTTGCAGCGGCAGTATAAGTTCCCACATCATCGCTAACAAAGCTGGAGATAGTGAGGACTGATTTGATGAACTGGAACTCTCCGACTGAGTAGCTGTTAGGGAAGGTTTGGCTGATATAGATACCGCTTCCGGACGTGATTTGGGTTCCTTCTTTGTACCATTTAATAGTCGCCTGAAAGAGAAAATATTATCATAACCTAACCTCGAAAATCTTTATATCGATAAATACTAAATAGTTTACACAATGTTCATAAATTTTAATCTCAATTTTCGACAACATAAAAAACGTCAACAAATATTCGCATTAAAAACCTCCTTGTCGTTAATAAGAGTAGCAGTGATGGTGAGAGAATTTCCATTAGAAGTAGAAGCTGCAGACTCCATGCCAATGTACAGGACAATAAGAGCAGCTTCGTCCGAATACAGGATCCCTCCAACATTGTTGTCGTCAGCAGGGTACTCTGCTTTACAGCGGTACACTCCTAAGTCATCTGGTGTGGTGGAGGGGAGGACCAGACGGGAGGACTGAGGGGGATTATGGTCAGCCATTATTTATACCAGATTAGGGAAAATCTTTAGTTTATTTTGTAGTGAAATAAAATATAAAACCCCAGAAATTCCAGAAGAATAAAAAATATCCAGAATAAAAAAGTTTAATACCTGGCTGTTGGAATCAGAGGTATCAGTGATTAGGTTTGTTTGGGTGAAAGCAGATTCGTTCTTCTCCCAGGTGATAGTCGGAGTTGTTGGAATGGATTGGGTGGAACAGCTCAGAGTTGCTGGACTTCCAACCACCACCTTTTTATATGTTGGACTAGATTCGAACTCTGAAATAGAGAAGATAAGTTAAAATTCTAAACATAGACAATTTATAATATAATATTGTTTAAGAATATACTGTTTAAGATCTTTTCAAATCATTCAAAATTTCAAATTTTTCGTTTGCGACGAGAAATTATATAAAAATAAGCTTTGTCCATTGAATTCGATTTTTTAATAAAGAAAAAAATATAGTGTTTCACCACGAAACAATTATATCAAGATCCTAGACTTCTTCTGTTTTTTTGTAGATAAAAATCTTGCAAAATTAGTAATTATCTCAGACTTATCTCTCGTCCGGCACCGGTTTCGAGATACTTACATTGTTGGAAATAGCATCCGCTCATAATAACTTGCCTCTTCATTTAAAATTATCTCGAAAACATATTCCGCAAATACAGCTGCAAATATAGCGGCAAAAACAGCTGCCTGTTTATTTTTGCGATATTTTCTATTTTCAGCATCATGGGCCGTGGCCATATTCAAAGTGGACGCGGTCATTATAGATTTTGTTTTTTGACGTCATATCATTGTCTTGGTAGTGGACAATGGCACCTCATGATAGAGTAGTTTGCATTATTCATATTACTGGCCATTAACCGAGCTCTCTGTTATTAAGCAAAACTTTATCTTTAAAGATGAGCTTTGTACAGTCAGCTGCTCAGTAATCATGTTTACGTACAATACCGATTGCTTACATCCTCCAATGGAAAGGTCGCTCGGTAAATGATTACCGGTACGTGAAGACTAAAGAGTTGCGTAATGTCAATATAATTTGTCGTCATGAGGGACAATGCTTACAACGTGTTCGCCAATTCTAGATCCTGAAGGTTTAAGGTCCCGCCATGTTACCAGTTAGTTATATCATTCCAGTTTAGCAACAGCGTTCCAATGTTCTCTACAATCAAGTCATTTTGTATTCCACTTTCAACATATTATGCTAGTAATCAATAACTACACCGCAGTTATTGAAAAGTGTTTAAAGAAACTAATAACAGGGAAATTCTGAACAACCTCTTTTGATATTTTTACCAGTAGTCGGATTTAAAAAAGGCTTATCTAAATAAATATGTGATTAAGTCGTGTTATATTATTGAGTCTCATGTTTTTTTTTTCAAGAAAATTTCTGACTTTTCTGAATAGACCCAGTGATGACAGTTTCTAACGAAACCTTCATTAGAAACTGTCATCACTGAGTCTATGGAGAAAAAATAAATAAATAAGTTAACAAGTAAATAAATATATGTAAATATGCGAGTTAACAAATAAATAAATATATATAGATAAATAGGTTAATAAATAAATAAATGTGAATAAATGATAAAATATTGATAAATAGATATCAATATAAATATGAATAAACAAATCCAAAAGATGTTTTTGACGATCTACATCAAAATCTAAAACTGAGCTAAGGATAATACAAAAAAAACCCAATTCCAATGCTGGAGACTGAGTCCGCTGGCCACAGGGGGCCTAGACCACTCACCGTACACGGTGACAGAGGCTGGGTCGGTGTTGATAATCTTGCCGTTGACCGGGGCTTCACACAGGTACTCTCCGCTGTTGGCAGAGGTTGCCTTGGTGATGGTCAGGGTGGAAGAGGATTGGCTGCTGCCTTGAACTGAGATGTAGTCCTGAGGAGACAGGGGTTAATAATTTTCAATAAGCTTTATTATTCTATAATGATATTTTACAATTATTTCCTAATATAAAGTATAATTTCAGTACTTTACAGCTGTAACTCACAGATTCCGAGACCAAGTTTCCGTCTTTTTTCCACCGAATATCAACGTTAGATTTAATTAGACAGCTCAAAATAAGTTCGTACCCAGCGAACATCACCTTGTCCTCGGGGTGGGTCTTGAAGGCTGAAAAAGGTGTGGGTTTCAATAATCAATATTTTCAGCAATCAGACAACGAATGAGTTTCAAAGTTTGGACTTCATGTTACATTCCAATCGTCACTTTGTCATTAGTTGCACTTTGAACTTCTGCATTGAACGATATTCAGACAGGTCAGTCTTTAAAAGGTGTTAACCCTGGCAGTCGAAGCAGCCGTGAATGATAGCACTTAATCGATTTAGTTTCCGAGATAATACCAGTTTTTTGGGAATTAAGTTTCACTCAACACCAAAATTGAACGGCTATTAGTTAATTGTCAACGTAATTAGTTTGCACGATAGCGGTAGCCGTTGTTATTTATTCGTTCGCCAGCGCGACAACACTTGTTCCAATACAAATTTATATCGAGGAGGTAAAGTTTAGTTGTTGGTTATCAGCCCGTTTCTTGCCTATTTAGTAAGCGGTGCCTCTGAAAGGCGCACGATGTTTTGTCAACTTTTATTGCTTCTTAACCCAAAAGTCTAACTCTAATCTAGTTTTGCCTACATCTGCACTATTTAAACCACCACCGACTACACTAATCAGTTTAATTCCATGAGGCCCTTTCAATCTATAAAGTGAATTTATCCTTGTAGTTTCTGAGTTTTTGTTTACTCCTTAGAACGACACATAATCAATGCAGGAGCTCAGCTTGAATAATGAGTTTCAAATTTCGTTACAAGATGCATCCTTTCGTTATGCATTATCCAAATTTATCCATCACTCATGCTCACACTCGTTCAATTCAATATACCACGACATTTTTTGATATTTATGATGTAAATCGTCCACGGAATTCGTAAATGGAGCTGTCACTTGGATTGCATTCCTTCTAGAGAAATAGAAAGACTATTTCAAATGCCCGTTTTAAGTACGACTTTCCTACCATCATATTTTAATCATCGGCAGCGGTCAGAGGTTCTCTATTACCTAATTATTAATTGGTCGTTCACCAAGTAATCTTATTGGTGCTGATTGATAGTTATTGGTGTTCAAGTTGATTTGTTGAGCGGAAGCTGGTTTTAGAATGACGTTAAAATGCGTTACATAGAATTTGATAACTTAACTATTTTATGATCGTTAATCACTAATACTTGTATTCGTTAACATCAAATTGTTTTGCAAATATTAACCTTTTTCTTTTGATTGAGTGTAATTGTATATGCCTGATATCATCCACATCATATAGGGCTAAAGATTAAAATTCCTTCCAAAAGTTAAAATAAAGGTAGCAAACTTACAATCAATTCCGAGAATGATATCGGATGAGGTCAGAACACCAATGTTTTTGTAGTCCATAGAGCACTGGTATATTCCAGCGTCAGCATCACTAACTGAGTCAAACTTTAAACTTGCTTTGTACACAGACTCTGGGGTTTCTAAAGGGTTAAGGTTAAATATTTCGTCAATTAAAATTGTGTTTTACAGAATGAGTTCTGTCGTACATAAAAACTACCAGGCATTTCTAAAGGGTTAAGGTAAAATATTTCGACAATAAATGTTAGCCGAGTTATGTACCTGCGGGTCCCTCGTTAGTACTGGCCACACTAGACTCTTCCTTGACCCAGGTGGTGGTTACATCAGCACTGGAGACAAGGGTTGAGGTACAGGTCAGGGTCACGGACTCTCCGTACGCTACTGACTGGGGGGTCGAGCTGGACAGCATGTCTGAAGGAAGGTATTGGTTAGCTGGTGTGTGAGGGGGACAATTAGTGAGGTATTCGTGAAGGAGCATGATGTAATTGTAGGATGGAAGCCGTCCAAAATAGAGTCTATAGAGCTATTTTAATTAACCATGCCATTGCCAAGTCGATCGCATGATCAAATATTATCAATTGTGAAATTTGATTTATTCCTTGATATCATAGTTCTCTTCCGCTTTATAAGGTTACAAAGAGATCTTCAGACCAATAATATAACTGGGTTGATACAAGAATAATAATCACAGCTTTGATTCCCCAGCATTTCCTATTTCAGTATGTTGTTCTGATATTACATTTTGCTCACCGGACACGAGTCCGGTGCTTAGTGCCTTCTTACTCATTTCCATTTGATTGGACACATTGTAACAGGTTTATTGCTTACCTATTTTCTTGAGTTCGGAGGATTCGCTCGTCAAAGATGCTGAGTCGTACCCAAATCTGCAGTTGTACGTGTCCGTGAAGTCAGATTCTTTCACAGACGTTATTACGTGGGCTACATTGTAGCTGTCCGTCGTGCCCTGCATATGGTTAATAGTCATAAATTATTCATCTTAATTTACATAAATTAATTTCCTTCATCGTCTCAATTTTGTCGGCTTACAAATTTTAAGTCCAATTACGAAGCAGCTGAGCTCTCCAGATGACCATTTTAATGAGTGGTACTCCATTATAATACTGAAACTAAGCAGGTATACTTACACTGAGCAGGTCAGGGTCCTCGTTCTTAGAAAGGAGAGTTTCTCCATTGTAGATACTGAGTTGGGGTTTGTAGCCATCAGGTGAGATACCGACACACAGGAGGGTTGTTGCACTCCCGATAATACCGAACTGCTCACTAATTGCTACCTCTGTGGGTGGTATCAACTCGTTAATTAGCGGTTAAATTACTTTTTAAATTATCAGTTTAATTACTTTTAATTACGTTTATTTGCAAGCTTGTAGAAACGATATCGTTACAGTTTTCATGATAAAGGTACTTAAAATTATAAGTCACTGAAATAATAATAAGAGCTTAGAAATAAATTATTTGGTTAGTATGATAAGTGATTTGAGTAGAGAATTTTGAATTATGAATTTAAACAGTCAATTTATCATTTAGAGCGATTTGAATAGTTTTAATTGTTTTCCTTTATTGTAGAAGTATATGATAGCACAAAGGGTCGCGTAATTAGTTTTACGCCACGTGTTTTATTCAACAAGTCCGCTACTAATGCTCTAATAGCCAGGCAATTTTATTTTGATGAGTGCTGTTATCAAAAGTTTAAACTTTTCAGTTCGGCCAGTATACTATTTGCAGTAATTAACGATGGAGGTCACTCACTATTATATTTATTTACCTACTATTTATATTATTTATTCACTCCCTTTGTTAATCGTCAATATCAATACTTATGACTATTTATTGGTATCCTTACTGACCAGCGGGAAGCATCAAAGCTGCATCTGACTCAGCCTCCACATCATCCCACTTTGCTTTGCACTGGTAAACACCGGCATCGGAGGGTTTCGAGTTGAAAATGTACAGATCAGACCCTACATTTATGGTATCTCTCGCTCTCGTTGTAATTTTATTGTTGAATGAGATGGGAGGAATCTGAGGTTAAGAAGGGGGTTGGTTATTTACTTTCCTCATTGTTAAGCGTTCTAAAGCGCTTTTTTAATCGTTTTGTGTCATTGGGTAGAGTCACGGATATTTAATTTATAATGCAACATGATTATTTCATTACAAGTAAACTTACGATAGAGCCGTCTTTGTACCAAGATATAGACGTTGGATAACCTCCAGACGTTAAACAGCTCATGGTTGCTTCTCCTCCTTTGTCGATCAACTGGAAGACGGGGCTCTCGAAGAAACCTGGGTCGAGCATTATACAGTCAAATTAGGATATTAGCATATATTAGCACATATTAGCACATATTAGCATATATTAGCATATATTAGCATATATTAGCATATATTAGAATATACTAGTATATATTAGCATATATTAGCATATATTAGCATATTAACATATCAGAAAATTGGAAAATTAGCAAATTAGCATATTAACATATTAGCATATTGGCAAATTAGCAAATTAGCATATTAACATATTACCATATTAGCATATTAGGATATTGGAAAATTAGCATATTAGTATATAATTGGCAAATTATGATATTGGCAAATTAGCAAATAAGCAAATTAGCATATATTAGCATATCGTGGGGTCCAGTTACCAGCTTTATAAAGAGAAATTGTCATATTGCAGGGCCTAGTTACCAGCTTTATAAAGAAAAATTGTCATATTGCAGGGCTTAGTTACCAGCTTTATCGAGAGAATTGTCATTCATGTTTAACTCACCGTCACTTAGTTTCAATATTGCTAAAATAATCTATTTAGTAAATATTAAACGCCTTTAAGAAAACAATAAACACGCCTCATGAGAAGCAGGAACAATCTCTAACCAGTAAATATCTAGTCGTGATGATGTACAAACTTGAACTAAAGTGCGTTGCACGACAACACCACGTGTCAAACCACGTGACACCACGTGCTGCCACGTGTCAAACCACGTGTCAAATAACAATAACCCACCTCTAACATAGAGCGGCATAACGAGACTCTTCACGGTAGTGCCAGCACTGGTACTGGTCATGCTACAGTGGTACATGCCGGTGTCAGACACACTCGCTGAGCTTATCGTGTAGCTGTATTTAGTGGTTGTTCCGGTTATATCCGAGGTGCTTTCTACTCCGTTATCAGCTTTGTTGCCGTCCTTTAACCTGGGTAGGGAGTGGAGATTAGTATGGTTGTGGGAATGTGATTAAGTTTTATTTATTTACATATTATGTTTTTATTGAATTTAGTAGAGCTATAATAATAAGCGAATAATATTTATAGTGCTTCTCAATACAAATCAAAACGAGGCCTTTATGTTATGGAGCCAGACTGGCTTTTACCCGTTTAAAACGTTTCCATGACAATACATAATACTCAATAAATGTAATAGATTTGTAGTGTTGTAATTAGTTGATAAACTCACCAAGTGACGGAGACATCACCACTGCTGGAGAACACTCCGTTACATGTCAGAGTCACATCAGTATTGGTATCGTTTTGTGTCACTACGTTTGACACAGACGTAAATCCAAAGGCTGAAATAAGATCCATATTATATATTATTGATTATTAGGAATTATAACCAATTGGCCAGCGTTTAGATTCGGTAGCATGGGCCACATGGCCACGGCGATTAGATTTAAGGTATCATCAGTGACAAAGCACCACATGGGACAAATTAAGCAGCTTTAATCTCCATTGCGGAATTTGATAATTTAATGAAACGATCCCACGATCCCACTATATTCCAATAACAATTAACCAGTTCAATCTTTCAGTCTGAGCGTATCTCTACCTTTTAGCTCTAAGTTCACAGCTCATCCCAGTAAATTTATTCAAACACCTGGCTTCCAGATTAGATTGACGCTTAACCGTGATATTTTTCAGCTTTTTGTTTCTTCATATTTTCAGCTATTCGCATCATGCCAGTGCATTAGCTTTATAACAATGTAGCATTATTCTATTAAGGTTGGTAAGTAAGGAAGGTGGTAGACCGGCGTTTCCGAGCCTTTATCTTGGATCATACTACTGTGGCACAGTATCCGTGTGGCAATTGTATGGAGTATACGGTACTACGGTCGTAGCAGCTCTACTGACTTACTCGCGACATTGTGTGTAATTAACTTTTTCGTGATGTCTCATTGTTCAAAAAGTGTTGAGTTAAGCGAACTTTGTCTAACCTAATCTATTTGGAGATTAATCGCTCATTAACTCTGGACTCCGCATGGAACTATAACATTAATATAATAATATGTAGAAACTAGAATGTAGATGAAGCTGTTTGTATTAAAATTTGAACGAATATCAGTCCCTGGCCACGGATCTCTTACATGTAAAAGCTTAATGATACGTGAACTGGTGTATAGTATATCTATAACAAGCTATATACTTATATATATCCAGTACATATGTTTAAAACATCTCTAGGAGATGATAGTCTCATAGATCCTGAAATAAGGAGTTCGTGTCAGTATCACCATCAGTACGGATTTTATTCCCGATAAGAATAGGCTGCATGAGGCTCTCAAAATAGCGATGGTAATGGGAATAATTTGTCTGCATCATGTATAATGTATATATTCTTATTATTCATATATTTTCATTACAATAAATATGAATAATCGGATAACAATGGTTCAAAGATCGGAAATAGGACTAATACTAATTCCACAACTCTCATTATTCATGGAAGACTGATTTATTGAGTCTCGATCTTGCCTGTTGTGTCATGATTCTAGACTTTACTACATAATAAGTCTCTCTCAACCGCGGCCAGTAAAGGTCAAAGGCGATGATAAAGATAGACTAATAACTATAAACAGATTTGGTCATGAGCATCAAGGGGTAGCTGTGAGTTATAGGACTGTTATATTCCCAGTATTAATAATCATTGCTTCTCATCACTTCCCAGTATTAATAATCATTGCTCCTCCATAGCATCACGCCTAGGCTATAATAGTTAAATGATTAACATCCATCATGCGTGCTGTGCAACATTCTAACGTGGCAGACCTCCAAGTAATCTGATGAATTTATTTAGTGTTCCAACTAACATCTGGCTGATGTAGCTTATTGAGTTATCGTACTGCTCGAGACTCGAGTAGAGTTAGGCTTTTTGACTTTTCGAGTTACGGCCCTGGCCTTCAGGTATCATTATATTATAATTTTTAAAAAATGCTTTTCCACTTATTCTAAATGTGGGTTGTTGAGCAGAGAAATAAGTAATTGTCTAGACACGCCGGTACAGTTTGTGGAGCTAAGGGATGACGCGACATTAGAAGCCTTATTTCACTATCACCACTTATCAGGCTCTCATCAGGCTATTACGTGAGCCTATGAATTGTCACCCTCTATATTGGTTTAAATACGTTGAAATGAAATGATTCATCTGAGAAAAATAGCAAACTTGAGCGTTTTCTTTCGTCCCTTTATAATTATTAGTTACTAACTTTATTAGTAACCCCTCATTAATAACTCACTTGTTTTGGTGATGGTAGCCACTCCACTCTCCACGGTAGTGCCAAGGTACACAGCTGCACATTTGTACTGTTGGTACTGTCCACTGCCTGTAGAGGGGTAGGTGAGGACACTGGTCGTAACCTTCGCCAGATTACTGTATTTCTTCGTAGATAGATCTTGTGAAACCTGCAGAGATATACAGTGTGGTTTTAGAACGCATATAATTCCCTGCTTTAAGAGTGGCGGAGAATATTTTATCAGTTTGTTTTGGTACACATGAGTAGTATTAATGTGCTCAGTATTCCAGTTTGAACGATCAATCAGCATGATTTCACGTGCATTCATGACCATGGTCATAATATATATATAATGTACATATATATAAAAACGTGAGGACTCACTATTTCTCTGCTCTTTATTTTCTGTGTCTTATATAATTCTAGAATGATTTATAATTTTTCGTCATGGGCATCTGGTCATTTGCTGGCCTTATCCAGAAATAAAGTGTCTTGTGGTCACCTTATTGCAATATTATGCAATACTAATGCAATACTAATGGTCTGCGATCATTCAATTTCTTTTAAGCTATTTCGTAGTGTAATTTACGAGACACCGGCAAATACTTTGGGTTCGTAATGCTGTAATGGCCAGATGGTCCATACTTATGAATCATCTTAGTAAAATGAATCCCACTTAGCACAGCACAACTTCAAAAATTAGATAATTTAGCATCGGCTAATCTATTTTCGACATTTTACTGCTCCATTTACGACACAAAAGTATAGTCTCTAGAGAACTAATTTCGAAGAAGAAAGATAATTCATAAAAATACTTAGCTGTTCATAATTTGACGATTATCTGCAAATTTTCTGCGATTTTGTGACTTCATTGGACTGATGATTATTTTCTAGGACTGGAGTAAACCAACATATAAATCAAAATTCTAAATATTATTATTTTGGAATATTTCAAGTTTTTGAGCAACGAAACGAACTCCAATGTAATGAACCATTTTACTTTTTCATCAGTATTTTCTTCAACATCAACGTTATCTCAAACGATTTGTTACCTTATATTAATGTTGTTGGAGCTAAAATATCATATTAGCAAGAAATTTCAGGCTTTGAGCTAGGTCCACCGATTACCAACGCCACGATGCCATACTATGCCGCCACTATAACATAATATAGGCCCAAAACATTAAATTTTAGGGCAGACAGGTATTGTTGCAGTTGTAACCAGGAAATTCACCCAGTTACAACGTTGTTCACAATATAACTGGGTTATTATGACTGATAACGATTTACACATGTATTCTGAAAGCTCCTGCTAATAAAACATTTCGTATCATTTATATATGTTTCAAGTTCCTCCCTTGACGGTAAAATTTCCATGATACTACTCTAAACTATGAGCTGAATTTGAGGCTGCAACCATTCGTATCACACCTTAACGATAAACTGTACCTAACCGTACCTAACCGTACCTAACCGAGCATGTTTATTACGCGAAAATTATCACAATCTTCTCATTAGCTTGGTCATAATGAAGAGCGACCACGAGCGGCTGCAATTTGGTGACCTAGGCCCATTCAGCACATGCCAATTAAGATATTATCTGATCCAGCCTCCTAGTCTAGTTGAAACTTTAACCTATACATATATTATACCTGTCCCTCAAATCTAAACCTGTGTGCTCTAACAGCTTTTAGTGACAATGTTGATCTGGCTGAAGAAACAGGACGATACCCTCCTTAATCTCAATGCGAAGATAAACCTAGCTGTGGCGGGGTTGATGATAGTGGGGTTTCTTGTCTCCACCATCTTAAACCCCATCATCTTCTACTACCACTGGTAAATATGCCCTGCTCAGTCTTTTAATTGTGTAATGTTTAAAGTTTCCTTTTTCCCCTTACTACTGTTCATTAAATAATATTTGTATGTAAAATTCTGTTTATATTAGAGAATTATTCGACTTAAAGCTTATATTCTAAGTTATAAATCTGCACTAAATCTTCAGGAGAAGAGGAAGAAGAGACAGACTATCCCGGAAGCTATTTAGCATGATTGCAGTTTGTGATACCCTCACCAACAGTTACCCCATCATACATTACCTCATCTTCATCTGCCTCCCAAAGGTCTACAATGTCTACAACCTTCCTGTAACCGACCCCGCTGGCATCGCCATCCTAATCGGCGTCTTGATGATCTGCACGTGCAGTTGTATCTCTCAGGTCTCCACTGCCATGTTAGCAGTAACCAGGTTTATCTGTATTGTTAATCCCTTTGTAGGAGTGTCCAGTAGGATCGTGATGGGGTACATCAAGGTGTATTCTGTCATCATGGCTGGACTCAACCTCTCCACTATGTGTTGTAAAATATTCCCCGCCCCCAAAGGATTGGGGCCCAATTTATCCAGGATTTGTTTGATCCTCAACGTTTCTCAGTGTCTGATCGGGATAAGTTCCTCCTTGTTTACGGTGCTCAATGTCATTTTCAAGGCACGACTAACCCAGAGCCCGGACAAACGGACAAGGAGCTCGGTTACCATCTTGTTGATGAACCTGCCGTACGTTGTGTCGGTCGTTCTAATCCTCGTTACTCTAACCGGAATTTCTGGGGTGACCTTTGCTCTGCTGACGTTCCCCACTGTAGCATGCTTCACATCCATGTTAAACCCCCTCACGATACTCCTCCTCAACCAAAGGGCCAGGACGTATACCAAGGAGACGCTCATCAGAAAAGGACACTCAATTCTTTCTTTAGTCTTCCATTTGAAACCTTTGTGTGAACCGCCACCAAATAGTACTATTTGTCTGACTTCTGATAATCGCCCTTATAATCAGCTAACCAAAAAGAACGGTCTATTAGCTGCGACAAACAGTGCCTCTGCACATTCGGTTGATAAACCCGTCACAGATGTTTGATAGTTTACTCGAATCAAATGAAGGCTTGAGAGTTAAGACTACAAACTCTACTCAAATTGATACGACTTTACGACTACGAGAGACTGATTCTAGAGATTTTGACGAACGGAGATTGATTTAAACGACTTGATCAGAGATTGTTATTCAAGAAGTTATAAGATTTTTTTGTTCGTGCGATGTGGTGAACGCTAAAATAACGAAAATCTATTTTGCCGACTTGAGGATTTAAGACTTTATCTATCTCAACCGAGCTAATAGCTCTTCATCATGGAATATTGAAGTAGTTTTTATCACCCCGCATGTGACACCATATCTTATTAACTTTAGAGTTTAGTGACCCCTCATCTAACTTGCACATAGAATAGGAAAGTTTTTACAGAGTAGAACTTACGTCTGACCAAGAGCCACCGCTGCCAGTTTTCCAGGTGATACTGGTCGCCTCCCCACTGCTGATGAAAGCGCAGGTCAGTCTGGCAACAGAGTTCTCCACTATTGAAATGTCAGTAGGGGCTTCCCAGAAGGCTGAAAACACAAGATGATAATAAAGTGTGGTTTTTGATGGTTAAGATCAGTTTTAATATCACATTAGGTGTGATTATGTTAGAAATTATGGAACCCCATTTTCGTGTTGTCCTTGCTGTGTTATTTAGTTGCTGCTGCTCATAGTGCAATGTATTTTCTATCTTCATAATTGATTGTTTTACTCTTATACATGCAGTTCTAAAAGTCCATAAAATTATACGAAGTGATATTTATAGAAAATCGCTTCTTGTCACTTAACAACCTATATAATTCGCACTATAATTACAGCTTCAATAAAACTCACATGTAACGGAGATTAGGAATCCTGGAGTTTTCAGTACTCCTGCATCGAAGCCGTTTCCATCGGCAGGGTAATCGACCGAACAAGAATAAGTGCCTCTATCGTCCACATTTGCGGTGGTGATAGTAAGAGTTGAGGTTCTCGTATTAAAGTAGTCCGCTTCTATATCCTTGTCAGAGGCGAAAGCTGCTCCGTTTTTATACCTGGGTGGGTTTTGTGAGTTTATGCCGGAGAAAGGACTACTATTATTAGTAGTTGATAAATTTGAAGTGAGATTAGAGTTAAACATGACTTCTTAAGCTTCTATTCTTTCTAGCGTAGGTATACCTAGGGTATCAGTTTAAATTTCATTATGATTAATATAAATGCTCATTGCTCACCAAGTAGCTGATGGATTCATTGCATTTGAAAATGCGCAAGTGAAGGCTTTGGTGGCGCCAGCTAAAATGGTCACATCCTCTGCCGAGTAGCTTTTCATTTCTGAAATAAGGTCATTATAGATTCATTCCAATGGCAGGATAAAAGTGAAATAAAAACAAAATGAACCAAATAAATAATACTTGACATGACTCAACAGACCTGGTAAAAAGGTTGATTAAATATCTGTAAGTTATATATATACACATTCTGTATATTATTCAATAAGAATGATAAGTTTACTTACTGAGTACTCCGATAGTCCCGGAAGTTTTGATTGTTAACCCGTTAACGGTGGCGCGACACTCGATACTGGTATCTGATCTAGTTAGACCGATATCGTAAACACTGGTGACCTGGTTGTTTTCGTAGGTGTTCTTACTTGCAGACTTTGCTCGACCTCCGACATACCTGGTACACGAGGTTAGCAATTAGCGAGCTCTCTTATCTTTTTAAATATTTGATAAGCGGCTACCCGGTACATGCTTATTGCTTATTGTACATTACATACGGCCACTGTCCGTAGATTATTGCACATATAGTGCATATAATGGCATGCTTAAAGGAAACACAACCAAAAAGCAGAAAAATTGCGATTGGAACTGGAAGCCTGATAAATTTTGCAAATGAACCCAGCAAGAAGGTATTGTGTTCTTAAAGTGTCACTGCTACCTACAAAACTTTTGTGGTATTAAGACTGAAATCGTGCTCAAGCCATATAAAGCTCATTTTTGGGCATGAGGAGCGCCCCACATAACATCAATTATTTCAATATCCATTATCCAGTTAATATTTTTTAATGAGTTAAAAGTGTAAATGACTTCATGAGTTAAAAGTCTGTCTGAACCCACCAAGTAACAACAGGTTCAGCTTCAGTCTGAGCAACACAAACAAATTGTCTCCCAGTACCATCCACAATATAATCACTTCCCAGAGTGGTAACCCAGCCTCGGACAAACAAATTGACATTATCAGTCTCCAGAGATCCAGCCACTCCAGGGTAAGTGGCAGAGCACTTGTAGTCCCCGGTTTGAGAGAGGGTTAGGGAGTTCAGGGGGAGAGACAGAGTCCGGGTTGTTCCTTGTGTAGTAGCGGTTGCACCTGGGAAAGCGGCTGTTAGACACCTGTTGTTATAGTTTTACCATGAAACCTGCCCGTTTGGAGACGAAACGTTTCATTTTTACAAAGCAATAAAAAGTTATCGAATCAAATTTTACAGAGAAATGGAGAGGTAGAGGGCTCACCTGTTTGTGGTACACTGTCCTTGGTCCACTGAAGAACAGCATCTACAGACAGACCTGTAGGCTGACTGACGGAGCATGTCAGAGCGGTGGACTCTCCAGCAGTCTTTGCGATAGATTCTGACACCGACAATACTTCTGTGGAGATAAGTGAAATGTTAAGTTACCGTTTCCAAGGTCAATTTGTATGTTATTTTAGATATGCGCACTCGGAGCTGTCTATCAGATATAACCCGCTCCACAGGGTTCATTTAAGATAGATACGTTCTTATCTTAATGTTAATCTATCTGGTGAGTTGTATAGAACTTTATAAGTTAAAAGTTTACTGTTAAAAGACTCACTGAGCTGTGTAAGGTCAACACCAGGGGATAACAGTGAGCTTGTCAAGCTGTTGTAGTACGCAATGCATGCGTATTTCCCGAAATCTGATTCTTTCAGGTTGCTTATCGTTATCTTGTTCACCGTCGTCTTTGAATTGGTGCTGAAAGTGTATCGGTTAGGCTAACAAGCAGTCCAAGGGAATAATACATTTAGTTCGATGGGACTTTGAGGGTTCGATTTAAGGTTTGTCTGTAGGAAATAGCAGTTACGGTTTACACTTAATATCTTATCATAACGGGGAATTACCTCTTGTGGCGGGGAAAGTTGTTCTAGTTAAAGGCTTAGTTTTGATTTTTGATTTACAGTAACCAATAAGGAAGTCAAAGTTAAGTTAAATGCATTTCTGTTCAAGATTAATCAATTATAGTGTCATATGGAAAGGAAAGTTGCTATGATGCTTTGATAAATTGTTTAATCTAAAGGTTTTTTGAAACCAATGGGCATCATAAACTGTTTTATAAATCACAAATGAGCCGCCAACAACAAAGACTTCATAAATTGAATAGTTAATTTATACAGTTAAATATATCAACAAACTTAAAACACACTTTACTGATTTAGAACATCCATTTTGAAACTTTAACCTTAGCGTAACGATCAATAATCGATTAACCATAGTCAGTAAATTTCAGAACATTCTTCCTAAATTCAGAGCTGTGCTCTCCCTTACGAAATATTGGTGTAAGTTACTCGTAGTAGAACTTGTGTTTTACAACAGCTATGGCTAGCATAGCTAAAGTTCAAGTTCCTACGGATTTCGGGATTGAATATCTCGGATCCCCGTCCCACGGCAACCTCAAGTTTCTGCTAAAAGGTGGAGAGGAACTCCTTGCCAACTCAACTGTCATGTCCTTCAATAGTCCCATGATCAAGAAACTGACAACTGAAAACGGTCAAACAAGTACAGTATTTGTTGACGCCTCAGCCTTCTCCAAAGATGCTGTGCAATGCTTCCTTGATGCATCCTACTCTGGAAACATAAAAACCATTTCAAAGTCCACGTTTCGAGATGTCAACAGTATGTGTCACGCATTCCAAGTGACATGGCTCGCTGAAAAGTGCTTCAGCTTCTTCCAGTCACAGGTGGATGCTGTTAAGGATGACCAATATGGCGATCAGCTCTATGTCTACGAAGAAGCGATGTTCGTTTTGGATACTCATGAGAAGAGACATTTCATGGAAACTGTTATCAAAAGGTTCTCGTCCCAGAGAACCTGCACCCAGCATTTTGTTACTAACTACCTCGCCGACACTTTACCTCGCTCCGTAAAAAGTCTCGATGTGATCATCAAAATGACAGCAAAACAAGAACACATTCTTGTAGATTTTCTTGTCAGAGACTTTGAAAAAACCAACTCCTCGCTGAGTAAGAACAGTAGGTACATATTGGAAAGACTGGACGTCACTATCTATCAGCCTACCTACGAGTTGTCTTATAGACGTCTGTTGGAGAAGCTGGAGAACATTGATAATCCATCAACTGAAGACTATCGGCTGATAGTAAAGATTCTGAGACAGTCTAACAATGCACTTAAACGAATGAGAGATTCCACCTCTTACACCAGCTTACCAAATCTGTTTCACGACTTTCAACAACTTAAAGATTTAAATGACCCCGAGGCCCTTACTGCTTTCGTAGTTGAGTCTACTTCGACAAAAACCAGTTTCATAACCTTCGATGCAGTATATTGCTGGCTGCTAGAAAACCAATTAGATGGATCTCCGTGCCTCTCTGTTAATCACACATTTCTTAGAACACTCTGGAAAAAGCTATCAAAGAGTGGATGGAGACCTTTGGCTCGTGAATACATCGAACACAAAGCTAAGTCATGGGCGGGTGGTCTAACTGAAAATATACAGCAAAACCCGAAACTTGTGACTGAGAAGCATTACTACATCACCCGATCTGTCTCTAAATACACACCAGATGAACTGTTTTCCAGAGACCACCACATGAACTTTAAACTCAAGATAAATCCGACAGAAAATGCAGCGAAGCAGGAGATTGTGGGTTTATTCTCCGTGTTACAGCAGAATCAGGAGATGCTCCTTTCAATATACAGCTGGTTACAGACCCCACCCTTTACTCCACAGACATCCACTTACACAAAGAAGATTCCCTAGTTTGTAAACTTCACCTGGCTCTTGATGTTACCAATCACAACGGAAATGCTAACCGTCCGGTCACGTGGTACGGTAAACCATGTCGGGATGGAACCAACAAATACTGGTGCTGGGGTCCCTACCAGTTCTACAAGAAGGGGGAAGGAGCAGCTCCTGCTGGTGGCATTTATGAGCAGTTCTTGTTCTATGGCAGTAATGTCAAGATACGACCCGTGGTTTACATCTTTGATTGAATAGATATCATTTTAAGTGGCATTTTAGTCACACATTAATTTGGCAAGGACGGTAAAATTTTGGCTCTTAGACTATCCATTTGCATTATTATTATTTTTTTTTTTAGAGAGGCTGGGCCAAGATAGCCCACGAGAGGATAGCATTGAGATGCTCTGCCTACCTCTGGGGTGTGGCAACCTTGGGGAAGGTTGCCGGTGAAATCAGAGTGATTGGTGGAGGATGGTGTAAGATGATATATGAGTCAAAATGATACGCTTAAATGCCAGCTGGGTTTGGAAAAGTAAAACGAGACGAGACAGCATATGAGATAATACTTTAAGTCACCCCGGTCTGATCCAGCTCTTCCGGCACAATTAAGCGTTTGGTGCGGTTTGCGAAATTGACAATTGTGGTGATGTGTTGGTTGTCGAATATGTCATTGACAGAGAGGTAGTAGTCCTGGAAATATTGACCTCTAATTTGGGCAATAGCTGGACACTGTCCAAGGAAGTGTGAGACAGTTTCCTCTCCGTCGCCGCACATAGGACAAGCACTGGTGTTTGATTTGCAAATGGTGTGAAGGTGTTTGTTTAAGCCGCAGTGACCCGTGATGAGGTGAACTGCAGTTCTGTAATCTTGTCTGTTTTTGCTGAGTGTAGTGTTGAGGTTTTTGATGATTTGCATTATTGTGTATCGTAGATTAGTTGTTCGGCACAATTTACGCCATTGCATGTAATGTTTTAGACTTAACTTTTATCCACGAGGGCATTATAATAGATTTAGAACTTTTAAAGCTAATTCGGAAGAAGCTGTTCTAAAACTTGTTGCGTGACGGCGCAAATGTAATTTTAGAAACTTCGAGCATGGGAACAAAGATTTTATTGTAATTTTCAAACTCGAGTGGTTCCTTTTTGTTTTGACGAGACATTATTTTAAATCTTTACTGCGTAGTTCATTGTACACGTCAATTCAAAACTGTTTAATTATTGCTGCGACAAATGGTCTATCTAAGTTACTACTAACTCTGCTAAACTGAACAAATTCTGAAACTTAGGTGAATAAGTGTACAACGTGCTAAACCGAAGTTCAGACTGACCAGTGAAAATGGGCGAGCGTACCAAGTGTCATTTTAATTAGAAGTTTTAGTCAGTGATTTATTATTGAAGCTTGTAATTACAATATCTAATACTCCTATAAATACTTTAATTAATTGTTTGTCCCGTTATTCTTTTTCCTTCCTCTTTTCCTTGTCATCCCCTTTAGTTTTAAGATTCTTGCTATAAATGGCTACAGCTAACACTATTAATGCTAAGTACCAAACAACAAGTGGGAGGTGGATCGTTGGTACCATTAATTCGATTTAACACCGCAATTCCAGTCGCAAGCCTGGGACCACTACTAGCATAGTCACAACATCTACAAAGCTGCCATATAGCCTGACTGACAATTTTCTCGACTGACTGACAATGTTTCTTCTTTTTCCCCATTTAGAATACAAAGATTAGTACATTTTAGCTTATGATTAATATTATATTTTTACCTATAGTTTACCTAGATTAAAATCATGGATAGACGATAAGAATGAAGAAAAAAACAGAAACAATTCTCCAACCTGAAATCACTGATAGCATTAGCATCTACAATAACGTTCTGTTCCTTGGTCCAGTCGACTCGTTCTGGTCTGTCAGATTTGACGGTACAGGTCAGGGTTACTGATGATCCTAGAATACCGAACTCTGGCTTCACCTCGATGTCTGTAGAAGGTGATGTCAGTTAAAAAATGTAAGATAAGTTTTGAATTGAAGTTCTTCTCTTCTAAAACACTAAAAAAGTACTAAACACAAAATCTTATAATAATAATTGTAGATAATATAACAAAACTTACTGTAGATGACAAGAGAGGTGGCTCCAGATTCAGCAGTTGCAGAGTTTCCAAAATCAGCCACACACCGATACACGCCCTCGTACTGAGTGCTAGCCGAGTTGATTGTCAGCACAGATTTCAGGGTCTGGTCTCTGTCTTGGTACACGCCAGAGGACACAGCTGAGGGTGGAGGACTTGTTAATGAGGTAAGTAATCATCGCGGTCGTTTTTTAATAGCACATCTTGGTTTGCGGTCTGACTTTGGTCTAGAAAGAAATATTCATAAGGTCTATTGAAGTTTCATTCCCACGAATTTCCAGGAATAATTCATTCGTATATTAAATTGTTTTGTTAACTTGTTATTTCAGCCAACTTTCAGCCAATGCTGCTTATCAACAAAGCGCAAAAATAAAAATATATTGCCGTATTTTTAAGTCGAACGTGCTTATCTTGTCAAGGAGAACTCACAAGCTTCACTGAGAGAGCTGGACGGTATCTGATTATCGTTGAAGTTCCAAGTTATAGTTGCCGGACCTCCACTAGAGACACAGGTAAAGGTAGCTGACTCGCCAACCTTGGGATTCTGAATCTGCGGTGAAATTGCAAACCCTGGGAAAGAGATCTTGTGTCATGAACAGTTTTGTGATAACGGGCTTGGCAAGCAAGCTCAGGGGAATAGATCAGACAAACATGATTTTAGAATTATCGAATTATTCAAGTGATATTCATTACAGTAGAAAAAACAGAGCTGCATTCATTATCTTGATTCAGTGTGAAGGATGTAAAATTTGAAATGGAGTCGCAATACACCCACCTTGAACAAAGAGAGTAACTTGGTCACTTTCAACAACTTTGTTGTCAGTATAAGTAGCCTTGCAGTAGTACTCTCCCTTGCTCCCCAGGACCAGGTTACCCAAAATAAGTTTAGACTCATACTGGGTGTTCCCCAAATCCTGGTTTATAACGCTCATTTGCTGGATGTCTGACCCAGCAGAGTTTACTTTGTACCTGAGTTACAAGTGAGTCAGACGAGAGGGTGAAGAATAGCAAAACACAAGCTGTATTCACAACAACAATCTTATTAAGACGTAGAAGAGGAACGACTTTATAGTTTGGTAATAAGCTGATAATCTTCTGAACAGAGAGAAAACACGTACCATTGTACGTTGGTTACAGGGTTGATTACAGGGTTGCCCAAAGTGCAGGTAAACTGAACACTTTCACCCTCCGCTGCACTTATGTCTTCAGGTGGGATCACTACTCCCTCATCTGGAGAGAGAAAACACGGTGTTAATATAAAACACGGTGTTAATAAAAAATACGGTGTTAATAGAAAACACGGTGTTAATAGAAAACACGGTGTTAATAGAAAACACGGTGTTAATAGAAAACACGGTGTTAATAGAAAACACGGTGTTAATAGAAAACACGGTGTTAATAGAAAACACGGTGTTAATAGAAAACACGGTGTTAATAGAAAACACGGTGTTAATAGAAAACACGGTGTTAATAGAAAACACGGTGTTAATAGGAAACACGGTGTTAATAGGAAACATGGTGTTAATAGAAAACACGGTGTTAATAAAAAACACGACCGTGTTAATAGAAAACACGGCGTTAATAGAAAACACGGTGTAGATCGTTATGACGTTATCTTAACTTCAAGAGATGATTTTAGAGAACGGTTATAAATCTACTGTGATCTGTGAGTGTGACCAACAATCAGTGTGATATACTGATATACATTCTACTTCTATAAGTGTGATCTTCTAGTGATCTATCTGATTGATCTAACTTTTCAGAGTCCCCATTTTGATCATGAAATCATCATGTACAAACACAAGTGACTTTACAATGAATTCTACCCTCACTTTCATGTGTCAGGAATTTTGATAAAATCACAGCATGATAGATGCTTGTTGTTTGGATAATAAATTGCACAAGAGACTGAGTCACGAGTCTGGGCCAAACAATTAAACAGCAAAAAATCGACTTCCTAAAAAACCCCTTACCTAGGCAATTTCCATCGCATATCTGAGTATCAACCGCATCAGGCAGCCACTGTTGTTCTGTTAATGACAGAAAACAGAGCAGTATAACAATTATCATGGTGAGAGAGCGAGATGATCGGACTAAATATTAGCCCCTCTTTCTCCTTTTCTTGAAGTAATAAAGTCACGAAGATTCGATCAGTAAAATAACAAACTATAGCAGGCACAGTCCAGCTGAAAAAACCCGCAGCGAGAAACGAAACAACTAAGCAAAATCTAGTTCTGAAACGAGCTTTTAAAATTGATCGAGTTTAATATGCATTGCAAAAGTTGGACACGTGACGTCAGTGGAGTGGTGCGTGCTTGTTATAGTCTGCAGGTCAAAGTTCGGAGCAGCGTAATGATAACAATACAAGTCGAGGTAGGATGACATAATACATAGTATAGGAGCATTGGTGTAGTATTTGAATAATGGTATGGACTGTAGGAACTACAATGCATAGTTATTGGGAGCCTGGTTAGATTAGTACCAGAGTATACAACCAGATTACTTCCTATGAGTACGAAAGGGGATGTTTTGACAGCTCCATCAACCGCAGGTGAATAGCTAGGGCTGGGCTTACGTGCTGTTCAAGGACTCAACGTTAGTTCACTATGCACTGTGCGTGGTAGGTTACAATACAAAAGATCGAAAACGGAATTACGACCCTGTTAATTATGAACATTGCGATGCGGCTACATCATAGGCCTAGAATTGTTGTGAACTTCAACTACCAAAACTCGACAGATATCAGTCAAACAAAATTAATTATGAACATTGGAAACACTAAGGTATACTACATGTTTACATGATACGATTACAGTTACGTCACGGAATTCCTATAATTGTTCCCAAGACATGATACAGACAAGAGAGTGAGAAGTGTGGAGAATAATGTACAATAACAAAGGTGTACTCTTCATAGTTGTACGTGTAATGTGCCAATGAGGACGCTCAATGACGCTACGATTGAGTTATTCTGATTGGGGAATGTGCAGTGATTGTCCAGGCTAGGCAGCTGGCAATTTGTCAACTCGTCATCGGCAAATCAAGTTTTGTTTGCGTGAGAAATCAGATTCCGCCACCACAAAATAATATTAGTAGTAGCCAGTAGGTAAAGACCGCCACACAAAAAAAACAAAGGAATGTCATGAATACCGCGGTGGTGTCTCGGTAACATAAATTAAGGGGTAAATGCCATTGTTGGAACTAGATCGCAAGCAATTTTAATAACCTGCTGCTGTTTTCTGGCGTGCACTTTATTTGACAGTGCACTACACTCTAGCTATCCAATATGCCATCCACTTAGCCATTATATGTCCCAATTGTACGTTTATATTATTGACAATGTGTCGCGACTCCAACGCTCCAGAGGCAATGGTCATTATTATAAAATTATAATCATAGCATAATCCTGTTTTTTGTTATATTTGCACCATGATCAGACAGCTTTGAGATCAATCCAAGTTGAGTATACTTATTTCATAAAATATTTGATTCTTCAAGTTCAAACAGGTTCAATTTTGAATCAAATCTAATCAATAATGTTCAATGGGTAATCATCACGCTGCAAATCAGAAAAAACGAACTTACCAAACATTCTCAGAACCTGAGCTAAAATTTACTGTATAAGCTTTTAGCGAAAAGATTATAAATTTCCCAAGAGTCGAGTGGGCCACAAAAATAAATGTTAGAAAAGTAAAATCGACCAGCTCGCGGTTTTTAGCAAACACAGGATATTATGCTATCGAATAATGCATACAAATATTATTGATGCAATTACAACGAACTGAAACTTACTGGTATTAACGAAAAGCAGAGCACTGGAGACGAGGGTTGTGTCAGATGTGACCATGGTGCACTTGTAGTTGACACCGTTCTTAGCAGTGGAGACAGAGGACAGAGAGAGCACCGAGGTGGTCTCCTTACTGGTGGGACTGTACGAGGTGGAGATGCTTTCTGCGTCTGAGGGGAGTGGCGTTAACATTTGCAGATATTATAATCATACCAGTAATCATTGTAATTATTGTAATTATTGTCTCATTGTGATCATTGTAATCATTGCAATCATTGTAATCATTGTAATCATTGTAATCATTGTAATTATTTTAATTATTGTCTCATTGTGATCATTGTAATCATTGTAATCATTGTGATCATTGTTTAGGTATGATTCATGATGTGAATCGTACGTATATATATTATATACTTTGTAGATATACATAGATGGGTATTAAAAGGTTTATTTAACAAATATAGTGTCAGAATATTGTTATAACCTTAAAGTCTTAGATAATACAAATAATAAAGATGGAATTATAAAATGAAATATCCTCACTGGAGTAAGCAATGTAGTTTTCAGTCCAAGAGACTGAAGCCTGTGCGTCTCCAACATAAACACATGTCAGTTCTACGTTTTCACCGACACGGGCGTATTTGTTTACTAATCCCTTCTTTATTGCTGAAATATGGTGGTTTAACAATCAAGCTACAAAAAGCTAGAGCTTACATTTTTAAAGAAATTTGCAGGTGAATATGCTCCTGACAGCGATAATTTTAAAGATCAAGATCTGATCAATTCACTAGATAAACCTCAATTTTGTGAATCGACAATTGACAAATTCTCTGCTGGTGGCCTCACCAGTTTGGTGACATCATCACTCTTATACTCATATCATGACGATCTAAATTATTAATTCTTTATTTTCGTAAAGGTCAACGAACGAATTTGATCCTAATAATTGTACGGGTACGAGAGGTTAGCTCATGGTTAGGGGTCGGAACTACGAATGAGTATAAACCACATTATAATTATAAACCACACATTCTCCTGATTATTCCACGAAGGTGAACCCTTCAGAGTCTTTCCATGATGACGCTCATGCTTGTGGTAAGCAAATGCATGTCTTGGAAACTTTAAACTCCCGACCAGGCTCTGTCGTTGCTCGTTGAAATCTACATGTGTTACGCTGCAGTGCCAGTGAAATAGCTGTTTAACAGCACTAGCTTGGCAAAGATAGCCGTTCATTGTGATAGCGAGCTTCACTGTGTTTGTTGTCATGCGACACTATGGGTGACGTCTGTAGTGCGGTTTGAGTGATGTAACGCGCTATATTTGCACCCGGATAACATCATGGTGATGGCAAACTTTGCATCTCCCAAGCAACCAAACTTCATGGTTAAGTAAAAACATTCATCTGTGGTATAGCATGCGAAATTGTCATGAACTAGACTGCGATCGCTTAGCGACTGCCGACTATAGCTAGCGACTCGAAAGACTACTGCGACCAAACTCAAAATCAGTCCCAGACATTCTCAATTTTAATTCTTGAACCTAAAATTTTGAAAACTGGCTTTCGCCTGTTCCAATACTCCCAAGAGACTTTATAGGAACTTTAAGTTTTAATGTTTACCTCTGACATATACAGGTTTAGGATTGCTTGTGATGACTCCAATCCCCTGGTAGGAGGCGACGCACTTGTAGTCGGCAGCATCAGATACTGTCACAGAGTTCAGATCCAGAGTTGCAACTCCCGGTTCAAATATCATGGAGCTGGGGGAGCCTAGTAGATCACCGTCCTGAGGGGAGATTGGTTAAGAATCTGATCAAATTATGAATTCGCGTTTTCATTTAAATCTGTTTTTTGAATTATTATGATGAGAGATGTTATCCGCACTCTTTTTAGTTCTCTTCCTCAGAATTAGTACTCTTAGATGAAGAAATAATGATTTCTACAATAAACTATTGAATGAGACTAAAATAGTTTTGTTTAACAACATTGTATGCGGATATTTAAGCATGTGTTTATGAACATTCGAAAAGTGTTCAGGATAGAGTAGTTTAATAATTAGAATAAAAACATTTTCTGCGATCTGCATGAGAAAAGAATAAAGTACTGTCAGAGATTGGAGCTGTTCTCTTTAATAAAAAACAAAGCTATATTCAAGAAAAACTACAATTTATTAAGTATGCATTAAAATGACGAATCACATACCTTCATCCACATACAATTAAGTATTCAAACAATATCCACATAATATCAGCATACCTTCATCCACTGAACCTCCGCAGGGAGGTCTAGATCGTCAGGGTTGGTCACTGTGCAGGTTAAAGTTGCAGACTGACCTACCTCTATCGCCAGGGATGAGGTATCATACGTGATCTCTGGGATTAATTGTGAAATTAGAAAGATTGTTAATCTTTTAATCACTAAAACTACAATAATATCAAAGCACTTAATAAAAGTTAAGCGAGAGAGATTCAGTATTGATTCCTCACCTAGTAATCCAACCTCTACATTACGAGCAGCTAACTCAGTGTTCCCATTGATGACGGCTCTACATTGGTACTTGGCAACATCGTTGGAGGAGAAGGAGGGTAGGGTCAGCGTGCACTGGTGGGTGTCCCCGTCGGAGGAGATACTACTGATCCCAGAGGACACCTGGAACACAGGAACAGGGTCAGATATTTTATTGTAACAGTCCCTAGATTTATGACAAGAGAGGAATCTTGAAGCAGCTCAGGAAGATTCTCGAAGTAGGATTGCGAATCAGTTTATTTATCAAATTACGAACCTGTTGACTGTCTTTCCACCAAGTACAGGTAGAGGGGGCATCTCCTGATGTCACCTGACACGTCAGAACACCGTTTGTTCCTCCGATTACTTGACTGTTTTCTGCTCTTGTTGTTACGTCTGAGGGGAGGGTGTGTTAAGGGGTTTAGATTCGTTTTAAGAGATACACCTTATCTGAGGGGGTCTTCAAGGGGACCCTGACAATACAAGCCAGCAACTAAATCTACTGACAATGATAAGAAATTAATCCACAAACTCACAGCTACAGGAAGGTAAATCAGATGCGCAGGTGGTGGTAAACACGTTGTTGTTGTTGATCTTATAGGTGGAATCACAGGTTATGGTAACTTGAGACCCGTCTGCAATTTGGTAGCCGGCGGGTGGGTCTGGTGTTCCGTAGGGCACTTCAGGGATCTTACAAACGACTGTGGGGAAATGTTTGGTGTCAACATACATCAAATTTGGGAGCGTTTTTAATGTTTTATATGGAAATTTTGTTAGGCGATAATAATCAAAATTTCAATAAAAAGATTGGAAGACAGAGAAATAAAATACAACATTGTATAACAGCTACCATTATCCTGTAAAATCACGAACCTATGCAGCTGTCCTCAGATGCGCTACCAACAGAGATGGTAGATTTTCCTGCGTTACAACTGTTACAGAAAGTCTGCCCTGAGCTGCTCTGATAGGTGCCCTTGGGACACTGCACACAGACTCCGCCTGAGGCAAAGGTTCCGGCTCCACATTGACCTGGTGGGGTTATAGTTTTAAAATGTGAAACTGAGGGGTCGGTCGTTACACACTACACAGTTTTTTTGTTGTTGCAGTAAATACAACTCTTCAATGAATAAATGAACATTTAAATGAATAGGTTGGTTTGGGTATTTGCCTAAAGAAGTGCTCATCAAAAGTCGAAATAAGCGTGGATGTTTTGAATTATAAATTCAATGTTAGTAATTTGTCAGGGTTTTGTCAAGTACCTGACGTTTTGTCGTAATCTGGGATCAGTATTTTGTCATGGTCATTTATAAGAACATATTTGTGTATCGTGTAAGTGTCCGTTAATGTTTGTTGGTTGTCTTTGTGGGTGCCTAGCAAAGAGTCTGTGTCGGTGTTGACGCATGAAATAAAATAGTTTGTATGAGCGGAAAACGTTTCAAAAGAAAATAAAGATTTACAACACAAAGAACACCGACAGTTTTTGGTCCGGTTGTGGATATACCCAGTATAAACACGAGCCCTCAGAGCTAGTGTTTATACATTATCGATCCAAGCACTGGAGGCGTTTTAAAAATTTGACAGCAAAAAGTCCTAGAAATTGTTAAAACACTAATTGTTGTATGAAGTTTAAAGATTGTATCCAACAAGAAGCGAAGAAGCTTGAGTAGTGACAAAGTAACAAATAGAGATATACTTACTGCACTGGCCGTCAATACCGACTGATCCTTCAGAGCATTCTTGGCTAATTGTAGACTCTGAGTTCCTTCTCAACTTAGAGGTAGATCGTTGTAGACCGACTATACCGTCTATACCGATATCTACATCTTCTGGGAGGCCGGCGTTGTACCTCTTATTTCTCAATACAGATCGTCTAAAACGATATGGTAGATCTCTCTTCTTTCTGTTGGAACCCCCCTCAGCGAGCTGAAATAACCATTTGTAAATTGATATAAGTCAAGGTTACCAGACGTTTTACCCTCCATAATGAAAAAGTTAAGATAAATTCAAAATGATGTAAGATAGTTAGGGCCATGTTGTACCCACCTGACAGAATCCAATGAGTACAAATACCACCAACAGGGTAAAATAACACTTCATAAAGGTAGTTATCCGAACTTCTTGACCTTCAGTAAACTAAGAAAATACTTAAAATGTTTTAAAGGCTGTGGAAGTTAACAAAAGCAAACGGAAGCCGGATCAAACTGAAAAATTATGAGAATCGAACAGAGCAGCTCTTATGTAACAGAGACGAAGTTGCTTGTGAAGCAATTGCTTGCCAACACTTCGAATAAAAGATCTCGTTCTGGTTTGGCTATGTCGTGGATAACTTACGAGAAATTGTGTACTCAGCTAATTTAAACTCTGAAGGTGATCAAGAAACAATGACATGAAACAAATGGTGCGCGTTCTGACAAAGTGCCTTCAGAAAGCATCGATTACAGTCTACATATTAACTATTAAGACGCAATGAAACTACCGGACCACGATGTCTGGGGACTTGCCAGTTGCCACCCCATGGCAACATTAAAATATATCGACTCTGTTACATCGTTTCCTGTTAATATAAACCTCCGTTACAAATTGAACTGGGATCTGGCAATACTACACCTTAGTTCAATAAAATATGATAAAGTATTGTATAATATTCAGTCTCATGGTGGGGACATGCATATTTTCGCGATAAAATGTGAAAGTAACCAATACAAGGCTTTTTGTTGTTTTTTCATTGCATTCGGTAAGTAAACCTATAATGTTTTCTCACGAACAACAACAGACGAGGATACGACTGAACAGACATCAAAGTATCATAACGATCAGCTGAGTGACGGTGCATAAATTCAATGTAATGCTTCCTATACTGAACATTAATATGTGTTTTGCGGAAAAAAACCGTGCTTTCTGTAAACCTTCATCGGATATAAAAGCGAATATTTGTAAATCGATTCTAAGCTCTCCTCATCCTTTAAGAAGTTAGAACAAGAAAAGGATTCTGGAAAATATATTACATCGAATCAATAATATTAGCTTCATCATAACTGCTTTAACTTCATATTGGGAGTGAAATTATGGTGGCCATATTTCATAGCTTCATGTTCGAGTATTCTTACATATATTAAAATATGCAGACCACAGGTTTAAACAAATAGGTGATAAATTAGGCATGCTCCACACTACTCCATTATCACTGATAATGTGGAGCATCCCAATAACGGTTACAAAATGCTAGGAAATTACAGTCGAGTATCCTCTTGTTGTTTTGACATTATGCAGCTTGTTTACAACTCTTTGGAACTGAGAGGCCTGTGTTTATCAAATATGTAACTGCATTGCTCTGGTAAAGCTTATAGGCTCCTGGCTCGGGCAATTCTTTGGTATTTCAGAATGTCTGTCATTTGGTTCTACAAAGTTTTCGTTGGTTATTACCTATCAAAGAATCAAGCAAGTCCAACGACAAATGACAACGGCAATAAAACAGAGAATACTAATGTTTTACCAGTGGTAGGCCGTAGGTTGCCATCACAGCTTATTGTGTAAAGATAGAAAACCTTGGTTATACTTATAGATGTCTAGATAGTGATACCGAATGTACTGTTCAAACTGGATTCTGAGAAGCACAGATAATCAGGTGTGTTACAGGTGCTGATAACTGCTCATGTTCTATTCATATATTTATAACACTGAATGGGTACTATTTGTATATCAGTCATTGCACAATACAGTATCATAGCCTTTCTTGTGGTGAGATCATATTCATAGAAATATACGCCAGAGTATGAATAAAGAAGCAGTGCGACAAAAATATCAAAACGATAAGGCAGTTAAAACTGAGAAACATTTGCGGTCAAACTAAAAACACATGTAGCTACGTGTGTAATTAACCGAGCTAAGCGTGAACAATATACCGTAATAATATGTTGCTCAGAAGAGACAATAGACGTTGTGACGCCTGATAGAGTTAAGATATAACACAGACCAAGCTAGACGCGGGAAATAATATTATGAGGTAGATGGTCTACTAAACTGCTTTCGCATTCATCACATAGTGTGATGTGTGTTCACGCCCATGATGTGTAGAAAATAAATTTGTAAGGTTAACTCTCAAGCATCATGACTGCATTGACGTCCTCATTCGAACTAATGATATACTAATATAGTACAGTTCTGATGATGATGATGTTGTTGTTGCGAAGAAATTAATTGATGAATAATTATTTTCGATTGTCTTTGTCAGATGATGTTAGATACAAGTCACAAGTCACTTATTCAAAATATATCTCGATTCGACAGATATTGAATTAAACTGTGAAGATTGTAGATTCTAATCATTTGTCAGTGAGACTTTATTTATGAAAGATCATTGTCGTTTCAAGCCACTTGATCCGTGAAGTTTCAGTCTGGATTGTGAAATACTAAATAATCTTTACGTCTCATAAAACTTAGAAATGTTACGCTCAGGTGATTTATAGGAATCGTTCTTTAGGGATTGGATCAGAGTTTTACTAGGATGAATGAGCATTGTCGTTCACGAATTAAAATTATGAGTCTATTGACTATTCGTTTTAAACTCAGAAAAACAACAAAACAAATTCTTCGTCAATCATCGTGGTGACAGTAAACAGAGTTGATCACTCAAATTTCCACAATTGCGTAGATGTCACACTCGGAAATCAACGAAGTACTGAATTAAGACCAGTTTCAGTGAATACCAATTGCCAAGAGTTACAAAAATTCAGAAAAATAATGAGTTTTCAAAAAATTAGATAGCTTACCAATTCATCAAGATCGAGTGTTGTTGTTCTAAGATACGGTGCGACTTCGTTGAGCAGGTCCACAAGAACGTTTGCATCTTCTAAGTTTGTGTCCTGAAAATATTTTATCGTTGAATTTGACGATTCAGTTTTGTTCATTATATCAATATTGTAGAGATTTTTCGAGCGTGATTTGTTTGCTTCCAAGAATTTCTAAATTGCATGCTTGTCACTTTCTCGGTTGTTAGTTTCATAACAAGTAATTTTGATCTTGTTGAAAAACTTTAGATGCATGCCTCTAGATTCAAATTTACTTCTTAAAAATCTAAAGCATGAATAACTCCAAAACTTCTTCGGACCAGTTGATGCAAAGCTTATTTCTGGAGATAAAAACCACACTAACTTTAACACGAATCGTCAAAGAAATATATGCTAAATTAAAATCGATTATTACAATATTAAGAATATCATCACGTATTTCCCCAAAAGAGCAAAAGGAAGTAACTAGCTATCATGTGATCAGTATCTTGACAATTGGGACTAACCTGAATGTACCGGAAGGTAATCCTCATGACTTGTGATGTGCCCGAACATGTTATTTGATCGTACAGGTACGCTTTTCCCGCCTGAGCATGAAAAAGTTAATATTTTATCGTCGATTAGGATGTACAAGAGGAGCCAAAACATTAATACATTCACTTTATGTGTGTCGAGTTATCAAAATTTATACAATTAATACCAAATTGGGTGAACAGTCTTAACTTACCAAAACTTCGGCGAATTGGCCGTTCGCCAAATGTATCGGGTAGGCAGCAATAAACTTGGGACCTATTCCAATAGAACAGTAGTCTTTACCACTGAGACCAGTGTACGATACCACAACTCGTCCTATCCTTCTTGAGGGTAGCACTTTCACTGTGGGACAAAAGTCCGGTGATGATATATTATCGGGAACAGTAAATCTAAAACTCTTGGACATAAGTTGGTTGATTTTTTTCGAGCTATGCTCTCTCTTTGTAAGAGAGAAACGAAATATCACAGAGTGTCATGAGTAAACTTACAGTTGCAAGAGCCGACTTTTCCCGTGGGGTTGTCAGCTGACACGTGGTCCCACACTCCGTCATTACAGGTGTAAGTTATACCAGGACCGACGTAGCCGTCATTACAAACCACCTGTTATATACATAATAAATAAATTATGATGATTATATGAATTTTGCTTGATCTTAAATGTTTTACAAGCTCTAAAGATATATTTTATTTACGAAGGATTCAAGCCTAATATTGTGTGTTTTCCTTCGTGTCCAAATGCAACATGTAATACATAATGTTAGACGGATCGTGATTTCAGCTGATAGCTTATGTCGGTGTCGTTTACAATCGATTCGTGTATAAAAGATCATCTCCATAGATTGCAAGTTCTACTTGTGATCAACGTTTAAAATACGCGGAAAATCATGAGCTCAATGTAAATTGAATATTATGAATTTTGACTGTCCCGCGATGCTGCTCTCACCACACAAGTTTTTTCAGTATCGGGGCCGCTGCACTCCAGTCGACCATTATCCGGAACCTCGAGCACAGGGCACGAAGCCAGCACGGTGACAAAGGTGGACTCCTCCGCCGAGGTTCGGGTGTCATATTGGACCGCACAGCCGTACGAAGCGGTGTCAGCAACTTGCAAGTCTGTCAGCACTTTTTTACCTCGAATCTGAGGGTAGTTTAGGTAGAGTCCGAGCAGTGATGGTGACTATCAGTGATTGTATATTGACAGCATGACTAATTATGCTTTCAACAACAATGTTAATATTGATAAAAGCACAACTTTATTTACAAAGGTCTTCCTAAGCCTTACCCCCCAGTTCCATGGCCGGATATTATGCCAAATTATTAGACCATGGAACTGGGGGTGAAATCAGTAAGGAAACCCGGACATGCTTCTTCCAATAGAAGACATAATAAACTCACGGCAGTCAATGATATCTGTTCAGCAGCACTGGCATCACTGTCACCGTCTGAGATTTCGAACCCGTTCTTGTACCACAGGAACTTAGGATTCGCTTGGTTATCCGCTGTACAAGTTATCGTGACGTCATCGCCTATGTTAACCGTTGTCTTGGTAAGCTTTAGAGAAATTATACCGTAGACGTTCAGGTTTACTTCTTCAGACTGGATTTCTCCCCCGAGGAAGACGTCTCCGAGAGGAGCGTAAGAAACTTTACAAATGAACTTTCCTGCTGCTTCCTGGATGGAATAAAAGGATAAGAGGAAGATAAGGTTCCAATGCATGAAAAAATCATAATCCTGGCAATTGATTTCTTATGGTATGCACTTTATCCTAAAAATAAGCGTAACCGCAATAGTGATTAGTGGTGCCGCAAATGCTCACCCTGCCGATGTCCCTGATTCTGAGGTAAGAGGTATAACGGTTACCGCTGGCGGACACGAAATCGTCACCACCAGTGTATTCCACTCCGTCTCTCAGCCAGGTGAAACTAGGTTGTGGGGGACCTGTGTACGGAGAAGATTAGCTAGGAATAATCAAATTTAAGAAACGACAAAAATCCGCTATCAACAGTATCATCAAAGAAATATCTATTTCAATCAGATTTCCTAAGGAAAAAGTTAGAAACATTAAAATTTAAACCAGAAACCCCCGCTTTAAACCACCAACCTGTAGCAATACAGAAGAGTTTGCCAGTCTCTCCGATTAAGAAATCACTACTAGTTGGAGGCTGCTCTATTCCGATTACCACCAGAGCACAAGGTTTAGATCGCACTGTCTTTGATCCTAGATCCATAGCACACTCCAGGTTTCCAGCATTTTCGGGTTTGAGCGAGTCGATAGTCAGGACTGATGTTGTCATAAACTTTCCTCCCGATTGAGTTTTAACTAAAAATGAACCATGTACAATTTTTATTAATATTCATAAATCGTTTGGCCTATAAAACTGATCAATGCAATTCACTTAAAAAGTCAAAGCTGTCATTAATCATTATACAATGCAAGTTTTACTCGTTTTATTAGTTCACCTGGTGCCGAGATAGATCCTAGACCGATTGTAGTTACGTCCGTTCCATCTTCATACCAGATAATATTAGATGCATAGCTGTCTCCACTAGCAACACACGTGATCACAACCTTGTCGTTTACCACCCCACGTGCGGCTGTTGGGAATGACTTGATTCCCTCAACCGACAAAATCGCAGGAGCAGACTTAATAACCTGGTCGTCGTAGAAACTGATGAAGGAGATGTAGGAACCATCCATATCGCCAGTAACACTGAAGAAGACCAGGAAACTGGTGATACCGTCCTCATCCTCCCTGATATAGGTGTAAGTGCCGGTGGGGAGACCTCCACCGTCCATCTGCCAGTAGTTGGTGGGGGGAACACCTGGTGGCCCAGGTTCTATCTTGCAGGACAGTGTCAGAGAATCTCCAATCTGTATTGAGCTGCTGGGAGTGGGCTGAGCCAAAGTAGCTGAAAGGAGACAGAATTTATCTTTGAGTGTGAGGATGAGATCAGACATGGTTGCTTACAATTTTATAGCAGAAACTCATCCAACATCGGGTCACATACTAGCTTCATAATGAACGAAATCCCAAAGTAGCAGTATTAAGATGGGAAGAAAAGAAGGCTTTATAGTTGACTTACTCAGAACATTGAGTTCCACGACCCGCTCCAAGGAGTTTCCTCCGAACACCACAACACACGTGTACTCCCCGTTCTGGGTCTTGGTTACACTACCCAGAACCAGGTCCAACTGCTGGGAGGTGGTGGTGGTGGACAGTTGGGTGGCATCTTGTTTCCAGGTAATGGAGCTGGCAGCCGGGCTTCCCTCGTAGATACAGGGTATTGTCAATTCTTCACCCTGCTGCGCTACGAACGCTCCTTGTCGGGGTTTCAGACCTAGAAAGGTTATAGTGAGGATTTTTTGATGTGCGCTAAGAAAAAAAGTGAACTTTATCATAGATCTTTATGCAGATAACAATAGCATGAGTTGGAAATTAAAAACCTACCGAAACATTGAGAAGGATCAGAAGAACCAGGGTTAGCGGTGGTAAAGTCGTCCGGACACGGTGTACATTTGATAACAACACCTCCGGGGGAGTAAGAACCAACAGGACAGTCTTCACAACCACCATCCCCTCGGAACTGTCCCACAGGACATGTGGCTGCAAGGGAAGTTAGTTAAGAACGGGTCCTAAATTTGGAGGATAAAGTCTCTAACTAGCAAGTATTGGATGATAGATACCCTGATATATATGCTATCTTGAGTTATATCTGGAAAAGCTAGTGAATTGGGAAATATTCTGGTCAATCTTACCGAGGACTGTGACAGTAGTGATTCTAGTCAACTCCTCGTCCCCCCACGCTGCTTTACAAGTGTAACTCTTATCCTCTTTAGTAGCACCCAGAGTCAAAGTGAGAGTCTGAGAGTAAGAACTGGTGCTGAAGCTGCCCTTGACAACAGACTCTGAGTTGGTGTTGATGTTCCCAACACCTCCCACCTTCTCACCATTACTGTAGAACCAGTCAAATGAGCCTGGTTCGGTTCCTTTAGCAGTACAGACTATTGGGTTGCTTGCGGAGTCTATGAAGACTGTCACTGATGTGGGTTCCACTTCGAGATCCAGAACGTAGTACTTTAGCGGGTCTGGGGAAGATTATTTTCATAAATTATACCGCGTTATTCATATTTTCATCGGGCGTTGAAGCAGATTCACTCAATTTAGGGAGTATAGTTCGAAATTTAACAGTAAGTTCAGAATACAGAACAGAAGTCGACAGTCACCTGATAGATAGTTAAGGAGGAAGTTGTTCTGCTGAGGGAAAGAGTAGGAAACCTTGCAGACCAGGGCATCCTGGGTGTTGAGACTGGAGGAGAGAGAGGATCCTATCCACACCAACTTACCTGTCTGACTGTCGTCTGGAGAAGGAGGTAGGGTCAAGACTATATTTTCAGGTTAGCCTTAAGTTTATTAAAAGTTAATCAAGCTAGATTTTTCAGTTTATTTACAGAATCTGTAGATCTGATCGCAACTATACAATTTAAAAAAGATCCAATCATGAGTAGAAATAGTAACCTATTTGAGCGTTGGAAATGAGAGAAGTGACTGGGGTATTCCCGAATGAGATTTCAGGAGTTATGGTCACCCCAGCGATGTACGTGAATGAGCAAGTAAACTGTTCATCTCCTCCGATCTTAACGGCGTTTTCGCCGCTCAAAGTAGCAATGCTGGTTGAATCTAAAAGGGTGATTCAATTAAGAAATCCACTCAGCAATAAAATCATCAGTCATATCGCTCACCTTGTTACAGAAGAGGGAAAATCAGAAATTTTGAACAATCAATCCAATTTAAAATGGATACTATATTTGATCCCATTACGACGATAACACGTGCGTTGTAACAAAGGAGCACTTACCAGCAATGTACTTCACGTCAGCTGACACCTCCACTCTCTGATTATCAGCAATGTAACGGAATGAGCAGCTTATCTTGTCATCAGCTGCAGATCTGACTGCTGAAAACACAGACTCCGTCCTGAAATCTGTGTAGTCTGTGTTGGTGATCTGACTGTCTGACAGACTACCCCCGGTTTCACTGGTCCACTGGACTGATGAGCTGGCTTCGTCCCCGTACACAGTACAGGTCAAGGTTACCTGAGTGGTTTTTGGTCAGGGATTACATACAATTTGTTGACTTTCATAGGACATTTTGGATTGAAATACGAACCTTCTCCATCGATCTGTTGATAAATATTAATGTACGCATGTACATCAAAGTAACACGCAATTGCAACTAATTGTAAACTATAAAATAAAGACGATCTAGAAACCTGGAGATTGCTAGCCCCGATGAACCACGCGTCAGAGGAGATGGTAACGTCCCGAATGTACAGAATATAGTCCGGTGTTGTGAAGGAGCCCACGTCATCTGGCCAGGTTACTTGGCACTTGTACTGGCCTGAGGTCATTGAATATTCAGCAATATTCAGCAGTAGTCAGCAGTAGTCAGCAGTAGTCAGCATTATTTGCAGCAATAAAAGTAGTGGATGATGCGTTCTTTCGGTATGATATGAACACTAATATACAGTATACTTGCTATACAGTATACACTATACACTTCATATAAAATAACAACGGTGATGGTAACTGGTCGCTAATAAATACATACTTAACATAAAGTTTGAACACAAAAGTACTTTTCCAAATACCTGAATCAGGACCGGCAGGATTCACTATTGGAAGAGTGGGGTTGGTTTCAGAAGAGAGGGGAGAAGATTTGAAGAGCCACTGGAGAGTAGGGGTGAGGGGAGAAGAGGTGTAATCACATGTTAGAGTGACGGGTGTTCCAGCGGGGATGGTGTTGCTGGAATCACTGCTCCTTACTCGTGCATCTGAATTACATGACGGTATAAGAAGCTATCATCCGATAAAGTATTAGAATATCATGACAAATCCATCGAAATCACGGAATATTTCAGTACAAACTATGTAAATAATGATATCAACTTTAGGTGTTTAGTCGTTTACGTTAAGTTATTCCAGTTATCTCACAGAGTAGAGCAAATACACCTTACAAGCTTACAAGCTTACACAACTTAACGATCAATCTCACCTAATATTTCCAACTGTTTTGTGGCTGTAAGAACTGTATCCGCAGAATCGTCCAGAACAACTCTACAGGCGAAGGTCGTCCCATCGGTGGTTGTTAGACTACTTACTGTCGTGGTCACTGTTCCTGAAACACAGTCATTAACGTTTTGTAAACAAGTATTAGCTAATAACTCAGAGTAAGCAAAGAACCCGGTTAGAATAATTGCACATGTCCCTGAATCGTATTGTTGACCTGAGCAACAGTTATACGTGTTAGCAATAGCTGTTACAACTGTGTTCAACTAACCAGAAGTAGATGTTTGGAGGACGGAGCCGCCAGTTTTAACGATCTCTGTGCTAGTAACAGTGGCAGTGCTGGTGAAGGAGCAAAACAACTCAACACTTCCTCCCACTGCTCGGTATACCGTGCCATCTCCAAACTCCAATTCTGTGGGCAAATTTGTTTATGAAATTACTTTCTAACTTTCTAAATCATTTCTAAACGGTGCAAGATAATTCATTTCTCTAAAATATTTTTTCTATAAAGATGATTTTTAGAATGTTGGTATGGCATTACACCCTAAAAATTAAAATGAGAAGTACGAACTAGTCGTACTTTTCAATTCGACGGTGCCAAGCCATACGTACTTTTAAATTTTTATTAAAAAGTACTGTCCCAAAAAACCATGCGCGAGAGAAAAATTTTGAAACACGACTGTTTGAAAATAGATATACATTATAGAACTGTTTGAAAATAGATATAGGAGTAAGGACTGATTGAAAATAGATCTAGGACTGTTTGAAAATAGATATAGGAGTTAGGACTGGTTGAAAATAGATACAGGACTGTTTGAAAAATATAGATATAGAACTGCTTGAAAATAGATATAGGAGTTAGGACTGTTTGAAAAGCCTCTGTCTTACCGTATGTTGTAATAAAGAGGTTTAGCTGATCAGTAAGGAACTGAGCTGATGTAGTAGAGGACTGAAGAGTAGCTTGACAAGTGTACGTTCCTGTATCATCCAGGGAAGCACTCTGAAATGAGAGAATTGTGAGGTTTATTGTTATTGTCACGTACGATGTGTAACTCGATGCTACCGCAATATTTAGAAATTCTAGATGGCAAATATCGCTCCGTGGAAGTGTTATCTCACTAAATTGTCTTCCTTTTTTTTGGTGAAGTCGGAAAAATAATAATTATTCAGAAGACATTAGGGAACAAAAAAAGATCATTTTGTGGACAAAATCCTGTCACTTTTCTGGAGAATAAGCGAGGATCTAAGCCGTTTATGAAGGTGCAAAATCTGATATTTAGTAGCTGGCTAGTAGTTTATTGGCTCGTGTAGTTCATATTTTTTCATACAAGCAGGACTTTGTTAGAAGGAATAAATTCTGTATCACTATTTGCTTCCTTTATTTAGGAATACTCGTAAAAACGCTTTGCAGGCATTTTCCGTACTTTATTTAAGCGCTCACCAAATTGAGAGAATGCCAATTGCCAAGTACGTAAATTTGATACGAGTTGCAAGCAACATTCGATGCAGGAATTTATTAGATAACACGTCCGACCAGTACCTACAGTTTGACCCGTGAAAGTTTTGCTTTTGTTTCGTGGCCTGATCGTCTGATTTTCAAATCATACCCGCATTATAACGTTCGCTGCCTCTTATAGATATCAAAAGTTGAACGATATTTATATTTTATGGATTGTGAAATTTAAGTTTAGCTGTCTAAGACTATGCATCGTAATGTAAATTCAAAATTAAAATGATATTTTGCCATAACATTCGAAGAATGGGCGAGTCATTTAAGATTCTAGAACATTATCTAAAACGTTTCTTTTAAAACGAGATTGTTATAACTTATAATCTAATTTGTAAGTTTCAATAGCGAATGAACAGAATTTTGCTGGTCACGTGTCTATTGTCCTACTCACGTGAGCAGTATACTTGCATTTGAAGAGCACAGCGTGGGTGTGTTAAATATTCAACCAACCCACAAAATCTGGCAACCAGTGATAGCAGGATACTAAGATAAGTAAATGAAGATAAATAGATAAAGAGCACGAGTCAAATAATCACGATAAACAGTGAAGTTCTGGTTTTGACTTTGAGAAGCCGTCGCCCGACAATTCGATATTTAAGCAGCTCATTTTAAAAAGAAACCCATTATGATTGTTGGGTTATTGTAGCTCGAACACAATTTATTCTCGTTCCATTCTTGGCCATGGCTAGTCTCTGGATTTTTTAGTTTATCGGATAATTTTTTCATTATGTACACTGGTAAAGTTAGTTATGAAATAAATTTTACTGCGGTAGTGAATTTTATATTATATACATATTAACACCTATTTTTCATTTGTTAGTTCATAGAAGGAAATCAACCAAAATTCAAGACGCTCACTATCATGGAAGGAAAGGTTAGTTCAATGAACAAATATGATTTCTTTTTAAGTTAGACACTTCCGCGTTATTTTTTTTGTAAATTTCAAAAGGTAATTAATCAGATTAATAATCTTTATAAATTCGCCCATAAACTGTCAAAAAACAACCGTAATTATTACTCAACAAATATTTTTTCTCAGAGCCCAAATAACGACAAATACGACGTGGCAATAGTTGGAGGCGGCATATCTGGACTGTATTGCGCCCTGAAATTACTGGAAAAGCCCGACAATCTTGAAGAGCTAGCTATCAAGAAAATCATCATCTTGGAGAAGTCTGTCAGGTGGGGCGGTCGACTGTGTACAGACATCATCAAAATAAAGAAAACTGAAGACAGAAGAGAATTTGTGAAAGAAGAAGAAGGTGCCATGCGCTTCACTTATCCGGACAAGAGCGATCCAAAGAGTAAGTCAAACATGCCCCTTCTAGCAGAACTGATTAAATTCCTCCAGATGGAAGACGACGTACTCCCCTTCTACATGGAACCCCGAAAAATTAAAAAGGAACCCCAAAATCAGCCAGGAGACGCAGATTCTGTGCCTAATTGTAACTCTCGCTATTTCAACGGGAGGCACTTTACTGACTGGTACACCACACAAAACCCCAATCTGTGGAAGAACCTGTTCAATCTGGAGGGGGATGAGGAGTTCAAGTCTGCGGGTGAAATTGTTAAAGATATTTACAGAAAACTCCTGGATCACAACAAATCTAAGCTTTTGTTCAATTTCTCAAAGACAGCAGAAGTTATTTTAGAACAAAAGGACACCAACCTTCTGCAAGAATATGAAGACCAAAAGTACTGGGCCTTTTTTAGGAACGAGTTCACATGGCCTGTGGGAATGCAAGAGATTCCTCTGAACAAATTCTCGATGCAAGCTCTACTGACAACAATGTAATATTCTCATGGATGTATCATGATGATGGTCCAAACGCAAGGTTTCTTATGTGTTAGTCTTTCTGAAGGGAATGTGGGGTCCATCCTGCAAGATCTTATAACCTTCAACCTCATCTGGAACAAACTCTACCAATTCAAGAAAGGGTGGTCATCCCTGGTCAACAATATTATAAAGAAACACTTAAAGAAAACCAACAGAAGCGATGGAGTGGAAGTAGAAATGTGGAACAGCTGCGGTGTTTCAACGATTTGTGAAGAAAAAAAAGGCTTTAAGTTGAGTCTTGAAAGTGTCGGCGAAATATCGGCAAAGCATGTGGTTATGGCTGTGCCACCGAAATCAGTTGAAGACATAACTTTCTCTTTCGAAAGCGAAAATAAAAGTCTAGATACCATATGCCGGCCAGTCGAGGGAATTCACTGCACAAAGATAAACCTCTACTTCGACAACGATTGGTGGAACCAAACGGAAGGCACTCTCATGTATGGACCTAACATCACAAGTTTACCCTGCGGGTTCGTATACCCTTTCTACGGAGATTGCAAGTCAATAGGATGCAAAGGCTGTGATAAGTGTGATGATGACCCCTGTCCAGCTGCCCTAACAATCTACTGTGACGTCAACAACGCTCAATACTGGAGCTCACTCCAGAAACTTGGCAATAACTTCCAGTCCCCACTTCAGATGGAAAAAAAGAAGCTCCGCCCTGCGTCAGAATCAGTAGTCGACGAAGCCATCAAGCAGTTTTCTAAAGTTTTCAACATCAAGGACATCCCTCATCCGATACTGACAAGCTACAGAAGCTGGGACGGTGGAGACAGAAGATGGAATGGTGAAGAAAGAAGCTGGGACGACGGAGACAATCATGCTACATCACCTACATGTGAGTATGGATATGCTATTCATATGTGGGGTGTAGGGGTTGATGATAGAAAGATAATGAAAAAGGCGACACAGCCGATGAAAGGAAAGAATATCTACTTCTGCAATGAATCTTGGAGCGGGTTTCAGGGGTGGGTTGAAGGTTCTCTACTGTCCACCGAAAAAGTTGTGGATGCGCTGTGGAAATCAGGTAAAGAAAGTGACTGAAACATTCGTAGTTTATAATTGTTTTCTTGTCATCTTTAGGTTGATTCAGTTGACATAGCTTTTCTAACTATTGTTTTTGACTACTATACACTTATACAATATACATACCACTGTAATGTAACTCTTCCATAGTAAGAGTTTATCAGTCTTGCAACTGAGACAAATATCTAATATTACAACTTTAATTTGCATAATTCTTTTAATTTGAAAATTCATTTACTTTTTATAGATGAGAATCAAGCGTTAATAATAATCTATACTATAATTATTGTGTGACTTTTATATTATGTATTCAGATAAAATGCGCATTATTTTCTGCAGCAAGTTTATTAGATTTCCTTTAAAATAAAATCATGACCAGAAAATAAAATCTACATAGGGATGGCCAACAAACCAGCAGTGGCATTGCAATATTGAAGAAATGCCCAATAAAGGGAAGGGGACTAGCTCATTACCCATATTGAACGGGAATAACAGCAGAAAACTACTCATTATCAATTAGTAATTAGCAATTAGCAATTAGTCATTAGCAATTATTAATTAGTCATTAGCAATTAGTAATTAGTAATTAGCAATTAGCATATTAGCAAATTAGCATTTAGCATATTAGCAAAACTACAACTTATACTAAATAAACGTACCACTAGAGTGTAAGTTGAGGTTGTGGAGGGTTGGCAGTTAGAGCAGCTAGCAGGGTAGGTATAGGAGTATGAGGTAACTTGACCGTGGTCAAGGTTCCTTACGGTGCAGGAGAGCGTCATTTCCTTGTCAACTGCTTGGTATTGTTCCCCGATTGAGGGTGCAAACGTTACATCTGATGGGTGAAGAGATGTGTTCATTGAAATGAGATCAATTCGTATTGTGACAGGAAATTTAAAATTTTGGTCCATCACTTCTTTAATTCTATAAATATATACTAAATTATTAAAACAGTGATCCTAATTCCTAGGCATTTTGAGTGAGGACTGACGAACTTTAAACTGATAATAATATGATGAAAATCCTGATGCGTGTTATACTTTACAAGGTACATACCGAACACATCAATACGGAGGTTGTAGTTGAAGTCAGTAAACTGGTCACCCACGCTGAAGCTCATTCTTCCGGACAGGGTGTTTTGATCCTCTGTTCCGGAGTATGTAAACACCACCGCGGTATCGCCCGTAGACGGGTTGAAGACTTTTGAGAACACCATATCATCTGAATTGAAGTATGATTCGTGACCAGAAATAACTAAAATTGGAAAAATAGACGTTGTTTTGTATCTAAATATGTTGTAAATTATAAGTGTGGAAAAATAAAAATTAGCACCAAAAAACGAGCATCACATATAAACCAACATAGCAATTAAACATTTGGAGCTACAGTCAAACATTTATCTTGGTTAGTTATTGTCACCCAGTTACCTGTTCCGCTGACAGCAGGAGAGTTGTTGTTAGTCCAGGACACGGTTGGTTCCAGTGGAGGTGATGACTTGATGGTGATGCTGAAGGTGGCAGTTTGTCCAGTTCGGATAAAGAACTCCTCTTGTGCGGTAGCGGGCTCAACTGGGACGAGGCGATTATTGAGTATGAATTATTAAAATATGTTGAATTTACAGTTTGAAAAATAAAGCGCAAACTCTTAATTACTATGGAGTCAGTGTATGCTACCTTCAACAACAGTAAGAGTAGCGGTCTTCACGTAAGTGTTTCCACCATACTCCGCGGTACATTTGTATTCCACCGCTCTGTCAGCTGTGAGTACGATAGAGCTAAATTGCTTTTCTCCGGACGTACTCAACCTGGGGTTGGTTGCAGGTTTAGCAGTTTTGTTAACATGAGGCAGGACTCACAAATTAGCAGCAATGGGTTATAATTTTGTTTTGAATTTAAGCCACATTCTCGAATAAAGAAATAAGAATGAATCCGAATGAAGTGGGACTTCTCGAGTCAAAAATTTGTCAAAACAATTTGAATAGAAAATAGAAAATATAAGAAACTTACTGATTAACTGCGGTGACAAATGAGTTGGTCTGAACAGGAACCCATGTACCCTGTGACTGAACCTCTAGTACCATACTGGTAACGGTGTCAGGTCCGGTGTACAAGCACTCCAAAGTCACCTCCTCTCCTCTCTCTGCCACTGAACTCACGAAATCGAGAGCTGAAATAAATTTAATATTCAATGATGTGAAAGATTCGAAGACAGCATCCGATTGAATTAATCCGAGGACAAGATAATTTATAAGAATCACTGAATGATGAGCACACCCCCAAGCCCCAGCACTAATGGAGTTATATCAATATATAACCTTTCACAGAGACAGAAGCAGGTGACGAAGTCAAAGAAAGTGTTCCTTTCGTGGCAACACATTGGTAACTACCAATCACACCTGGAGGATTTAGTATTTAACAATTTTAACAATATTCTTTGATAATGTTCTAAAGTTTCCGGTTCATTTTATATCATCATGCAGTACCAAGTTAGCAAGTAGCCGGTAATACTCAAAGTTTAAGCCTAACAAGCAAGGAACTAACTGGTGCCTGCATTAGCACTGGTGAGGATAGAGGTAGTGACACCCCCTGAGAAGATATCTTGTTGGCTGTAAATACTGTTCTCAGAGCTGATATCAACTCCATCCTTCTGCCAGGTAACTGTCACTTGTGCGCTGCCAGATATCTTGCAGGACAGGGAGAGACTGTCTCCGCCAACCAAGTCTTGCGCTGTCGGGTTCACGGTAAACTCTGAGAGAGATGATTTTGTTTGAAATCTGCTTGAAATATATTAAAAGTCGCCGGTTTTATCTTTCAAAGCACCTACTATAGTCATGCGAATAAACCAACACTCTGTACACTGCACAATTTACTGAGGTATGCTGAAAGTTAGAGACAATTCATAAGAAATCACCCTTACCGAATACAGTTGCAGACACAGATGTCTGCTGATTGGTGACAAGCCACTCGTTAGAAGTGATAACACAAGCGTATGTCGAGTCACCAGCATTAACAGCAGCTGGTACTGTGAGTGTTGTAGTTTGAGAGTTAGTACTGTAAGTTCCTGTAGATACAACATAGTTGCTTCCAGACAAAGATGTAACATCGGTGCCATCCTTTCTCCATACAACAGCGTCTAGTTGTTGGCTTATTCCAGTGATAATGCAAGACAGAATAGCGTTGGTTGCCTTTTCGACCTCCTGGTTTTTCGCTTCAATATCTGTTAAGAATTAACGAAGTCAGTCCATGTTTTCTTAGTTTCGGATAACGAATTATTAGTAACTAACCAAAAGGCTTTATTACTGTGGTTACTGTGGTTACTGTGGTTACTGTGGTTACTGTGGTTACTGTGGTTACTGTGGTTATTGTGGTTACTGTGGTTACTGTGGTTACTGTGGTTACAGCAATCAACTACTTACCGAACTGAAGCAGCGTCAGGCTGATTTGTGTAACAACATTAGGAGAATTTTCAGGATACTGGGAGGACTTTACTTTACATTTGTACACAGAATCAGATGAGAGTGTGGCTAGTTTAGCTGTCTTGATGAGAAGAGTCGCTGCTTTGGAGCCAAAAACATAAAATCCTTGATCAATGACATAGTTGTTGGTGTCAGTGTTTGATATCTCGTTGTTGTCAGGTCCAATCCAAGTTACAGGAGTGTTTTGTGATAGTCCACTCAAAGAGCAGGTTATAGTTTGATCAGTGGCTGTAGTAACAGACGTGTCTTCAAATAGTACCGCTGAAGAGAAAGCATTTTATAAGGTTAAATAAATCAATCAAATTACCAATCAATCAACTTTTTAGATCGGATGTTTCTATAATCTATACCATTATACCTTATCGGAATTTATTTGAACGGACATTAAATGGACGCTAGCGTTCATTTTAGTGTCTGATCAAATAACGTCCAATAAGGTAAATTCATTAGGAAGGGCAAAGTTGTTCTTACAGAATACGTTCAGGTTCACAATGGTTTCTTTGCCGACTTCCTGCCATGTGATAGCACAAGTGTAGGTTGAGTCAGCTGTATTAGCAGCAGCCTTTACAGTGAGTGTTGTAGTTTGAGTGTTGGAACCCCAAGTTCCTGCAGATACAACATAGTTGCTTCCGGACAAAGTTGTTACATCAGTTCCATCTTTCCTCCAAACAACAGCATCCAATTGTCGGGTGATGCCAGTAACGATGCAAGAGATGGTTGCATCAGTTGCAATGAGGACTTCCTTCTTTACTGGTTGTACACCTGAGCAAAATAATGAATAGTTGAAACGAAACATAAATAACCAAACAAGACTGACTTGAATTATGGAAAGCTTATGAAGGAAACAAAAACGGTGAACAAGGTAAGATCCCCAACCGCTTATGCTCTCAAAAACGGTGTCCCTGCTGAACAAAAGGCAACAATAAAATGGACGTACCTAGACCAACAAGAGTAAGAGTCATTTCCTTCACCACATCAGGTGAGTATGTTGGATAACGAGCTGATTTCAGTTTACACTTGAAGATCGATGATGATGGCAGATTCTCCAATTTAGATTGCTTGATCACGAGAGTCGATGATTTGCTTCCGAAAACATAGGTTCCCTGGTCAATCACATAGTTGTTGGTGTCGGAATTGGATATTTCGTTATTGTCAGGATCTATCCAAGTAACAGGGGTGTCCTGTGACAATCCACTAATAGTGCATGTCAGAGATTGGTCAGCTGCAGTTGGCACCGATCTATCAACAAATTCAACATCTGAAATTATCATGCGGTTAACAACTTTTCTTAATTTTTGAAAGTGCAATAAAGGGAAAATGTCACCAACTGAGTAAAAGTTGTACTGTTTAAGAAATTGTCATTTAAATAGACAGGGTGCAGGAAAAAACTCATACCTAACACATTCGAGACCACACTCGTCGGCTGATTGGTTACAAGCCACTCATCAGATGTGATAGCACAGGTGTAGGTAGAGTCAGCTGTATTAGCAGCAGCCTTTACAGTAAGCGTTGTAGTTTGAGAGTTGGAACCATAATTCCCTGCAGAAACAACATAGTTGCTTCCTGACAAAGACGTTACATCGGTTCCATCCTTTCTCCAAACAACAGCATCCAATTGTCGGGTGATACCAGAAATAACGCATGAAATTGTAGTATCTGTTCCACTTTCCACCTCTTTGTTGGTAGGATCAATATCTGATGATGAAATAATTTTAAGATTAAAGAGATCTAAATATTTATAATTGACACCGTCAAAAATTTTACAGAATGAACTTAAAATTTAAGGGGCTATTGTTCTTTGAACAGAGTTTAAGGGTACAAATTTGTAAAGAATAAGAGCGAATCAGATTCTGTGTTTGTCAAAAACGATGATAGAACACCGAATAAGTACAAACCTAGAGTTAGCAGAGTGAGAACCATTTCTTTCACAACATCTGGGGAGTCATTTGGATAGAACGAAGACTTGAGTTTACATTTGAACACATCTCCTGAAGATAGAGAAGCAAACTTGGCTGTCTTGATGGTTAATGTTGACGCCTTGCTTCCAAAGATATAAGTGCCTTGATCAATGACATAGTTGTTATTGTCAGAGTCTGATATTTCGTTGTTATCAGGATCTATCCAAGTTACAGGGGAGCTCTTTGACAATCCACTAATCGTGCAGATAAGATCTTGATCGGTTGCAGTTGTGATAGCTTTATCGTCAAGTGAAACAGCTGAGAAATCAAATTAGACTATTCTATCATTTCGTTACTGCTGGAAAATAATTTGCAACAAAAAGGTAAGCCAGGGGAGAAATAATATCAAACCATATTGCTCTATTATTAATGTAATTTCACCATGACAAACTTACAAAAGACATTCAGTGTGACGATAGTGGGTTTATTTGTCTCCTGACTCTCATTTGAAGTAATGACACATGTATAAGTTGAGTCAGCTGTATTAGCAGCTGCTTTAACACCAAGTGTTGTAGTCTGAGAGTTGGAACCGTAAGTCCCTGCAGAAACAACATAGTTGCTTCCTGGCAAAGATGTAACATCAGTACCATCTTTCCTCCAAACAACATCATCCAGTTGTCGAGTAATTCCAGAAATAACACAAGAAATAGTTGCATCAGTTGCAGTGAGGACTTCCTTGTTAACCGGTTGTACACCTGAACGATATAAGTAATTAGAATGTGAAGGCAGAAACACATTGTCAAATGAATAATAAACATCAAATAGTTTTCGAGACAGAAGCAATTGCTAAAAGAAATTCAAGCATCAAAATACATACTTAGGCCGATGAGTGTAAGAGTCATTTCCTTCACCACATCAGGTGAGTACGTTGGATAACGAGCTGATTTCAGTTTACACTTGAAGATCGATGATGAGGGCAGACTTTGTAATTTAGATTTCTTGATGCTTAAAGTCGATGCTTTGCTTCCGAATATAAAAGTTCCCTGATCAATCACATAGTTGTTGGTGTCACTATTGGATATTTCGTTATTGTCAGGATCTATCCAAGTAACAGGGGTGTCCTGTGACAATCCACTAATAGTGCATGTCAGAGATTGATCAATTCCAGTAGCCACAGTTCTATCAACAAGTTCAACAGCTGAAAATATATTGACGTCAAATGACTGTTCACAGGGAGAAATCGATGAATTCATCAATCTCATTAAACTATATAAAAAATAAGTATAAAGAATAAGGAAAAGGAGCGGGAATGAAGCCAATACCAGAAGTGAAACCCCACCAAAGAATAATTGATCCTTAGGTAGACCTGGTGAAATAAAGTAACTGAACTGTAAGTTTAAGAAAAGACGGAAGGAATAAAGGAGAGAGGAAATAATGTTATGTGAACATCATCAGCAGATGACTTGGCACACCGGTTTCGGGGGTTTAATACCTGTACCGGTTTAATGTGCCAAGACCCCCTAGCAATCACTCGTCAGTGATCACCTGTTCACGTTAAATGTGATGTCAAGGATGTCGCTGACATCAAGTATACTGTATTTGTACAGAATACTAGGTCGGTCTTTCAGAAGCTTTCTGAATTTACTCTTCAGGAGTCTGTCATTATAACATCTTGAAAGAAGTGTCCTATAAAGGGTGTTGGTAGAACACAGAAAAGAATCAAGGTCAGAGATAATGGAAGAGTAACGAAGGACCTGACCGTAAAAAACATTATAACCAACAGAAGAGGAAATATTACTGTTAGGAAAGGTGTACATGACCACAGGAAAGTTGAAGTCATCAAGTTTGTTGTAAAGCTTGGTGGCGACGTGTCCGGAGTTATTCATCGAGATGTTGATGTCGAGATAGTTTACGGACTTATTGTCGTCACCACTCCTCTCCATAAGCAGGTCAGGTGGATAAATGGACCTGATTAGGTTAGAGAAATGCAAATAGTTCATGGTGTTGAGGTCGTCGACATATCTGCAGTTTCTTGAGAGGAGCTTAGCGAGACCGAACTTCTTTTCTTTGATTAGGCGTGTCATGTAGTTGAATTCACACTTCCCTAGCGAAAGATCAGCGAACTGGCTACTAGAATTCCCTCCCATGGGAATGCCTTTCGTTTGTCTTAAAATCTGATCCCCAAAACAAACAAAAGTGTTAAACAGAATAAATGTAATAGCTGTTTTGAGTTTATCAGCAGAAAAACATAAGTATCCGTTATATTCCTTTTTAGAGAAAAAATTGTTGTTCTTATACAGAGAAACACAAATAAATTTATTCGTATTACTAAAGAGGAGATCTATTAGCTCGAAAAGCAGTGACTGTACAACCTGAAGGTCTAGATTGGTATACAGAGTGGTAAAGTCGTATACCTGCATATTAAAAATCTCTAGTCTAGGCAGCCTTTCCAGGAACTGTTTAGAGCTGTTAATGCTCCAGTCGCAGTTAATTCCAGTATTGTTGTAGATAGAGTTGCAGTATTTGGAAAAGTATTCTTTTAAAACTTTTAAAGCTTTGTTGACTACAACTGATATCTGCTTAGTGGTACATTTACTGGCCCCAGCTATAAATCTAGACTTATAAGGATTCTTGTGAAGTTTAGGAATCCAAAAGATTCTCGGTAGACAAAGGTTGTCCTCAGAAACACGAATATTAAAGTTATCTTTAATGAAGTTCACATGTTCCTGAATAATATCATCCTCTACAGAGTTAACCGGATGATAAGTAGAATTGCCACGACACTCTAGAGAAGTGAGATCGTAGCCAAGTTCGTTGAGAAGGGTTAAAAGATAAAACTTCTTGCAGACAAAAACATAATTATTTGAAGCTTTATCTACGGAGCAAATAATAAAAGAAGAAGAAAGACTGTCGAGATAAGATTTAACATCATCCCTTTGTAGAATGGAATTGTAGGGAGTGAAGTTATTAGGGGAGGAGGAGAGGAAGTTAAATTAGCTCAAATTAGCTTCAAAAAAATATAGTAAGCGAAGGATGAATCAAGCTACAGTGAACAATAAACATTTGCAAGATTAAACCGACAAATTCTTACCGAATATATTCAAGACAACATTTGTCTGCTGATTGGTTACAAGCCACTCGTTGGATGTAATAGCACAGGTGTAGGTAGAGTCAGCTGTATTAGCAGCAGCCTTTACAGTGAGTGTGGTGGTCTGAGAGTTGGAACCGTAAGTTCCTGCAGAGACAACATAGTTGCTTCCTGACAAGGTCATAACATCAGTACCATCCTTCCTCCAGACAACTGCATCCAGCTGTTGGGTGATGCCAGAAATAACACACGAAACTGTAGTATCTTTTCCACCCTCCACTTCTTTGTTGGTAGGCTCAATCTCTGACGGTGGTATATTTGTTAGATTATGATTAAAGAGATGTCAATACTTATAGTATTGGCACGGTATTCTTCTACTTCAGATTAAAAGCTACGGTTATTGAGTGAACGTCAAAACTAAGGAGCAATTTTTCCTCGACAATTTTTTAAGGGTACAAATTTATCAAACATAAAATTAAAAGCGAAACGGATTGTCTGTAAAAAGCGATCTAAAACACATGTATTGAAAATATCTACCTAGAGTAAGCAGAGTGAGAACCATTTCTTTCACAACATCTGGGGAGTCATTTGGATAGAAAGAAGACTTCAGTTTACATTTGAACACATCTTCTGAAGATAGAGAAGCAAACTTGGCTGTCTTGATGGTTAATGTTGACGCCTTGCTTCCAAAGATATAAGTGCCTTGATCAACAACATAGTTGTTGGTGTCAGAGTCTGATATCTCGTTGTTATCAGGATCTATCCAAGTAACAGGTGTGTCCTGTGACAATCCACTGATCGTGCACACCAAATTTTGGTCGGTTGCAGTTGTGACAACTTCATCGTCAAGAGCAACAGCTGGAAATAGAATTGGATTAAACTTATTATTCATTGATGACTGCAGGGTCTGGGACCAATAAAATTGTAACAAAGAGGAAAATGAAACAAAACCTGAAAAACTTACCAAAGACATTTAGTTTCACGACAGTCGGTTTATTTTTCTCCTGACTCTCATTTGAAGTAATAACACATGTATAAGTTGAATCAACTGTATTAGCAGCAGCTTTTACAGTCAGTGTTGTAGTTTGAGAATTGGAACCGTATGTCCCTGCTGACACAACATAGTTGCTTCCAGACAAAGACGTTACATCGGTTCCATCCTTTCTCCAAACAACAGCATCCAATTGTTTGGTGATGCCGGTAATAACACAAGAGATGGTGGCATCAGTGGCAGTAAGGACTTCCTTATTTATAGGTTGTACACCTGGAGAAAATATTAGATTAAAAGGTGAAACTTATTGCTCATAAAAATCAAATTATTTTTGAAACAAAAGCCAATTAACATAACAACTAACAAGGTTACATGAAAATATGCTTACTTAGACCGATGAGTGTTAGGGTCATTTCCTTTACCACTTCTGGGGAATACGTTGGATAAAGAGCAGATTTCAGTTTACACGTGAAGATCGATGATGAGGGCAGATTCTCCAATTTAGATTGTTTGATAGTCAGGGTTGAGGCTTTGCTCCCAAATATAAAAGTTCTCTGATCAATCGCGTAGTTATTGGTGTCACTATTGGATATTTCGTTATTGTCAGGATCTATCCAGGTAACAGGGGTGTTCTGCGACAATCCACTAATAGTGCATGTCAGAGATTGGTCAATTCCAGTTGCCACAGTTCTGTCTACAAAGTCAACAGCTGAAAATATGATCATGTAAGTTTCCGCGAAATAGAAAAATGAAAGAGAAATCCATGAATCAACATTTACATTAAATAATAATTATCTACAGTAGTAAACGGAGAAATCCTTACCGAACACATTTACGAGCACATTTGTCTGCCTGTTGGTAACAAGCCACTCGCTGGAAGCGATGAAACAAGTGTATGTTGAATCTACTGTATTAACAGCTGCTTTTACAGTAAGTGTTGTAGTTTGAGAGTTGGAACCGTAAGTTCCTGCAGATACAACATAGTTGCTTCCTGACAAAGATGTTACATCGGCTCCATCCTTTCTCCAAACAACAGCGTCAAGTTGTCGGGTGATACCAGAAATAACACATGAAACTGTAGTATCTGTTCCGCTTTCCACTTCTTTGTTGGTAGGTTCAATATCTGTTGAAGAAAATCATTATTTTAGAGAACCATTAAAAATCCAAATCGGAAGGGCCACAGATTTAAGTCATAGCTATAAAAATCAAATCGAATTTCAAGTATGATGTTAGCGTATGAATGCAATGATTTGTTACCTAGAGTCAGCAGAGTGAGAACCATTTCTTTCACAACATCTGGAGAATCATTTGGATAGAGGGCAGACTTGAGTTTACATTTGAACACATCTCCAGAAGATAGAGAAGCAAACTTTGATGTCTTGATGGTCAATGTTGACGCCTTGCTTCCAAAGATATAAGTGCCTTGATCAATAACATAGTTGTTGATGTCAGAGTCTGATAATTCATTGTTTTCAGGTCCAATCCAAGTAACAGGGGTGTTCTGTGCTAATCCACTGATCGTACACACCAAATTTTGTTCAGTTGCAGTTGAAACAGATTTGTCGTCAAGTAAAATAGCTGAGAAATTGAATCAAATTAGATGTCTTATTACTTCACTTCTGAATAACAACAGCTTAAGAATTCGAATGAATTAAGCTTGTTATTCTTTCTAACATTATAAGAATGGGACATAAAAATGATCGAAAGAGAGAAGGAAGAAAAACGAAATAAAATTGAATTTTGCAGCCGTATGACGTAATAACGATCTAAAAAACTTACAGAAGACATTCAGTTTCACAGAAGTCGGTTTATTGATCTCCTGGTGCTCATTAGATGTTATGACGCAAGTGTAGGTAGAGTCAGCTGTATTAGCAACAGCTTTAACACTAAGTGTTGTAGTTTGAGAGTTGGAACCGTAAGTCCCTGCAGATACAACATAGTTGCTTCCTGACAAAGATGTAACATCGGTACCATCTTTCCTCCAAACAACATCATCCAGTTGTTGGGTAATTCCAGAAATAACACAAGAAATGGTTGCATCAGTTGCAGTGAGGACTTCCTTGTTAACCGGTTGTACACCTGAGCAGAATAACTGATTAGAACACAATGCAAATTAAACTTCTTTTTAAAATTGCTTATGAACATCAAATTATCTTAGAAATATCAGCCAGTTGTAAGAAACTAAGTATCAATATATTTATACTTAGTCCGATGAGTGTTAGAGTCATTTCCTTCACCACTTCTGGGGAATACGTTGGATAAAGAGCAGATTTCAGTTTACACGTGAAGATCGATGATGAGGGCAGATTCTCCAATTTAGATTGCTTGATAGTCAGGGTTGAGGCTTTGCTTCCAAATATAAAAGTTCCCTGATCAATCGCATAGTTATTGGTGTCACTATTGGATATTTCGTTATTGTCAGGATCTATCCAGGTAACAGGGGTGTCCTGCGACAATCCACTAATAGTGCATGTTAGAGATTGATCAACTCCAGTTGCCACAGTTCTGTCTACAAAGTCAACAGCTGAAAATATGATCATGTAAGTTTCCGTGAAATAGAAAAATGAAGGAGGAATCCATGAATCAACATTAACATTAAATAATAATCATCTACAGTATTAAACGGAGAAATCCTTACCGAACACATTTACGAGCACATTTGTCTGCCTGTTGGTAACAAGCCACTCGCTGGAAGCGATGAAACAAGTGTATGTTGAGTCAGCTGTATTAACAGCAGCCTTTACAGTGAGTATTGTAGTTTGAGAGTTGGAACCGTAAGTCCCTGCAGATACAACATAGTTGCTTCCTGACAAAGATGTTACATCGGTTCCATCCTTTCTCCAAACAACAGCGTCAAGTTGTTGGGTGATACCGGAAATGAAACATGAAACTGTAGCATCTGTACCACTTTCCACTTCTTTGTTGGTAGGCTCAATATCTGTTGAATTGTATCATTATTTTAACTTGAAAGCTGCAGGGATACTGATTCATGGCACATATATATTCGCTTAAAATAACAATATAACCGGAATTAATGAATTAAATAAATATAGCATATGAATTATAAATATAGCATATGAATTATAAATGGCATTTTAATGGAATGATTTGTTACCTAGAGTCAGCAGAGTTAGAACCATCTCATTCACCACCTCCGGGGAGTCAGTAGGATAGAAAGAAGATTTCAGTTTACATTTGAACACATCTCCTGAAGATAGAGAAGCAAACTTGGCTGTTTTTATGGTCAGAGTTGATGCCTTGCTCCCGAAAATATATGTGCCTTGATCAACAACATAGTTGTTGGTGTCAGAGTCTGATATTTCGTTGTTATCAGGACCAATCCAAGTTACAGGGGAGTTTTGTGATAGTCCACTGATCGTACACACCAAATTTTGGTCGGTTGCAGTCGAGATAGCTTTATCGTCAAATGCAACAGCTGGGGGAACGAATTCTATTAAGCTTATTGTTCCTTTTATTTTGGATACCGAGAGCTTACAATAAGACCAAAAGTAAACAAATTTTTAAATTGATATAAACAGATTAATGAAGTAATCACGGTTAAAACAACTTACAAAAGACATTCAGTGTCACAACAGTCGCTTTATTGACTTCTTGATGCTCATTTGAAGTGATAGCACACGTATATGTTGAATCCACTGTATTAGCAGCGGCCTTTACAGTGACTGTTGTAGTTTGAGAGTTGGAACCATAAGTTCCTGCAGATACAACATAGTTGCTTCCGGAGAATGTTGTAACGTCGGTACCAGATTTTCTCCAAACAACAGCATCTAATTGTTGAGTGATGCCGGTAATAACACAAGAAATGGTTGCATCAGTGGCAGTAAGGATTTCCTTGTTAACTGGTTGTACACCTGAGCGATATAATTGATAAGAACGGGAAACAAAATTTCATTTTAATATACGATTAAAAGTTACAAATTATTATAGAAGAACCAGCTGATTATCACAAAAGACATCATCAATATTACTTACTTAGGCCGATTAGTGTGAGAGTCATTTCCTTCACCACTTCTGGTGAATACGTTGGATAACTAGTGGATTTTAGTTCACACTTGAAGATCGATGATGATGGAAGATTCTGTAATTTTGATTGCTTGATGGTGAGTGTTGATGCCTTGCTTCCAAATATAAAAGTTCCCTGATCAATCGCATAGTTATTGGTGTCACTATTGGATATTTCGTTATTGTCAGGATCTATCCAGGTAACAGGGGTGTCCTGCGACAATCCACTAATAGTGCATGTCAGAGATTGGTCAACTCCAGTAGCAACAGTTCTGTCTACAAAGTCAACAGCTGAAAATACGATTAAGTTAGATAACTGTTCTGAAAAGTAACGAAGAAGAAAAATGTGAATTCATTACATCAACTATATCTTAAACAATGAACGTTTACAAGAGTAATCGGTAAACCGACAAATCCTTACCAAATACATTTAAGAGCACATTGGTCTGCTGATTAGTTACAAGCCACTCATTGGATGTGATAGCACAAGTGTAGGTTGAGTCAGCTTTGTTAGCAACAGGCTTTACAGTAAGTGTTGTAGTTTGAGAGTTGGAACCATAAGTTCCTGCAAAAACAACATAACTGTTTCCTGACAAAGATGTTACATCGGTTCCATCCTTTCTCCAAACAACAGTGTCAAGTTGTTGGGTGATACCAGAAATGACACATGAAATTGTAGCATCTGTTCCAGTTTCCACCTCTTTGTTGGTAGGTTCAATATCTGACGAAAAATATATCAAGGCAACAATTAACTTCAAATCTAGGGGTTATGATTCAATGACATCATTTTGTTAATTTGTTAAAGATGAGATTCATATTGAATTTGAATTAAGACATCAATTTTCATAGTACCATATCAATGGAATGATTTGTTACCTAGAGTCAGCAGAGTGAGAACCATCTCCTTCAACACCTCCGGGGATTCATTTGGATAGAAAGAAGATTTCAGTTTACATTTGAACACATCTTCTGAAGATAAAGAAGCAAACTTGGCGGTCTTGATGGTTAAAGTTGACGCTTTGCTTCCAAATATATAAGTGCCTTGATCAATGACATAGTTGTTGGTGTCAGAGTCTGATATCTCGTTGTTGTCAGGTCCAATCCAATTTACAGGGGAGTTCTGTGATAATCCACTGATCGTACACACCAAATTTTGGTCGGTTGCAGTAGTGACAGATTTGTCGTCAAGTACAACAGCTGAAAATAGAATTGAATTACTTTTTATTGCTTCAACAATGACTTGGAAATTAAAATGAATAAAAAAGAAGAAAGAAAAAGAAATATATTGAAATTCCACAACCTTATGTCGCAATTGCGATATAAAGAAAAACAACTTACAAAATACATTCAGTGTCACGACAGTCGGTTTATTTATCTCCTGATGCTCGTTTGAAGTAATAACACATGTATATGTTGAGTCAGCTGTATTAGCAGCTGCTTTCACGGTGAGAGTTGTAGTTTGAGAGTTGGAACCGTAAGTTCCTGCAGATACAACATAATTGTTTCCGGAGAATGTTGTAACATCAGTGCCATCTATTCCCCAAGCAACAGCGTCCAGTTTTTGTGTAATTCCAGTAATGACACAAGAGATGGTGGCTTCTGTTGCAGTGAGGACTTCCTTGTTTACCGGTTGTATACCTGAGCGAAATGATCAATTATAATAATATTAATGAAAAATCTTTTCAATTATTCAATTCAAAAGTTAATTTGTATTATCATAGAAAAGAAGAATAGATTAAGATGAATACAATATCGTAATATTCATACTTAGGCCAATCAGTGTTAGAGTCATTTCCTTCACCACATCAGGTGAGTACGTTGGATAACGAGCTGATTTCAGTTTACACTTGAAGATTGATGGTGAGAACAGATTTTCTAATTTAGACTGTTTGATCACGAGAGTCGATGCTTTGCTTTCGAAGACGTAAGTTCCCTGGTCAATCACGTAGTTGTTGGTGTCAGTGTTGGATATTTCATTGTTATCAGGATCTATCCAGGTAACAGGGGTGTCCTGTGACAATCCACTAATAGTGCATGTCAGAGATTGGTCAATTCCAGAAGCCACAGTTCTGTCTACCAGTTCAACAGCTGAAAATACCAAGAAATTAAAAGGTAGTTCAAAACCGGATCTTTAATAAAATCCTTGAAATATTAAATCGGCTACAATAAACAGTAAAAACTAAAATTTACAAAAGTACACGGTAAATCCATACCGAATACGTCCAAGAGAACATTTGTCTGCTGATTGGTTACAAGCCACTCGTTGGAAGTGATAAGACAAGTGTAGGTAGAGTCAGCTGTATTAGCAGCAGCCTTTACAGTGAGTGTGGTGGTCTGCGAGATGGAAGTGGAATCGTAACTTCCTGCAGAGACAACATAGTTGCTTCCTGACAAAGTTGTTACATCGGCTCCATCCTTTCTCCAGACAACTGTATCAAGTTGTTGGTTGATACCAGAAATAACACATGAAACTGTAGCATCTGTTCCGCTTTCCACCTCTTTGTTTGTTGGTTCAATATCTGTTGATGATGATATTATTATATTGTGTATTTAGTCATTAGTATTAACTAATTAACGATTTTCTCTTTATCAATTAATGTTAAAAGAATGAAGCAGAACAATATGATTCTATAACATAACACTAAGCCAATAAGCTAAATGAAAAATAACGGTTTCAAAGCTCTTTGAGTTTCGAATGTAAATGTACAAGAACAAGAACCCAAAAGGTTCAAAATGTTTTTGTTATTGCTTCTGAACAATCACACTTGGCGTATTTTCATGGCATCATTACATTTAATATTAAAAGCTCCTTAATAATCTGTATATTGAATAACTATACCAAGAGTAAGCAGAGTGAGAACCATTTCTTTCACAACATCTGGAGAGTCATTTGGATAGAAAGAAGACTTCAGTTTACATTTGAACACATCTCCTGAAGATAGAGAAGCGAACTTGGCTGTCTTGATAGTCAAAGTTGACGCCTTGCTTCCAAATATATAAGTGCCTTGATCAATGACATAGTTGTTGATGTCAGTTCCTGATATTTCGTTGTTATCAGGTCCTATCCAAGTAACAGGGGTGTTTTGTGATATCCCACTGATCGTGCAGATAATATTTTGATCGGTTGCGGTCGTGGCTACTTTGTCTTCAAGAGCAACAGCTGAAAAATTGTAGTATAGTTACTATTCTTGTACTGCAAGATAACGAGAATTAGGAACAGAAACTCAGAAAGAAGTAAAAAAGTTAATCCACAGTATGATGACTTAATTACAATTTATAAAACTTACAGAACACATTCAGTTTCACAGAAGTCGCTTTATTTATCTCCTGGTGCTCATTTGATGTAATAACACATGTATAAGTTGAGTCAGCTGTATTAGCAGCTGCTTTAACACTAAGTGTTGTAGTTTGAGAGATGGAACCATAAGTCCCTGCGGATACAACATAGTTGCTTCCTGACAAAGATGTTACATCGGTTCCATCCTTTCTCCAAACAACAGCGTCAAGTTGCTGGGTGATGCCGGTAATCACACAAGAGATAGTGGCATCAGTGGCAGTAAGGACTTCCTTGTTAACCGGTTGTACGTCTGGGGAAAAATGAATTAAAACGTGAAGGTCATAAATTCTTTTTAACATTTTACATAAAAGTTGATGCTCATAAAATCAAATTATTTTAGAAACGAAAGACAATTAACGAAAGAAGGCGGAATAAAAATATGTATACTTAGGCTGATGAATGTAAGAGTCATTTCCTTTTCCACTTCAGGTGAATACGTTGGATAACGAGAGGATTTCAATGTACACTTGAAGATTGATGATGAGGGTAAATTTTGTAATTTGGATTGCTTGATGGTTAGTGTTGATGCTTTGCTTCCAAATATAAAATTTCCTTGGTCAATATCATAGTTGTTGGTGTCAGTATTGGATATTTCATTGTTATCAGGATCTATCCAGGTAACAGGGGTGTCCTGTGACAATCCACTAATAGTGCATGTCAGAGATTGGTCAACTCCAGTAGCCACAGTTCTGTCTACAAATTCAACAGCTGAAAATATGTTGACGTCAAATGGCTGTTAACGAGGAGAATGAAGGAGAAATCATTGATTATTTAAATTCGAATCAATAAAATATAAACATTTGCAACATTAAACTTATCAAAAAACTGACAAATCCTTACCGAATACATTCAAGATCAAATTAGTCTGCTTGTTGGTCTCAAGCCACTCATCAGATGTGATAGCACAGGCGTATGTTGAGTCAGAAGTAACAGCAGCAGCCTTTACAGTAAGTGTTGTAGTTTGAGAGTTGGAACCGTAAGTCCCTGCAGATACAACATAGTTGCTTCCTGACAAAGTCGTTACATCTGTTCCGTCCTTTCTCCAAACAACAGCGTCAAGTTGTCGGGTGATACCAGAAATAACACATGAAATTGTAGTATCTGTACCACTTTCCACCTCTTTGTTGGTAAGTTCAATCTCTGATAAATAATTTTTTTTAAATGAAATTTCTTGTACTAAAAATAAAAGATCATTTAAACGATTTAATGATTAATCAATTTAAATGATTTGTAATTTGCCCTGGATTTATTTTGATAGAACTTTAAATTTTGCGAATAAATTCATGCAAATTGAGGGACACGGATTTGTTAAACTTCGAATTTAACTCTTATTGGACATTAATATCAAGAATATCAATGGAATGATTTTGTTACCTAGAGTTAGCAGAGTAAGAACCATTTCTTTCATCGCAACCGGGGAGTCATTAGGATAGAGAGCAGACTTGAGTTTGCATTTGAACACATCTCCTGAAGAAAGAGAAGGGAACTTGGCTGTTTTGATGGTCAGAGTTGATGCCTTGCTTCCGAAAATATATGTTCCTTGATCAACAACATAGTTGTTGGTGTCAGAGTCTGATATTTCGTTGTTGTCAGGTCCAATCCAAGTTACAGGGGAGTTCTGCGCTAAACCACTTATCGTACAGGAAAGATCTTGATCAGTTGCAGTCGTAGCTACTTTGTCGTCAAGTGTAATAGCTGATGAATTGAATTCAGTTAAGTTTATATTCCTCAATTGCTAGTCAACAAAAAACGTTCCTAAAACCATACAAAATAAACTGCCCTGCTTAAAATCACAAGATAACTTACAAAAGACATTAAGCCTGACGGTAGTCGGTTTATTTATCTCCTGGTGCTCATTTGATGTTATGACGCAAGTGTATGTTGAGTCAGCTGTATTAGCAGCAGCTTTAACACTAAGTGTTGTAGTTTGAGAGTTGGAACCGTAAGTTCCTGCAGATACAACATAGTTGCTTCCAGACAAGGTCATAACATCGGTACCATCCTTCCTCCAGACAACTGCATCCAGTTTTTGGGTGATTCCAGAAATAACACAAGAAATAGTTGCATCCGTTGTAGTAAGGACTTCTTTGTTTACCGGTTGCACACCTGAGCAAAATTTTAAATTAGACTAGAACGGCCGAGATGTTGATGTTAATGAATATAAAAATATGTTATACTTATTATAGAAGTAACAGAAGAAGTCAATTCGAAAAACAAACATACTTAGGCCGATGAGTGTAAGAGTCATTTCCTTCAACACATCAGGTGAGTACGTTGGATAACGAGCGGATGTCAGTTTACACTTGAAAATTGATGATGATGGCAGACTTTGTAATTGGGATTGCTTGATGGTAAGAGTCGAAGATTTGCTTCCAAATACATAGGTTCCCTGATCAATCACATAGTTGTTGGTGTCAGAATTGGATATTTCATTGTTATCAGGATCTATCCAAGTAACAGGGGTGTCCTGTGACAATCCACTAATAGTGCATGTTAGAGATTGGTCAACTCCAGTTGCCACAGATCTGTCTACAAGTTCAACAGCTGCAAATATCATGTTGTTAAAGAAATTGTTACAATAGGAACGATGGAGCCTTGACGAATCTCTTTATTCTTTTATTCATTAAGTTTACAGAAGTGAACGGAAATTCTTACCGAAAACATTTAAGACCACATTTGTCTGCCGAGAGGTTACAAGCCACTCGTCTGATGTGATATCACAAGTGTAGGTTGAGTCAGCTGTGTTAGCAGCAGCCTTTACAACAAGTGTTGTAGTTTGAGAATTGAAACCGTAAGTTCCTGGCGATACAAAGTAGTTGCTTCCAGTTGTAATAGTTGTAACATCAGTACCATCCTTCCTCCAAATAACAGCGTCAAGTTGTCGGGTGATACCAGAAATAACACATGAAACTGTAGCATCTGTACCACTTTCCACTTCTTTGTTGGTAGGTTCAATATCTGGTAAATTGCAATAGGTTAGTAGATGACTGTATAAAGCTTTTACAACAATTATAATTTTCTGTGGAACAGATGAATGATAATCAAAGTCTTACTAAAAACATTTCACAAGGACTATGCAATTTCAATACGTGGAATATCATTATATTTTACCTAGAGACAGTAAGGTCAAAGTCATCTCCTTCACCACCTCCGGGGAGTCAGAAGGATAACGAGCAGACTTCAGTTTACATTTGAACACATCTCCTGATTTTAGGGAAGCAAACTTGGCGGTCTTGATGGTCAGGGTTGTCGCTACACTCTCAAAAATATAGTTGCCTTGATCAATGACATAGTTGTTGGTGTCAGAGTCTGATATCTCGTTGTTGTCTGGTCCGATCCAAGTAACAGGAGTGTACTGTGACAATCCACTAATTGTACATACCAGAGTTTGGTCGGTTGCGGTAATGACTGCCTTGTCCTCGAAAACAACAGCTGCAAAAAATTGAATTAAGTTTTTAATTTCAGGGAAAAACGAGACACAAAAAATACTTATCAATGAGAGTAGTTCATACATTAATTTTGACCGACTTGTGCTTTACTTACAGAACACTTTCAATGTCACCAAAGTTGCCTTGTCTGTCTCCTGATGCTCATCAGATGTGATAGCACAAGTGTAGGTGGAGTCAGCAGTATTAGCAGCAGCTTTTACAGTAAGTGTTGTAGTTTGAGAGTTGGAACCGTAAGTTCCTGCAGATACAACAAAGTTGCTTCCGGAGAATGTTGTAACATCGATTCCATCTTTTCTCCAAGCAACAGCGTCCAGTTTTTGAGTAATTCCAGAAATAACACAAGAAATGGTTGCATCAGTTGCAGTCAGGACTTCCTTGTTAACCGCTTGTACACCTGAGCGAAATGATAATTTAGTTAAAGGCACGAATGAAGGACTTCTACAGTATTGGAATCAAATTATATTGGTAGATGGATTTGTTTTTAATTTTTGTTTTCACTAGAATAAAGAAAAATACACATACTTAGACCAAAGGCGGTAAGAGTCATTTCCTTCACCACATCAGGTGAGTGCGTTGGATAACGTGCAGATTTCAGTTTACACTTGAAGATCGATGATGAGGGCAGATTCTGTAACTTGGATTCAAATATCTTGAGAGTGGATGCTTTGCTACCGAATATAAATGTCCTTGATCTATAAAATAGTTGCTGGTGTCTGTCCCGGATATCTCATTGTTAGATGGATCAATCCAAGTAACAGGAGTGTTTTCAGATAGTCCAATAACGGTGCACGTGATGGTTGTTGCAGCCCCAACAGCCGTTGTCCTGTCCTCGAACACAACAGCTGCAAAAGTTGGTAAAACTTTCATTTTAGAGTAGGAAAACTAGTTAAAATTGACTTAAACTATTTACAGTAAGAAAATGAATTGTGTGATTCTTTCTGAATTCTAATGGGATAGACATAGTTATATTATAGGAATCGTCAAAGTGAACTTACAAAAGACATCGAGACTAACAGCAGTCTCTTTATTAGTCTCCTGGTGCTCGTTTGAAGTGATAACACATGTAAATATTGAGTCAGCTGTATTAGCAGCAGCCTTTACAGTAAGTGTTGTAGTTTGAGAGTTGGATCCGTAAGTCCCCGTTGATACAACATAGTTGCTTCCTGATAAAGTCGTTACGTCGGTGCCAGATTTCGTCCAAACAACCTTATCCAACCCTTGACTGATTCCAGAAGCAATACAAGATATTGTAGCATCTGTGCCTTGCTCAACTTCAATGTTTGTTGGCTGGATAACTGGAAAGGATTGTTGTTAGTAAAACAATTGTGATTAATATAACTGCAAGAAGATTTGAGTTCAACGTTATCTTAGAGAGCGATTTTTTCCCTTGATAAGTATGTTTCATCCTCAAGCCCTGCCCATGGTACAATGTCCAACTATTATTATAAATTTGAAACATATTATGTCACCACACATATAGTGATTCTTTTATCATTTTCACCATCTGTGCCTTACCTAAGCCCAAAAAGCTGAAGCTGATCTCCTTAACAACATCTGGTGAGTACGTAGGGAAAATAGCCGACTTTAGTCTGCATCTGAACACAGAGCTGGAGCCTAGTGTCACAACTTTAGCTTCTTTGATGGTCAGAGTCGCGACCTTGTTTCCGAGCACGTACGTTCCTTGATCGATGACGTAGTTTTCAGTATCAAAGTTGTCTACTTGATTATTATCAGGATCTACCCAGAATACCGGTGTGTTTTGTGATAATCCAGATACCGTGCATGTCAGAGTCTGGTCTGTTTTAACACCATCTGTTACGTCTTTAACGATGACAGCTGAAAATATTCAACTTTTACAATTGACCGATTTATGATCTGCTCAATTCATTTTTTAAATAAGAAAATTGAATCTTGAAAAATCGTAGATTTTTTAGATAAATAAATTTATTGAGATCGATTGTATAGCATACGAATGAGAAAAAATTGAGCTTACAGTATGTGTTTAGAATGACATTAGTTTCCTTGTTTGTCTGTAGCCATTCGTCGGATGTGAAAGCACAAGTGTAGGTTGAGTCAGCTGTATTAGCAGCAGCCTTTACAGTTAGCTCTGTAGTTTGAGAGTTGGAACCGTACGTCCCTGCGGAAACAACATAGTTGCTTCCTGACAAAGTCGTTACATCGGTGCCGTCCTTTCTCCAAACGACCGAGTCCAGTTGTTTGGTAATGCCAGTGATAACACAGGAAATAGTTTCATCTGTACCCACTTCCACCTCCTTGTTTGTAGCTTCAACGTCTGAAAATTATAGGCTTCAGTAAAACATCATAACAATCAATCTGAGCAAAGTTTAGTTGTACGGCTCTAAAATACCACCCTGGAGAACACCGTGGTGAAAGTAAGCATTGCAAAATGTCAAATTGGCAGGGAGTCTAGACAACACATATCTAAATTATAAAGCAAATGTATAAAGTTGTTTACCTAAAGTCAACAAGGTTAGGATCATCTCCTTAACGACATCTGGTGAGTATGTTGAGAACTGGGCAGACCTCAATTTACATTTGAACGTATCTCCAGATGACAAAGAGTTGATTTTATCAGTTTTAATGGTCAGGGTTGACGCTTTGCTACCGAACACATAAGTTCCTTGGTCAATGACATAATCATTTGTGTCCGAGTCTGGTATCTCGTTGTTTTCAGGATCTATCCACGTGACGGGTGTGTTCTGTGATAGTCCGCTGACAGTACATGTTAAGAACTTATCAGTGGCTGTTGTGATGGATTTGTTGTCGAATACAACCGCTGAAAAGGAAATTCATGAATACAGTTGAAGTTAAACAGTTTTAGATAAGATAAATAATCAATTATCATTAAACCTGGTTGTAGCATAACAAATATAATCGTGGCATTTTGCCAACCAAGCTGCTATTAACGAAACTTGGCTAAAAACTATAACACTCACAGTACACATTAAGCACAACTTTCGTCTCTTTGTCCGTCTCCTGATGTTCGTTAGAAGTAATGGCACAAGTGTAGGTAGAGGCAGCTGTATTAACAGCAGCTTTTACGTTTAGAGTGGTAGTCTGAGAGTTAGAACCATAAGTCCCTGCAGATACAACATAGTTGCTTCCTGACAAAGTTGTAACATCGGTACCCTCTTTCCTCCAAACAACAGCGTCAAGTTTCCTGGTTATTCCGGTAACGATACAAGATATTGTTGTCTCAGTTCCGGTTTCGATTTCCTTGTTAGTTGGTTGAATGTCTGAAAATGTTAAAATTATACTCAAAATCAATAACAATAATTCAGCAAATTGTTTTCTTTCTGATTTACGCATTAAAATATCACAAAGTCAATAATTAACATATCATACGAAAGGAATCAAAGATTAAAGTAAAGAGACAAAATTGATTACGTATACCAGACATGACTTACTTAGACCCAAGAAGGTAAGAGTCGACTCCTTCACCACATCAGGAGAATAGGTTGGATAAAGAGAAGACTTCAATGTACATTTGTACACAGATCCAGTAGCGAGTGTCGCTAACTTTGTTTGTTTGATGGTTAGTGTTGAGGCTTTGCTTCCAAAGACAAAAGTTCCCTGCTCAATCACATAGTTGTTTGTGTCAGAGTCCGAAACATCGTTGTTGTCAGGGTCTACCCAAATAACAGGAGTATCTTGAGATAAACCACTAATTGTGCAGTCCAGAGTCTGATCGATTGCAGCCGAAACGAACTTGTCCTCAAACACGACACCTGAAATTATTTGTCTTCAATATGAAGGTCAAAAAACATTCCACTTAATGATATTCAACGATTTTTAAAATTGAAAACTATGTAAGTACAATAATTTGGATCACTTCTTACCGAACACATCCAATGCCACTGCTGTCTCCCTATTATTAACCAGATATTCTGTGGAGGTGATAGCGCAAATGTACGAAGAATCAGCGGTATTAGCAGCAGCTTTTACAGTAAGTGTTGTAGTTTGAGAGTTAGAACCGTAAGACCCTGCTGATACACCATAATTGCTTCCTGGCAAGGTCGTAACATCAGTTCCATCTTTCCTCCAAACAACAGCGTCCAGTTGTTGGGTTATTCCAGTAACTATACAGGAAACAGTCGCATCTGTTCTAGTCTCGACTTCCTTGTTCGTAGGCTCAATAACTGAAACAATCATAGTCACATTGAAGTTTATTCGAATCATACACCTTAAAATGATAAGTTGATAAATAGATGTGAATTCCTGAGTCAAGTTAATGTTTCGTTCCATTTTTCCTTAATTTTCATTCAAATCCACAAATTAAATAATATAAGTTACCTAGTTGTAGCAAAGTGAGAGTCATCTCCTTTATCACATCGGGTGAATAAGTAGGATAGCGAGCAGACTTGATTTTACATTTATACTCTGAAGTTACAGATAGTGTGGATATGACACTTTGTTTAATAGTCAATGTCGAGGCTTTGCTACCGAATACGTAGGTTCCTTGATCAATAACGTAACGTGTAGTATCAGATACCAATATTTCACTGTCATCGGGTCCTATCCAAGAAACTGGTGTATCTTGATATAGCCCACCAATAGTGCAAGTCAAAACTTGTTCCGTAGCCAGTGGTGCCGCAACATCGTCGAATAAAACAACTGAAAATAAAAAATCAGAACTAGTACTAGTAGTCGATGCGTCCAAAATATATTGGAACCTCTTCAATGCTCTGTACAAATTAACACAATGATTGAATGTTACTCACAGAACACTCCTAGGACCACATTGGTCTGCTTGTTGGTCTGAAGCCACTCGTTAGATGTAATGAAACAGGTATAGGTAGAATCAGCTGTATTAGCAGCAGCCTTTACAGTGAGTGTGGTGGTCTGCGAGATGGAAGTGGAATCGTAAGTTCCTGCAGAGACAACATAGTTGCTTCCTGGCAGAGTCGTTACATCGCTGCCATCCTTCCTCCAGACAACTGCATCAAGTTGTTGGGTGATACCGGAAATTACACAAGAGATGGTGACATCAGTTCCAGATTCTACTTCTTTATCAATTGATTGAACATCTGAAATTAATTGCGGTTTTTAGTAACATTAAAGGACGTCATAGAAGGTGTCGAATTTCGATTCTCCAAATTATAATCTTTATATTTAGCGTCTTTTGAAAAACCAACAAATAAAAAATTTAATAAAAATTATCACGTAACTTATTTTCGGAATTTATAAATAAAATACTGTTACAAACCTAAAGTCAGCAGAGTGAGAACCATTTCTTTCACAACATCTGGGGAGTCATTTGGATATAAAGAAGATTTTAGTTTACATTTGAACACATCTCCAGATGATATGAAAGCAAGCTTTGCAGTCTTGATGGTGAGTGTTGAAGCTTTGCTTCCAAAAACGAATGTTCCCTGATCAATAACATAGTTGTTGGTGTCAGAGTCTGATATTTCATTATTGTCGGGACCGATCCAAGTGACACCAGTTACTGCTGCTAGCCCACTGATCCCACATGTGAGTGTTTGAGCTGTGGCAGTTGTGATGGACCTGTTCTCTTCGAAGGATACCGCTGTAATTGTTTTAATTAAGAGCTGTTAGAAATTTAAAACTGAACATTTCTTGCTTTTAAATTCAAACCTGCGCAATTTTAAGTGGGATAAATCAATAGTGTAATATAAGATTTGGATTGGAAGATTATATGACTTACAGAAAACTTCCAATGATATAGTGGTGTCTTTATTAGCCAGTAGCCACTCATCAGATGTGATAGCACAAGTGTAGGTTGAGTCAGCTATATTAGCAGCAGCTTTTACAGTAAGTGTTGTAGTTTGAGAGTTGGAACCGTAAGTCCCTGCAGATACAACATAGTTGCTTCCTGACAAAGATGTAACATCGGTTCCATCCTTTCTCCAAACAACAGCATCAAGTTGTCGAGTGATACCGGTGATAACACACGAAATAGTTGCGTCTGTTCTCGTTTCAACCTCCTTGTTTGTTGGTTTTACATCTAAAGAATTATATTTATACTGACGATTAACAATCGTATTAAATTTATGTACAAAATTAAGTGTAATCTATCCAATAAACACCGTCCTGACTCAAGGAAAGCCTTCATATATTCAATCGAAAACATTTTCATCTGCTACCCATTTTTACCTAAAGTCAGTAAAGTCAGAGTCATCTCATTCACCACCTCCGGGGAGTCAGTAGGATAGAGAGCAGACTTCAGTTTACATTTGAACACATCTCCTGAAGGTAGAGAAGCAAACTTTGCTGTCTTGATGGTCAATGTTGACGCCTTGCTTCCAAAGATATAAGTGCCTTGATCAACAACATAGTTGTTGGTGTCAGAGTCTGATATTTCGTTGTCGTCAGGTCCAATCCAAGTTACAGGTGAGTTCTGCGCTAAACCACTGATAGTGCAGGTCAGTAGCTGATCTGTAGCAGTTGAAACGGCTCTGTCCTCCAATACAACAGCTGAAATTCGAGGGTAAATATTAATCAAATTGTTGGTGTTCTAGCATTATATGAAGTATTAAATTTTATTTCAGGCAAAATGGTTTCAGGTTATCCGAATTAAATAATATGAAAACTTCTACGAAAGAATTTCAGTTAAAATCTTACAGAAGACATCAAGTGCAACGTCCGTCTGCTGATTTGACACAAGCCATTCGTCAGATGCAATAGCACAAGTGTAGGTTGTGTCAGCGGTATTAGCAACAGCTTTTACTGCAAGTGTTGTAGTTTGAGAGTTGGAACCGTAAGTTCCTGCAGATACTGCATAGTTGCTTCCTGACAAGGTCGTAACATCGGTTCCACTTTTCCTCCAGACAACAGCGTCAAGTTGTTGGGTGATACCAGAAATTACACAAGAGATGGTGACATCAGTTCCAGATTCGACTTCTTTGCTAACAGGGCGAACCTCTGACAGATAATATTATTAGTAGAGTACATTTTAAAAACGTCCAAAATTAAGTAACGGGTATAGTGACAATTTTGTTCTCCATTTCCCAAACTTATGGCCCAACTCAATTCCATTCTAAAGCATCATATAATACATTTAAACAGGGTGTAAAAGCTGAAACTCATTACCTAGACTGAGAATAGTAAGAACCATCTGTTTGCAACATCAGGTGAATTATCCGGATAGCGAGCAGACCTAAGTGTACACTTAAACATATCCCCTGATGTAAGGCCTGCCATCATTGCTGTCGTAATGGTTAATGTAGCGGACTTGCTTCCGAAGATATAAGTCCCCTGATCCACAACATAGTTGACAGTATCAGATTCAGATATCTCGTTACCGTTGGGGTCGATCCAGGTAACGGGAGTGTTTTGGGATAGTTCGGATATCAGACAGGAGAGGGTTTGATCTGTTGCCGTGGAAACTGATCTATCGTCCAAGAAGATAACTGAAAAGGAAAATGGATTACTTTTTAACGACTATCTAAGCTTGACAAAGTGTTATTTTACATCGATAGTACTTGAATAACAATCTTTATAAAGGTGACCTTGATTGAATATCACTTATAGTTCCAGAATATTTTACAACGTCATGAAATTATCTCAGAGGGAAACAAGTCTTAAAGTCTTACCAAACACATCTAGTACCACCGAGGTTTCTTTATTGATTTCTTGATATTCATTAGATGTGATAGCACAAGTGTATGCTGAATCAGCTGTATTAGCAGCAGCTTTTACAGTAAGTGTTGTAGTTTGAGAGTTGGAACCGTAAGTTCCTGCAGATACAACGTAGTTGCTTCCTGGCAAAGATGTAACATCGGTTCCATCTTTTCTCCAAACAACAGCATCCAATTGTTGAGTGATACCAGTGATGACGCATGATATTGTTACATCAGTTCCTTTCTCCACTTCTTTGTTGATGGGTGAAACAGCTGAAAAAAAAAACCATTTCATTTACCCAGAACAAACATTGATCTTCAAACTAATTTGTACGTGGTTTATTGGTTTTATCTTAACCTTAGCCCAGTCAAATGACAGTGGATAGTAGTTCCCTAAAATCTCCTGACCCAGTACAATATAAAACACAAAGGGGCAAGGGAGCTGAATATTGGACGATTATGTCGAACAGAGATTTAATTAATAATTAATTATTAATAATTAATTTTATTGATTCCACTTACCTAGTTCCAGCAGAGTAAGAGTCATTTCGTTTACAACATCGGGAGAAAAGTCGGGATAAAATCCGGACTTTACTTTACACAAATAAACTGAGGTTGTTTCAAGAGTCTGCAACACAGTTGGCTTGATAGTTAGAGAAGCGGTCTTTGTGCCGGCGAAGAAGTTGCCTTGGTTGATGACATAATTGTCGGTGTCGGTGTTGGATATGTCATTGCCATCAGGATCTATCCAAGTTACGGGAGTGTTTTGTGATAACCCCGAAATTACACAAGATATTGTTTGATCAACCCCAGTAGAGACGGATCTGTCATCAAATGAAACAACTGAAGAATAATTATGAATATAAACGAGTGATCATGTAGTCTAGAGTGTCAATCACTATAATTGAGCAACGCCGATAATTTCCCACTTACAGATATTTAAGATGCAAAAAGTATGCAAAAATCAGTATGCAATTAAGATACGCAAAAGATAATAATCGTTTGAATCAAATGGAACCTACATAGCTAAATGGTCTATATGATATAGTGATATAATACAAATACTCACCAAACACATTCAGGAAAACACCAGTCTGCCTATCAGTGACAAGCCACTCATCAGATGTGATAGCACAAGTGTAGGTAGAGTCAGCTGTATTAGCAGCAGCTTTACGGTAAGTGTTGTAGTTTGAGAGTTGGAACCGTAAGTTCCTGCTGATACGACATAGTTGCTTCCTGACAAAGTTGTTACATCTGTGCCATCCTTTCTCCAAACAACAGCGTCCAATTGTCGGGTGATACCAGATATTACACAAGAAATGGTAGATTCAGTCGCAGATTCGATTTCTTTGTTGATTGGTTGAACAACTGAAAACAAGTAAAAATATTAAATGCAGCAGGTAGTCCTATTAGAAATGTATCGTTATTCGGAAATCGAGAAAACTACAAAGAACAAGAAAACATTGCTGGGTTAGTAAACACATAAGAAGTCATATGATACTTTCTAATCCCGAAATCATAGATATTGATACATAGATCGGAGAATACAGCCACACCAAATTAAGGAAAAACTTCAAAAGAGGAAACCATTGAGCCAGGGAGAAATAAAGCTTTATGGAGGATATTTGATCGACGAAGCTATCGAGGTCATACCTAGCTCAAGGAGAGTCAGAGTCATTTCATTCACCACCTCCGGGGAGTCAGTAGGATAGAGAGCAGACTTCAGTTTACATTTGAACACATCTCCTGAAGATAGAGAGGCAAACTTGGCTGTTTTGATGGTGAGTGTTGATGTCTTGCTTCCGAAAATATATGTGCCTTGATCAACAACATAGTTGTTGGTGTCAGAGTCAGATATCTCGTTGTTGTCAGGTCCAATCCAGTTACAGGGGTGTTCTGTGCTAACCCACTGATCGTGCAGATAAGATTTTGATCGGACGTAGTGGTGACAACCTTATCTTCAAAAGTAACGGCTGAAAATAATGTAATAATATCAGTATCAGCAGTATTAATTGTTTTTGCTACAAATTATTTTTGCCATTAGAAAATATATGTCTTGAATCAAAAGTTCGACTCACAAAACACGTTTAATATCACAGGTGGTTTCTTTATTTGTTTCCAGCCACTCATCAGATGTGATAGCACAAGTGTAGGTAGAGTCAGCAGTATTAGCAGCAGCCTTTACTGTAAGTGTTGTAGTTTGAGAGTTGGAACCGTAAGTCCCTGCAGATACAACGTAGTTGCTTCCTGACAAAGTTGTTACATCGGTACCAGATTTCCTCCAGATGACCGAGTCCAGGTTTTTGGTAATACCAGTGATGACACAAGATATGGTTGCATCAGCTCCAGATTGTACTTCCTTGTTTACAGTTTGAACCGCTGAAAAAGCAATTTAGATAAGAACAGGTTAAGTATTTACCATCATGAGTGTTGTGAGAAAAGTGGAATAAACGTGTCAAATCAAAGATTCAAAATTATCCTAAAATCATATTCAAATGGTAGTAATCGAATTCTTATCAACATACAAATTGGAAGTACATTTAAAAAGTCTGTATACCTAGGGTATAAAAAGAAAGTTCCATTTCTTTTACTACATCAGGCGAATGAGTTGGATAAAGAGACGACCTCAGTTTACATTTGAAAACTGCTCCAGACGTCAGGGAACTCATCTTAGCTGCTTTTATGGTCAGAGTGGCAGCTTTGCTTCCGAAAATAAAACTGCCTTGACTGATCAAGTAGTTGTTTGAGTCAGACTCTGATATCTCGTTATCATCAGGACCAATCCATGTTACAGGTGTGTTCTGTGATAACCCAGACACCGAACATATGATAGTCTGATCCGTGGCAGGCACAACTGTTCGGTCATCCAACGACGCATCTGTAATAGCATGAAAATGATAAGTAATAGTATAATAATCATAACGAACAATATTCACTACTATGAAAAAGAGTTGGAAGGCTGAAACATGCATGGCTTGTTGTAAATATAATAAAATAATTCCTTGGTTGTTGAGTGCTAAGCGCAATAATTCCCGACGCTTCACCGGAGTGATCGTTGGGCACGAAACTAAGCCAAGGTGTTATTTGTTATAAACTCGATAGAATTATACAATTAATTGCTTCTACTAATCTGATACAATAAGATGTCTTACCAAACACGTTCAAAGTAACAAAGGTTTCTTTATTGGTCTCTAGGTGTTCGTTAGAAGTGATGGCACACGTAAAAGTGGAATCAGCTGTATTAGCAGCAGCTTTTACAGTAAGTGTTGTAGTTTGAGAGTTGGAACCATAAGGCCCTGCAGATACAACATAGTTGCTTCCTGACAAAGTCGTTACATCGGTGCCGTCCTTTCTCCAAACAACAGCGTCAAGTTGTCGGGTGATACCCGAAATGAAACATGAAACTGTAGTATCTGTTCCACTTTCCACCTCTTTGTTGGTAGGCTCAACACCTTTAGAGGAGATGTGTTATATCATTGTTAAAAGGGCAGATATGACTTTTGGGCAAAAATACAATCATGGGAAACACCCTCTTTTAAAACGAATTAAAGACTGCCTGATAACTATGAGATCAACTGTAAGGTTATCTAACACATCTTTTAATGATTTTTACCGAGTTCCAATATAGTAAGGGTCATCTCGTTCACAACTTCAGGTGAAAAGTCAGGATAAGCAGCGGACTTGAGTTTACATTTGTAGACAGAGGTAGAGGGAAGAGATTCAAGAACCGATGGCGTTATAGTCAAGGTGGAGGCCTTGCTAGAAAACACAAATGTTTCTTGATTAATCACATAGTCGCTGGTGTCGGATTCAGAAATTTCGTTGTTGTCAGGTCCTATCCATGTAATCGGAGTATTTTGGGACAGTCCACTGATAGTGCAAGTAAGAGTTTGGTCTATTTTTGGTGTGACAGATCTATCGATGAATTGTACGGCTGAAGAAGAAGTTAGGATATTAGAAAATTGCTGGAAAACAAACTCAAAAGAAAAATACTTCTTTCTATCTTATTTATCAAATTTCCACTGTAAATATGGAAACAAAAGAATAATATTTACCGAAAACGTTTAGGATGACATTTGTCTCTTTATTAGTCTGAAGCCATTCATTTGATGTGATAGCACAAGTGTAGGTTGAATCTACTGTATTAGCAGCAGCTTTTACACTAAGTGTAGTAGTTTGAGAGTTGGAACCGTAAGTTCCTGCAGATACAACATAGTTGCTTCCTGACAAAGATGTTACATCGGTGCCATCCTTTCTCCAAACAACAGCATCAAGTTGTCGAGTGATACCGGTGATAACACACGAAATAGTTGCATCGGTTTCTTCCTCGACTTCTTTGTTTTTTGGTTGAACCTCTGAAAATCAATGCAATCAATAGACTAATTTCAAACATATCAAATTGATATGGTTTTCTTAAAACAATTATAAAAAATGACCTCTTTAAGCATACCTGCGCAGCTAACATAGATAATCTAATTTGATTTGAGCATAGTTTATATTGATCACTAACCTAGAGACAGTAAAGTCAGACTCATCTCATTGACCACCTCCGGGGAGTCAGTAGGATAGAGAGCAGACTTCAGTTTACATTTGAACACATCTCCTGAAGATAGAGAAGCAAACTTTGCGGTCTTGATGGTCAGGGTTGATGCTTTCCTTCCAAAGATAAAACTGCCTTGAGCAATGACATAGCTGTTGGTGTCAGAGTCTGATATTTCGTTGTTATCAGGATCTATCCAAGTAACAGGCGTGTCCTGTGACAATCCACTGATCGTGCAGATAATATCTTGATCAGTTGCAGTAGTAACAGTCTTGTCTTCCAAACCAACGGCTGAAAATAGTTTTGATATAAGACACACTAAAGATGTCGGGCTGAATTTTTTGCTAAACCGAACATAATATGTAACCCTTATATAATATCTAAACTTGTAAAACACGTTAAATATCACGGTGCAAAATATAAACTAAAACTTACATAAGACATTAAGTGCCACAGAGGTTTCTTTATTTGTTTCCAGCCACTCATTAGATGTGATAGCACAAGTGTAGGTAGAGTCAGCTGTATTAACAGCAGCTTTTACAGTGAGTGTTGTAGTTTGAGAGTTGGAACCGTAAGTTCCTGCTGATACAACGTAGTTGCTTCCTGACAAAGTTGTTACATCGGTACCAGATTTCCTCCAGATGACTGAGTCCAGGTCGTTGGTTATACCAGTGATGACACAAGAGATGGTTGCATCAGTTCCAGATTCAACTTCTTTGTTAATCGCTTGAACACCTGGCAAAGAAATAATTACCCAAATCTCAAACAAGCATGAGCACATTCAAATTAAAATCTCGATAGATCACGTATTTCGAAATGTTGTTCCTATGATTCGAAAATTAAGTTTTTGAATTTATCTTTAAATTCCCCTTAATATCAATATTTTGATATGTGAATGATCTTAACGTTGTATATTGAAAATTGGTACAAACCTAAATACATATTTCATCTCTGTAATGTAAGTTTGTTGAATACTGTTTAAGAGCGGTTACATAGTGTGTAGAGAAAAACCCCGCAAAAATAGTCTGAAATGATTACTCGGTTGCGCGTTACTCCAATACCACGTCCAATTGTAATCATAACTCAAAATAGTTGTTTTCAATTTTCTACATTCTTTGATTGACTTCAACATCCTTTAAGTACTTAAATTAGTAGGGTTATTGATTTAGCCAAAGAATTGCTGAAATCATTTATTATATAATTTTGAATTTGCGCCATTAATTTTTTAAGAGCCTAAATCAAAAATCCGTTTTTTAAAAAATAATTTCTAGTGAAAGCGCATTACGAATCTGATTTCAAAAATGTTCAAAAGTCAAACATTTAATATAGAGGGTTCTGTTACAATTAGGTGAAAAGTCGGATATAGCGCAGATTCGACTTGAAAAATGGGCAATTAGATCATTTTGAATACGAATTATTTTCGTCATAGTGACCTTGCTTCCAAACACGAATGATTTAAAGCTATAAATTACAAGATATTTTTTATTAGTACCATTTCATATAAGTATGTTACAACTATTGAATTGACAAATATGGTTATTTGAGAAAAAATGATGGGAGAAAATCGTCAAAATTGTGGCTGTAAATGTCCAATTATATATGGTTTTTGCATCATAATTAAAATGATTATTGTTTCCTTGATAAATTTTTCATATAACGAAAATTCGTAGATTATCTAGTAAAGTAGTAACATAAACGTTGGCATGTACAGGGTATTTGGCTAAATTGGGCCTAATTTGGACCAAATATGGGCGTGGCTGCCCTGCGCGCACCGTTTGGCGGTTGGGGTCCGGGACCCCCTCAAAAGTTCGGTCACTGGTAATAGTTTGTTGGTCAACTGCTATCTCGAAATCAAGTTTCACAAAAAAATACCCATTGGCCCCCCCCCCCCCCCTTAATCAAATGACCATATTATTGAATAATAAAATGTAGCGATCAATTAAAGGGTCATCTATCTACCTAGTGTGAAGAAAGAAAGTTCCATTTCCTTTACTACATCAGGTGAATGAGTTGGATAAAGCGACGACCTCAGTTTACATTTGAAAACTGCTCCAGACGTCAGGGAACTCATCTTAGCTGCTGTTATGGTGAGAGTGGCAGCTTTGTTTGTGAAAATAAAGTTGCCTTGACTGATCAAGTAGTTGTTCGTGTCAGACTCTGATATCTCGTTATCATCAGGACCAATCCATGTTACGGGTGTGTTCTGTGATAACCCAGATACCGAACATGTGATAGCCTGATCAGTGGCAGGAACAACTGTTCGGTCCTCAAGAGTCACCTCTGCAAATGTTAGAAAGTTACAATCGTAAAGAAATAATTAAGAAGGGAGTAAAAGTACCTGGAAAAATTGCTTCGTTTTCTTTATTTGACTAAAATCGCAGATTCTAAAACGTTTGTTAATTTTATCTTCAAATTTCGCCTTCTAATATCACTATGTTGATAGTGAATGATATCTCAGAAACGTTGTATATTAAAATATTCTTACCAAACACATTCAAAGTAACAGAGGTAGGTTTGTCAGATTCCTCATGCTCATTTGAAGTGATAGCACAAGTATATGTCGAATCCACTGTATTAGCAGCGGCCTTTACAGTGAGTGTTGTAGTTTGAGAGTTGGAACCGTAAGGCCCTGCAGATACAGCATAGTTGCTTCCTGACAAAGATGTAACATCGGTGCCGTCTTTACTCCAAACAACAGCGTCCAATTGTTGGGAGATTCCAGTAACTATACAAGAAATAGTTGCATCTATTCCAGTCTCTACTTCCTTACTGATTGCTTCAACACCTTTAAAGTAGTTAGAGCATTAGTTAGATAATTGATTAAAAGTCATGATAGTTGACTATTAAATCATTATTACTATTGATTATTATAGTCATTAACAGTAGATTTGTAAGAACAAACATAGCCTGATGAAGAAAAGCACTCGCTTGTTGAATAATATAATAAATTTACATTTAGTGAAAAAAGAGCATTCCCAAAATCTAGTATGTGATAGGTAAATGTAATCGAAATGTTAATCTTACCGAGTTCCAATATGGTAAGGGTCATCTCGTTCACAACTTCAGGTGAAAAGTCAGGATAAGCAGCGGACTTGAGTTTACATTTGAAAACAGTGGGGTCGAATGTAGGATCGATTTTAAATAACGAATTACTGATCGTCAAAGTGGAGGCTTTGCTTCCAAACACGAATGATCCTTGATCTACCGCATAATTGTCATCAATGATATTTTCTCTATTGCCAAGTACATTGTTACTATCATCAGTCCATGTTACAGGACTATCTTGGGATAGTCCACTGATGGTGCAGGTCAGAATGTGGTCTCTCTTTGAGAAAACAGATGCGGAGAAATATTCGTCATTAAATTGTACGGCTGAAAAATGTTTCAATTAATATATTGGATAATTATTGCATTATAAATTAAAAATACAATGTGATTGTTTCCGTTGATAAATTTTTTAATAGTAATGTGCAAAATTCCGTATATTATTTTTCTGTAGTAAGATAAGTTAATTAATAAATAGAGTAAGCAAGGGGATATTATTTACCGAAGACGTTCAAGATCACATCTGTCTGCTTGTTGGTCTGAAGCCACTCATCAGATGTGATAGAACAAGTATAGGTAGAGTCAGCTGTATTAGCAGCAGCTTTTACAGTAAGTGTTGTAGTTTGAGTGTTGTAACCGTAAGTCCCTGCAGATACAACATAGTTGCTTCCAGACAAAGATGTTACATCGGTTCCATCCTTTCTCCAAACAACAGCATCAAGTTGTTGAGTGATACCGGTGATAACACACGAAATAGTTGCATCAGTTTCTTCCTCGACTTCTTTGTTTGTTGGTTGAACATCTAAAAATTAATGCAGTAAATTAACTTGTTTCAAAGCATATAAACATGCTTAGCAAAGCTTAATAAAGCATATAAAGATCCACAAACTAAAATATCTCTTCATTTTTCGTTTCCTTTGAACCTTGTTTGGTTTGATCACTCACCTAGAGACAGTAAAGTCAAAGTCATCTCAGTCACCACCTCCGGGGAGTCAGTAGGATAGAGAGCAGACTTTAGTTTACATTTGAACACATCTCCTGAAGAAAGAGAAGGGAACTTCGCGGTCTTGATGGTCAAGGTTGAGGCTTTGCTTCCAAAAATAAAACTGCCTTGAGCAATGACATAGTTGTTGGTGTCAGAGTCTGATATCTCGTTGTTATCAGGATCTATCCAAGTAACAGGAGTGTCCTGTGACAATCCACTGATCGTACAGATAAGATCTTGATCAGTTGCAGTAGTAACAGTCTTATCTTCAAAGGTAACGGCTGAAAAGTGATTTGATATAAAAACACAGTTAAGATGCCAGGCTGAATTTTAACAAATTTTTGATTAATCAAACATTCGGAACCCTTGTGATATTTAAACTTACAAAACACGTTCAGTGTCACTGTGCTTTCTTTGTTAGATTGCAGCCACTCATTTGATGTTATGACGCAAGTGTATGTTGAGTCAGCAGAATTAGCAGCAGCTTTAACGCTAAGTGTTGTAGTTTGAGAGTTGGAACCGTAAGTTCCTGCAGATACAACATAGTTGCTTCCTGACAAAGATGTAACATCGGTACCAGATTTCCTCCAGATGACCGAGTCCAGCTTCTTTGTTATACCAGTGATGACACAAGAGATGGTTGCATCAGTTCCAGATTCAACTTCTTTGTTAATCGTTTGAACATCTGAACAAGAAATAATTACCCAAAGCTCAAACAAGTGTGAAATGAGCATATTCAAATTGGAAGCTTGACAGAATATTACGCTTTTATAAAAACCGTATTTTTAAATGTTGTTCTTATGATTTTGAAAATTAAAAGTGACCATATTATTGATTAATAAAATGTAGCGATCATAAATAAAGGATTATGTTAAATGTACCTAGTGTGAAGAAAGAAAGTTCCATTTCCTTTACTACATCAGGCGAGTGAGTTGGATAAAGAGACGACCTCAGTTTACATTTGAAAACTGCTCCCGAGGACAGGGAACTCATCTTAGCTGCTGTTATGGTGAGAGTGGCAGCTTTGTTTGTGAAAATAAAGTTGCCTTGACTGATCAAGTAGTTGTTCGTGTCAGACTCTGATATCTCGTTATCATCAGGACCAATCCATGTTACAGGTGTGTTCTGTGATAACCCAGACACCGAACATGTGATAGTCTGATCCGTGGCAGGTACAACTGTTCGGTCCTCAAGAGTTACCTCTGCAAATGTAAAATCGTCAACAAAAACAGATGATGTGGAAATGAGAAGAAGTATAACAAATAAACGTTAAATCGTCTTAAACCCCTAATCTAAAGTAATAAATTTTCGTATAAAAATGTTCTTACCAAACACATTCAAAGTAACAGGGGTAGGCTTGTCAGACTCCAAATGCTCATCTGAAGAAATGAAACATGTGTATATTGAGTCAACGGTATTAGCAGCAGCTGTTACAGTAAGTGTTGTAGTTTGAGAATTTGAACCATAAGTTCCTGCAGATACAACATAGTTGCTTCCTGACAAAGATGTCACATCGGTGCCATCCTTTCTCCAGACAATAGCATCAAGTTGTTGAGTGATTCCAGTAACGATACAAGAAATTGTGGCATCTGTTCCTGATTCGACCTCTTTGCCGATTGCTTCAACACCTTAAGAAAAATAGATATTAACGAATGGAGGCAGTAGTTGAAACAATACAAAACGTTATGGGTCGCCAATCGTCAGTCAATAAGAAGCGATTTAAACAAAATATCTTCGCTAAATTACCGAGTTCCAGTATAGTAAGGGTCATCTCGTTCACAACTTCAGGTGAAAAGTCAGGATAAGCAGCGGACTTGAGTTTACATTTGTAGACAGAGGTAGAGGGAAGAGATTTAAGAACCGACGGCTTTATAGTCAAGGTAGAGGCCTTGCTAGAAGTAATAAATATTCCTTGGTTAATCACATAATTGCTTGTGTCGGATACAGATATTTCGTTGTTGTCAGGTCCTATCCAAGTAACAGGAGTGGTTTGCAACAGTCCACTGATAGTGCATGTAAGAGCTTGATCTATTTTTGAGGTGACAGCTCTGTCGACAAATTGTACGGCTGAAAATAAAATCGGGTTAGAATATTGAAAAATTGTTAAAAAATGGTCTGAAAGGTAAAATAGTTCTTACAGTTGATAAATATTGATTGAGTTTCCAAGTAAGCAAAGGGATAATCTTTACCGAAAACACTTAGGATCACATTCGTTTCCTTATTAGTCTGAAGCCACTCATTAGATGTGATAGCACAAGTGTAAGTTGAGTCGGCTGTATTAGCAGCAGCTTTAACAGCTAGTGTTGTAGTTTGAGAGTTGGAACCGTAAGTTCCTGCAGATACAACATAGTTGCTTCCAGACAAAGTTGTAACGTCGGTTCCACTTTTCCTCCAAACAACAGCATCGACTTGTTGGGTGATGCCGGTAATCACGCAGGAGATGGTGGCGTCAGTGGCAGTTAGGACTTCCTTGTTAATAGGTTGAACTCCTGAGTGGAAAATATAATTGTCATAAGCAGTCTATTAAGACAGACTCAGCAGCAATTTGTAGAACCACATACTAACACTTTCAGAGAATTTATAATCAAATCGTTAAGCGTATCAGTAGTCAGTACTCCTCATTTATATATATATTCCCACTTACCCAATGACAGTAACGTCAGTGTCATCTCATTCACCACATCCGGGGAGTCAGTAGGATAGAGAGCAGACTTCAGTTTACATTTAAACACATCTCCTGAAGATAGAGAACCAAACTTGGCGGTCTTGATGGTCAAAGTTGGGGCTTTGCTTCCAAAAATGAAACTGCCTTGAGCTATGACATAGTTGTTGGTATCAGAGTCAGATATTTCGTTGTTGTCAGGATCTATCCAGGTTACAGGAGTGCTTTGTGCTAGTCCACTGATAGTGCAGGTCAGTAGCTGATCTGTAGCAGTTGAAACGACTCTGTCCTCCAATACAACAGCTGAAAATCAAAAGTCAATTAAATGATAGGAACGGTAGGAATTATGTACATATCAGCGATTGAAGGAGAAAAACATCATCTTTGCATTAAAAAATTTACATCATCTACGATGCATTTGCTTCCAATTACACTGGTATCAAGCAACTTTGGGTTAAGTGCTGAACCTTCTGCATATCTATAACACTCAAACTAAAACTTACTAAAGACATTTAATATCACGGTGGTTTCTTTGTTGCTCTGCAACCACTCATCAGATGTGATAGCACAAGTGTAGGTTGAGTCAGCTGTATTAGCAGCAGCTTTTACAGTCAGTGTTGTAGTTTGAGAGTTGGAACCGTAAGTCTCTGCAGATACAACATAGTCGCTTTCTGACAAAGTTGTAACATCGGTGCCACTCTTCCTCCAAATAACAGCGTTTAGTTGATTATTAATTCCAGTAACAACGCATGAAATTACAGCATCGGTTCCAGATTCTTGTTCTTTGTTGATTGGAAGAACCTCTGAAAAAATAAGCGGTTTAAATATTTTTCTATCGCAGGAGTAAAACTTTGCTTATACGTGAACCAATTAAACAAAAATTTGTAGTTTCGATAAATGAGATATTTACTATTTAATAAAAATAGTAAAGTTTTCCGTACCTAGCGTCAGTAAAGTAAGGGTCATCTCATTGACAACATCGGGAGAGTACGTGGCATACTGACTAGATTTCAGTCTACACTTGAATTTATCCCCAGATGTAAGCGAGCCTATTTTTGATGTCGTGATGGTCAACGAAGATGATTTGCTTCCCAGGACATAAGCCCCCTGATCAATAACGTAATTGTTGGTGTCAGAGATAGATATCTCGTTATCATCAGGTCCTATCCAAGTGACAGGAGTTTCTGCTGACAAACCAGTAATACCACAGGTTATAGCTTGATTAGTAGCAGTAGTGATAGATTGATCCTCAAATGTAACGACTGAAATTATAATGGCATGAAATCAACTGCAAAGACACAAAGCCACAAGGGTATCTTGTTTTCCCTGCAAGAAAGACCCGACAGCTATTCTGACTCTATTTTACCCTTATTTTCAGCTCTATAATTTGAAAATTTATATGCTAATCTTACTAAACCAGCGTGAGTATATGTATATGTTTGCTTTATTTAATATAAAAAGAATAACCAAACAACTGATGAATAGTCATTACCGAAAACGTTCAATATCACACTCGTCTGTTGATTGGTCACAAGCCACTCATCAGATGTGATAGCACAAGCGTAGGTTGAGTCAGCTGTATTAGCAGCAGCTTTTACAGTCAGTGTTGTAGTTTGAGAGTTGGAACCGTAAGTTCCTGCAGACACAACATAGTTGATTCCTGACAAAGTCGTTACGTCGGTGCCGTCCTTTCTCCAAACAACAGTATCAAGCTGTCGACTGACGCCGGTGATGATGCATGACACAGTAGCATCGGTCCCAGATTCTATTTCTTTGTTTGTTGGTTGAACATCTGAAAGAAAATGATTGTTACATCGCCTGGAAAATTATCGTCGATTCATTCGCCATAACTTCTCTATATGGAATTTATCAGGCCCTTAATAGTTATACTAATAATGCGACAAAACAAGAAAAGAAATAAGGCACAATATATTACCAAGAGTAAGGAAGGAGAGTGTCATTTCCTTGACTACATCAGAAGAATAAGTAGCGTACAGACTAGACTTCACTCTACACCTAAACCTATCTCCGGAGGTCAACGTTGCAATTTTGGCAGTTGTAATTGTCAGGGTTGCAGCTTTGCTTCCGAATATAAGTTTTCCCTGATTGATGACGTAGTTGTTGGTATCAGTGTCGGTGATATCGTTATTGTCAGGATCTATCCATGTGACAGATGTGTCCTGTGACAATCCACTCAAAGTACATGTTATCGTCTGGTCCGTGGCAGTTGTAACAGTTCTGTCCTCCAATGACACAGCTGAAAGTGAAAAATAATTTAAACGAATAATTTAAACTCGATCTTGAGATTCATTCTTAGATTCAGGATGTTCTACCTACTACTGGAGTAACATCTAAGTACATACTTTTTTAAAAAGATCTCCTGAAAGATACTCACAGAACACGTTCAATGTCACAACAGTCCCCTTGTCCGTCTCCCGATGCTCATCAGATGTAATAGCACAAGTGTAGGTTGAGTCAGCTGTATTGACAGCAGCTTTTACGTTTAGAGTCGTGGTCTGAGAGTTGGAACCGTAAGTCCCTGCAGATACAACATAGTTGCTTCCTGACAAAGTTGTAACATCGGTACCATCTTTCCTCCAAACAATAGCGTCAAGTTTACTGGTTATTCCGGTAACGATGCAAGATATTGTTGTCTCAGTTCCGGTTTCGATTTCCTTGTTAGTTGGTTGAATGTCTGAAAATGTTAAAATTATACTCAAAATCAAAAACCATAATTCAGCAAATTGTCTTCTTTCTGATTTACGCATTAAAATATCACAAAGTCAATAATTAACATATCATACGAACGAAATCAAAGATTAAAGTAAAGAGACAAAATTGATTACGTATACCAGATTTGACTTACTTAGACCCAAAAAGGTAAGAGTCGACTCCTTCACCACATCAGGAGAATAGGTTGGATAAAGAGAAGATTTCAATGTACATTTGTACACAGATCCAGTAGCGAGTGTCGCTAACTTTGTTTGTTTGATGGTTAGTGTTGAGGCTTTGCTTCCAAAAACAAGATTGCCTTGATCAATGACATAGTTGTTGGTGTCAGAGTCAGATATCTCATTATTGTCAGGATCTATCCAAGTGATTGGAGTGTTTTGTGATAGTCCACTGATAGTGCAGGTAAGATCTTGATCGGTTGCAGTTGTCATAGCCTTATCATCAAATGTCATGCCTGAAACGTTATATAACTGGTAACATACGTGTAGATGCGATCCATTTTACCAAAACTCATATTAGACTCGGAGAATCACAAGTTAATGTTGTCAAAGGATGAATGGTCTTACCGAACACATTTAAAGTCACTAAAGTTTCTTTGTTCGTTTCTTGGTACTCGTTGGAAGTAATAACACAAGTGTAGGTAGAGTCAGCTGTATTACCAGCAGCCTTTACAGTGAGTGTTGTAGTTTGAGAGTTGGAACCATAAGTTCCTGCTGATACATCATAGTTGTCTTCTGACAAAGTTGTTACATCGGTTCCACTTTTCCTCCAAACAACAGCTTCTAGTTGTTTAGTAGTTCCAGTAACTATACAGGATAAAGTAGCATCTGTTCCGGTCTCTACTTCCTTGTCCGTGGGCTCAATGGCTGCAAAAGGTTAAGTTTACAAAAAGGTATCATTTGCGAGTCATAAACGAGCAGTTGAAACGAATTTATAAAACACAATTACATTATTTAATATCCGGAACCCGGATTGGAACATAATTTATGAGTCACATTGTCTTTTATCTGAAGAGAGCATTTTCCCTTTGTCGCATGTACGGAATTATCAAAAATTTTCATCAGAAATACCAGAATTATATTAAATATTTTATAATACTTCAAATTTCGAATTAAGACGTGAAAATGCCGACAAATAATGTTATACAGGGTTATCATTTCTTACACCAACCTAGTTCCAAAAACGTGAGAGTCATCTCCTTTACTACTTCAGGAGATATAGTGGGGTAGAGCGCGGACTTTAGTTTACACTTGAATACGGACTCTGTTGTTAGAGTTGACAGTTTGGCTTCTTTGATATTCAAAGTAGAAGCTTTATTGCCAAAGACATAAGTTCCTTGATTTATAACGTAGTTGTTGGTGTCAGAGTCGGATATTTCGATATCATCAGGTCCTATCCATGTGATCGGTGTGTTTTGTGAAAGTTCAGTTATTATGCACGAAATTGATAGTTCGGTTGGAGGAGGGAGGGAAACATCGTCAAACTGGACAGCTGAAAATATTCGGTTTATGTATCACGAATAATAATCGTTTTGCAGAATAACTTTAAAGTCTTAGAGAATCACCAGTATTTGACTTACTGAGCGTACTGAAACACGAAGAATAAAATGCTGGAAAGAAATTCAATTGCTTACCGAATACGTTCAAAATTACATCTGTCTGCTTGTTGGTCTGAAGCCACTCATTGGATGTGATATCACAAGTATAGGTAGAGTCAGCTGTATTAACAGCAGCCTTTACAGTGAGTGTTGTAGTTTGAGAGTTGAATCCGTAAGACCCTGCAGATACAACATAGTTGCTTCCTGGCAAAGATGTAACATCGGTTCCACTTTTTCTCCAAACTACAGCGTCAAGTTGTCGGGTGATACCAGAAATAACACAAGAGATGGTCGCATCAGTTGCTGATTCAACTTCCTTATCCTTGGGTTCGACATCTGAGGATATATTGAATTAATTAAAACCTAAATATACTTTTAAATGAAGAGATTTCTGCAAGATAAAATTATTTAGGACCTAGTGCAGAACATAACTTTACCCATCAAGTTCGACATTACCTAGCGTCAGTAAAGTAAGGGTCATCTCATTAACAACATCGGGAGAGTACGTGGCATACTGACTAGATTTCAGTTTACACTTGAATTTATCTCCAGATGTGAGCGAGCCTATTTTTGATGTCGTGATGGTCAACGATGATGATTTGCTTCCCAGGACATAAGCCCCCTGATCAATAACGTAATTGTTGGTCTCGGAGATAGATATCTCGTTATCATCAGGTCCTATCCAAGTGACAGGAGTTTCTGCTGACAAACCAGTAATACCACAGGTTATAGCTTGATCAGTAGCAGTTGTTATTGATCTGTCCTCAAATGTGACCGCTGAAAATAGAGAATTGATAAAAATCTGATCAAAATTTCTTCAGATTAATCCTGAATTTTGTTTCACAATTTATCAAGATCGCTATAAATTAAGCTATTTAAATGCATGTCATCCAGAGGGAAAGTCGCTCGATCTATTTTTGTCTTATATCTGTTACTAACCAAATACGTTCAGGATGACATTTGTCTCTCTATTTGTCACCAGCCATTCATTAGATGTGATAGTACAAGTGTAGGTTGAGTCAGCTGTATCAGCAGCAGCTTTCACTGTAAGTGTTGTAGTTTGAGAGTTGGAACCGTAAGTCCCAGCAGATACAACATAGTTGCTTCCAGACAAAGTTGTAACGTCGGTACCATCTTTTCTCCAAACAAAAGCATCCAATTGTTGGCTGATGCCGGTAATCACACAAGAAATGGTTGTATCTGTTCCTGTCTCTACTTCTTTATCGGTTGGCAAAACATCTGAAATTAATATAGTCAAATATCAATGAACAGTTCCATATGAAATCAATATGAAATCTTTTCGATATTTAAAGATTTCAAAAGATATATGTATATATTTCAAACTATTACACGTAACTCACCCAGTGTTAGCAGGGTCAGAGTCATCTCATTCACCACCTCCGGGGAGTCAGTAGGATAGATAGCAGACTTCAGTTTACATTTGAACACTTCTCCTGAAGATAGAGAAGCAAACTTGGCTGTCTTGATGGTCAGAGTTGAGGCTTTGCTTCCAAAGATGAGATTGCCTTGAGCAATGACATAGTTATTGGTGTCAGAGTCTGATATTTCATTGTTATCAGGATCTATCCAAGTAACAGGGGTGTCCTGTGACAATCCACTGATCGTGCAGATAAGATCTTGATTGGTTGCAGTCGTGACAGATTTGTCTTCAAAAACAACAGCTGAAAGATATGGTTGCGATAATAAATGGTGAAACTGACATGGAAGAGGAAAATATTTCTGTCTATTAAGCTTTAAAAGAGTAACTACGTTAATATTATAGAAGAGAGAATACTTACAGAAAACGTTCAGGATAACATCGGTCTGCTTGTTGGTCTGAAGCCACTCATTAGATGTGATAGCACAAGTGTAGGTTGAGTCAGCTGTATTAGCAGCAGCTTTTACACTAAGTGTAGTAGTTTGAGAATTGGAACCATAAGTTCCTGCAGATACATCATAGTTGCTTCCTGACAAAGTTGTTACATCGGTGCCATCCTTCCTCCAGACAACAGCATCAAGTTGTTGAGTTATACCAGAAATGACACAAGAAATCGTAGCATCTGTTCCCGATTCTACTTCTTTGTTCTTAGATTCGACATCTGAGGAAAGACGTTAAAGAAAATGCTTACCTGCAGTGGTATTCTGCATCAATTATCATTTGAAGGTGACTAGAAATACGGAAACAAAAAATAATCATTGTTTGGGCTGCAAGGTTTTTGACAAAGCAATATGACTGGATGTACCTAGATTCAAGAAAGTAAGAACCATCTCGTTCGTCACATCAGGAGAATACAGAGAAAACAGAGAGGATCTGAGTTGGCACTTGAATCTATCTCCGGATGTAAGACTGCTTAATTTGGATGCCGTGATGGTTAATGTTGGTTGTTTGTTCCCAAAGACATAAGTGGCTTGATCAATAACATAATTGGGGGTGTCGAGTACAGAAATTTGGCTGTTGTCAGGATCTATCCATGTGACAGAGGAGTCTTGTGATAGTCCAGTGATGGAACATGTAATCGTCTGATCCGTTGCAGTTGAGACAGTTCTGTCCACCAGTGACAGTACTAAAAATAATAATTTTATTAAAAACTAAAACATCTAAAAATTTAAATATAAAATTATTGATAATTTGCAGAGTGAAAGATTAAATAAAAAATGAATGTGAAGTCTTTAAAACATATTAGGTATTAGTTTCCAGAAGTGACCTACCAAATACGTTCAGAACCACAGTTGTCTCCCTATTCGACACAAGCCACTCATCAGATGTGATAGCACAAGTGTAGGTTGAGTCAGCTGTATTAGCAGCGGCTTTTACAGTGAGTGTTGTAGTTTGAGAATTGGAACCATAAGTTCCTGCAGATACAACATAGTTGCTTCCTGACAAAGTCGTAACATCGTTGCCGTCCTTTCTCCAAACAATAGTGTCAATTTGTTGAGTTATACCAGAAATGACGCAGGATACTGTTGTTTCTGTCCCTGATTCCACTTCTTTGTTCGTAGGTTCAACATCTAAGGAAAGCATATTTGGTTACATGTACTGTTGTTGATAAACAAATTTTACTAAACTTATAGAAAATGCAAAGGAGCTAGCCTTTGAAAATAGTAATGTTTAAGTTCTTAATCTGCCATAAAGACTAAAAGAATCAGTAACAAGGTAATTAATACTGTACATTCGTGTCAACGTCACGTGGAATTAATGAAGATCGATAATGTTGTAGCATGTATTCCAAAGAAGTATATGCATTTGTATATGATTCACATAATTATACAAATTCACTTACCCAGGGTGAGAAGAGTCAATACCATCTGCTTCACAACAGCTGGTGACTCATCAGGATACTGCGAGGATGTGAGTTTGCACTTGTATAGCACTCCTGATGTCAGGGAAGCCAACTTGGCTGTTGTGATGGTCAGTAAAGATGATTTACTACCAGACAAATAAGATCCTTGATTAATGACATAGTTGCTAGTGTCGGAGCTAGATATCTCGTTATCATCAGGTCCTATCCAAGTGACAGGAGTTTCTGCTGACAATCCGGTGATAGCACAGGTTATAGTTTGATCAGTAGCAGTTGTTACGGATCGATCATCAAATGTGGCCACTGAAACAATCATCATAATCAGTTTAATGAGACATAATTAATGAGATCTATTATTGGTAACAGTACTGAAAAATCAATCGAGAATATGAGGTAGAATCAAAACGTTACTCACAGAACACATTCAATATCACATTTGTCTGCCTATCAGTGATAAGCCACTCGTTGGATGTGAAAAAACAGGTATAGATTGAGTCAGCTGTATTAGCAGCAGCCTTTACAGTAAGTGTTGTAGTTTGAGAATTGGAACTGTAAGTTCCTGCAGATACAACATAGTTGCTTCCTGACAAAGTCGTTACATCATTTCCACCTTTCCTCCAAACAACAGCGTCAAGTTGTTGAGTGATACCGGTGACTACGCAAGAAACGACCGCATCTGTTGCAGCTTCAACTTCCTTATTAACAGGTTGAACACCTGAAAGGGAAATAATCATAAGAAACGGTCCGCAAACACGAAAAACTGATTAGCATCAATTAAAAAAATCACATGACAAAAGACTGAAAGAGGAACCAAAGCGTTATACGTAGTATAGCCATACTACCTACTAAATTAAATTTATTCAATGACTTACCCAATGATAATAACGTCAGGGTCATCTCATTCACCACCTCCGGGGAGTCAGTAGGATAGAGAGCAGACTTCAGTTTACATTTGAACACATCTCCTGAAGAAAGAGAAGCAAACTTGGCTGTCTTGATGGTCAGAGTTGAGGCTTTGCTTCCAAAGATGAAATTGTCATGAGCAATGACATAGTTGTTGGTGTCAGAGTCTGATATTTCATTGTTATCAGGATCTATCCAAGTAACAGGTGTGTCCTGTGACAATCCACTGATCGTGCAGATAAGATCTTGATTGGTTGCAGTCGTGACAGATTTGTCTTCAAACACAATAGCTGAAAGATTTGGTTGCGATAACAAATGGTGAAACTGACATAGAAGAGGGAAATTTTTCTGTCTAAGCTTTAAAAGAGCAACTAAGTTAATATTATAGAAGGGAGCAATACTTACAGAAAACGTTCAGGATAACATCGGTCTGCTTGTTGGTCTGAAGCCACTCATTGGATGTGATAGCACACGTGTAGGTTGAGTCAGCTGTGTTAGCAGCAGCCTTTACAGTGAGTGTTGTAGTTTGAGAATTGGAACCGTAAGTTCCTTCAGAAACAACATAGTTGCTTCCTGACAAAGATGTAACATCGGTTCCACTTTTCCTCCAAACAACAGCATCAAGTTGTTGGGTGATACCGGAAATCACACACGAAACAGTTGCATCAGTGCCACTTTTTACTTCTTTGTCTATGGGCTGAACATCTGAAGCAAGAGCGGTTACTCAATTTTATTCTAACAAATTGTTTCCAGACAAGCCAATAGTACATGATAACAATCTCTAATCGTTCCCTAGTTAACTAGTTGCAAGCCAGGGACCATAAAACGCTGAATAAGCATAACTGATAACGCAAGCTAGATATAATGCACATTTAAAACATGAAGAGTATCAACTTTGATAAAAGATAACTGAGTTAGTTAATGCTATATTCAGAAGAGTTTCATACCAGTTCAGTATGAGTTAACTATCAATTGTTTTGCGGCAAATATTATAAAGTGAAACATCAAATGTTTTTAATGACTGAAGAGCCCTGCATTCTGCAATCTACATGTTGTTCAGATAAAACACTTACCCAGAGCGAGGAAGGAGAGGGCCATACTTTTGACAACATCAGGAGAGTGTACAGAGTACAAAGCAGATCTTAGTTCACACTTGAATATGTCTCCAGATGTTAGGGCGGCTATTCTGGCTGTTGTAATTGTCAAAGTTGGGGCTTTGCTTCCAAAGATGAAAATGCCTTGAGAAATCACATAGTTGCTGGTGTCAGTATTGGATATTTCATTATTGTCAGGATCTATCCAGGTAACAGAGGAGTCTTGTGATAATCCAGAGATCGAACATGTGATCGTCTGGTCTGTTGCCGTAGTAACCAATCTGTTCTCCAACGACATCACTTGAAAATAGAACAATTTTGAAAAAAAAACAGAATTAACAATTCTTGTAAACCTTGTAAACCTTGTAAACCTTGATAAGGTATCATATTCAAAACACGTGTAACAAGATATGATTGTCCTTCAACAGATCTATTTTTAAATGCTTTTCAAAATGTTAATAAATATATATCTTACCGAAAACATTGAGCAATACGGAAGTTTCCTTGTTCGTTTGAAGCCACTCATCAGATGTGATAGCACAAGTGTAGGTTGTATCAGCTGTATTAGCAGCAGCTTTAACACTAAGTGTTGTTGTTTGAGAGTTGGAACCATAAGTTCCTGCAGATACAGCATAGTTGCTTCCTGACAAAGTCGTTACATCGGTTCCACTTTTCTCCAAACAACACCATTCAGTGCTTGAGTAATACCGGTGATAACACACGAAATAGTCGTGTCTGTCCCTGATTCAACTTCCTTGCTGATAGGCTGAACATCTGTAAAAAGAAACTTCGTTAAAATTCATTAAAACTTGCTGTCAACTCAAGGTTCGAATGGATGGATAAACTTAAAATTGAAATGAAAATGTCACAAATCTATAAAGAAACATCAATGCACGGTTGTTCGAACTTACCCAATGTAAGTAAAGTAAGAGTCATTTCCTTTACAACATCGGGCGAATGAGTTGGATAGACTGAAGACCTCAGTTTACATTTGAAAACTGAAGTACTACTGAGGGATAACATTTTTCCTGTTGTTATGGTTAAAGATGATGACTTGCTCCCAACTGAATATGAACCCTGACTGATGACATAGTTACTAGTGTCGGAGCTAGATATCTCGTTATCATCAGGTCCTATCCAAGTGACAGGAGTTTCTGCTGACAATCCAGTAATAGCACAGGTTATAGTTTGATCAGTAGCGGTTATGAAGGATCGGTCAACAAATGTTACGGCTGAAATATTGATGATTAGTTAACATATGAATTCATAGCAATGATCGAACGAATCCAAAAAAGGATGAAACATCAATTTTTCAGCGAAAGGCATCCAAATTAAGTTTCCAATTCCTTACCAAACACGTTCAGGCGAACATTACTCTCCCTATCAGTAACAAGCCACTCATCAGATGTAATAGCACAAGTGTAGGTTGTGTCAGCTGTATTGGCAACAGCTTTTACAGTAAGTGTTGTAGTCTGAGAGTTGGAATCGTAAGTTCCTGCAGATACAGCATAGTTGCTTCCTGACAAAGTTGTTACATCGCTGCCAGACATTTTCCAAACAACAGCGTCCAGTTGTCTCGTGATACCAGTGATGACGCAGGAAATGGTATTTTCTGTTCCAATGTCAACTTCCTTGCTGATGACCTGGACATCTGAGAGAAAAAACGTAATGTTAAGACATTTAATAGAAGGGAGGAACAAGTCCAGATGATAGAAATTAATATCGTCTTCACTTTATTAATGTACAGTAAAACCCCGATTCACCGCTCCCCAATTAACCGCAAACCCCGCTTTACCGCGGCTATTTCCTTCCCCCAAATAGAGCTTAACATAGATAATGTAAACAAGCAAAACCCCGATTTACCGCAAACCCCGATTTACCGCGGCTTCATGCTTTCTCTCAAACACCGCAGAAAATCGGGGTTTTACTGTATGTATTTTTGAGTCACTGCTCCCGACAGCATTGACTGTTTATAATGAACAGCTAATATATGTGTTGCGTTAGAAAAGTGATATAGCATTTGCAGTGTATGGACATGACAGTTAGAAGTTACAAACTATAAGCAGCAGACACCAAGACTTAATAAATAGGACAAGAAAAGTTCGAAATGAAGATTTACTGCAGAAATATTCATAATGCACTCACCTAGAGACAGTAAAGTCAGAGTCATCTCATTCACCACCTCCGGGGAGTCAGTAGGATAGAGAGCAGACTTCAGTTTACATTTGAACACATCTCCTGAAGATAGAAAAGCAAACTTGGCTGTTTTGATGGTCAAGGTTGAGGCTTTGCTTCCAAAGATAAAACTGCCTTGAGCAATGACATAGTTGTTGGTGTCAGAGTCTGATATCTCGTTGTTATCAGGATCTATCCAAGTAACAGGTGTTTCCAGCGACAATCCACTGATCGTACAAATAATATTTTGATCGGATGCAGTTGTGACAGCTTTGTTATCGAATGCAACAGCTGAAAATGAATCATACGATATATCAATCATTCAGTTACGATGTAAAATAGATAGTGTAAATACATGTAAACAATAAAAAGTCAAACGATTACTCTTGCAATGAACCCATACAAGGACAAATTGATTGAACAGTTTGAACTCCGAAATTCGAATTTATAAGATTTTTTACCGAAAACGTTAAGTGATACGGCCGTTTCCTTGTTCGTTTGAAGCCACTCATCTGATGCGATAGCACAAGTGTAGGTTGAGTCAGCTGTGTTCGCAGCAGCTTTTACAGTAAGAGTTGTTGTTTGAGAGTTGGAACCGTAAGTCCTGCAGATACAACGTAGTTGCTTCCAGACAAAGATGTAACATCGGTTCCAGCTTTCTTCCAAGCAACAGCGTTCAGTTGCTGAGTGATACCGGTGATAACGCACGAAATAGTCGTGTCTGTACCCGACTCGACTTCTTTGTTGATAGGCTGAACACCTGAAAGGATAGTTATCATTAAAAACAGTCCTCCAAGAAAACAAACTGTGGAACAGCAACTTTTCATGGCAACATTTTATAAAGGAACATTACTTCTTACTCATCCGTATTAAGTCACACTTACCCAATGATAATAAAGTCAGAGTCATCTCATTCACCACCTCCGGGGAGTCAGTAGGATAGAGAGCAGACTTCAGTTTACATTTGAACACATCTTCTGTAGATAGAGAAGCAAACTTGGCGGTCTTGATGGTCAGAGTTGAGGCCTTGCTTCCAAAGATAAAAGTGCCTTGAGCAATGACATAGTTGTTGGTGTCAGAGTCAGATATTTCGTTGTTGTCAGGATCTATCCAGGTTACAGGAGTGCTTTGTGCTAGTCCACTGATAGTGCAGGTCAGTAGCTGATCTGTAGCAGTTGAAACGACTCTGTCCTCCAATACAACAGCTGAAAATAAAAGTTTGTTATATAATGTCAACAAAGTAATGGTCATTAAATCTTTTTTAAAGTATGTATATTGTTTATTGTATATGTTTCACTATGATATTGAGAACTCCTTAATGGTTTTTAAAATCCTTACAGAATAAGTTCAGAACCACAGTTGTCTCTCTATTTGTTTCAAGCCACTCATCAGATGTGATAGCACAAGTATATGTTGAATCAGCTGTATTAGCAGCAGCCTTTACAGTGAGTGTTGTAGTTTGAGAGTTTGAACTGTAAGTTCCTGCAGATACAACATAGTTGCTTCCTGACAAAGTCGTTACATCTGTTCCACTTTTCCTCCACACAATACTGTCCAGTTGTTGGGTGATACCCGTAATAACACAAGAGACAGTGGCATCAGTACTAGTCTCCACCTCTTTGTTTGTAGGTGTGACCTCTGAAAAAAGGAAAAATTATATTCACTCAAAGCATTAACGCTCATAAATCTCGATACCACCACCTTTATGTTATAAAACTTCCCTCAACAGAAAAACACAATTGTAATCAGTATCTGAAGAAGTTTTGCCTCCGACCAATAACATACCCAAAGCAAGCAGAGTAAGAGTCATTTCCTTTACAACTTCTGGTGAATCAGTAGGATAAGCTGCAGACTTCAGTTTACATTTGAAAACTGAAGCAGCGCTTAGGGTGGAGAGTTTTCCTGTTTTGATGGCCAAAAATGATGACTTGCTACCGAGTTGGTATGCACTTTGACTGATGACGTAGTTGCTAGTGTCAGAGCTAGATATCTCATTATCATCAGGTCCTATCCAAGTGATGGGGGGTTCGGCTGACAATCCAGTAATACCACAGGTTATAGTTTGAGCTGCAGCAGTAGTGACAGATTGGTCCTCAAACGTAACGGCTGAAATAAATACAAAAATTATAAATTATGTAATTAAATAATTACAAAACTGCGAGGGACATAATTCATTACACGAGTAATTGACAAAACTTTTTCAATCGTTTGAATCTGTTAACAGTTGGTTAAAGATGTAGAAAAAAAAGCTGCTAATATTCTTACCGAATACGTTGAGAATGACATTGGTCTGTGAGTCAGTCACAAGCCATTCATCGGATGTGATAGCACAAGCGTAGGTTGAGTCAGCTAAATTAGCAGCAGCCTTTACAGTCAGTACAGAAGTTTGAGAGCTGGAACCGTAAGTTCCTTCAGAGACATCATAGTTGCTTCCAGACAAAGTAGTGACGTCGGTGCCAAACTTCTTCCAAACAACAGCGTCGAGCTGTTTCGTGATACCAGTAATTACACAAGAGATGGTAGTCTCTGTGCCAATATCAACTTCTTTGTTGATTGCCTGAACGCCTGAAAGAGAAATTGAAGTTTAAACATTTGATCAATAAAAAAAGTATCTGTGGAAGCCTATTACTCTGAATTCAATAAAGCAATAAGAATGATTTATAAAAAGATGATGTTGCAAATTATATGCTTCTTGCTCACCCAGTGTTAGCAGGGTCAGGGTCATTTCATTCACCACCTCCGGAGAGTCAGTAGGATAGAGAGCAGATTTCAGTTTACATTTGAACATATCTCCTGAAGATAGAGAAGCAAACTTGGCTGCTTTGATGGTCAGAGTTGATGCCTTGCTTCCGAAAATATAAGTGCCTTGAGCAATGACATAGTTGTTGGTGTCAGAATCGGATATTTCGTTATTGTCAGGGTCTATCCAGGTAACAGGGGTGTCCTGTGACAATCCACTTATCGTACAGAAAAGATCTTGATCAGTTGCAGTGGTAACAGCTCTGTTTTCAAATGCAACAGCTGAAAATCGAAAGTTGGTTATGCAATATAAATATAAAAAAGGATTAACAAAATGAAGTGTTAGTACTCGAATGATAACGTTTTTTTGTGTTCATTTCAGCAATTTTTAGTGTACTATAGAATCCTTACAGAATACGTTCAGAACCACAGTCGTCTCCCTATTTGACACAAGCCATTCATTGGATGCAATAGCACAAGTGTAGGTAGAGTTGGCTGTATTAGCAGCAGCCTTTACAGTAAGTGTTGTAGTTTGAGAGTTAGAACCGTAAGTTCCTGCAGATACATCATAGTTGCTTCCTGACAAAGTTGTAACATCCGTTCCATCTTTTCTCCAAATGATAGTGTTCAGTTGTTGGGTGATACCAGAGATAACACACGATATCGTTGTATCTGTTCCAGATTCCACTTCTTTGTTTGTAGACTGGACATCTGAAATGAATTTAGTAAAACATTTTACTCTCGGGGTTCTTCAGTGTCCTTTTTCCGTACAGAAATGTAGACAACGAGTTGAATTTTTGCATCACTACCCGGTTAATAATTGAATAAATAATATCTCATAAAAATGTGTCTTCTTCAACTTACCTAACACAAGTAATGTCAGAGCCATTTCTTTATTCACGTCAGAGGAATATGTAGGATACAGAGCAGACTTTAGTTTACACTTGAATGTGTCTGCGGATGTTAATCCGGATATTTTGGCTGTTTTGATGGTCAAAGTTGAAGTTTTGCTTCCCGTTATAAATGTTCCTTGATTTATGTCGTAGTTATTAGTGTCTGTGTTGGATATTTCGCTGTTGTCAGGATCTATCCAGGTAATAGGAGTGTCCAGTGATAATCCAGAGATCGAACATGTAATCGTTTGATCTGTCACCGTAACAATCGATCTGTCTTCAAAGGTAGCACCTAGAAGAGATTAGATTTTATTTATGGCATTTTCCCGCAAATGTGTTTTTTTAACAACTAAATTTTGTTATACTTCAAAAATCTAAACTGGGTGTAAATGTTGTTCATGTTCAATCTACTAATCCAGAAATTAGGTAAATCAGCGTGTCTTACTGAAAACATTTAGAGACACAGTCGTCTCTTTGTTTTGTTCCAGCCACTCAAAAGACGTGATAGAACAAGTGTAGGTTGTGTCAGCGGTATTAGCAGCAGCCTTTACAACAAGTGTTGTAGTTTGAGAGTTGGAACCCCAAGTCCCTGCTGATACATCATAGTTGTCTTCTGACAAAGTTGTTACATCGGTTCCATCTTTCCTCCAATCAACAGCTGTCAGCTGCTCCCCGATTCCGGTCACGATGCAAGATAAGGTTACGTCGGTACCAGATTCCACTTCTTTGTCAGTTGGCTGCACCTCTGCAATTAACAAAAATTATTGATGAAACTGGTTCAACACAGTACTTTTGGTAAGCAATGCTTCAGGATTAAGGAATGGAGTATCGTAAATTACAATTTCAGAAAGAATCGGTTAGTGAAAGCCTGAAACCTCTTTGAACCTCAAATTATGACAGATTTATACATCAGTGGCCGGTGGCTTTAATATTGATAACATACCAAGAGTAAGAGCTGTGAGAGTCATTTCATTGATAGATTCAGGCGAGTAAACCGGGTAAACCGCGGACTTTACTTTACATTTATACACCGTGGTCTCGGCCAAGGACTGCATCACAACCTTCTTGATGGTGAGGAAGAACTCTTTGCTTCCGTCGATGTAGTTGCCTTGGTTGAGGACGTAGTTGTTGGTGTCGGAGTCGGATATTTCGTTGTTGTTTGGGTCTACCCAGGTGACGGTAGTGTCAGCAGACAAGCCGGTTACAGCACACGTGAGGACTTGATCGGAGTTAGCGACCACAGTCTTGTCAGGGAAATTAATCGCTGAAAGATATGTAATTCAGAGTGGCAGAATCAATTTCCTTCTGCTCAAGTGTATGGTTTCGATTAAAGTTTTGATTGGGTGTTATACCCAGTATTGGATATTTTAGTCTGATCTGATGATGCTTACAATTAGTTTTTATAGATTCCTGAATCATTTCGATGATAAATTATACGAACCGAATGTGTTGAGAGTTACAGACGTCTGCTGATCAGTTACAAGCCATTCGTTGGAAGTGATAGCACAAGTGTAGGTCGAGTCACCAGAATTAACAGCAGCTTTAACAGCAAGGATTGTAGTTTGAGAGTTGGAACCGTAAGTTCCTGCAGATACAACATAGTTGCTTCCTGGCAAAGCTGTAACATCAGTGCTATCTTTCTTCCAAACGACAGTTGTCAATTGTTGGGTGATTCCGGTAATCACACATGAAACTGTTGCATCAGTTCCAGATTGGACCTCCTTGTTAATCGGTTGAACACCTGAAAAATAAAGCTCGTTAGCATTCTAACTTATTCAATATTCAGTTCCAATATTTTGAATTCCAATAAACAATGAGAAAGTACACTAATATAACAAAAAGACGGGGAAACTATCTTACTTAGTTCAAGAAGAGTGAGAACCATCATGTTCACAACGAAAGGAGAGTCGTCAGGATACTGGGCAGACTTCAGTTTGCATTTGTAATTATAAGTCTGTCCGGCATTAAACGTATCAAGCTTTGCTTTCTTGATCGTCAGAATGGAAGCTTTGCTGCCAAAGGCGTAGGTCCCTTGATCTATGATATAGTTATCAGTGTCAGTGTCGAGGATTGACAAGTTATCATTGTCCACCCAGGTGACGCTGGTCTCTGCAGAAAGGCCGGAGATGGTGCAGGTTAGCTCCTGATCTGAAGATGTCACTACGGATCTGTCGACAAATGTTACCGCTGAAATAATAATTAGTTGTCATAACAGAGTATATATATAGAGGTTTATGTTATAGTATAAGAAGTGTTTTCAGATTTAGCAGTTATTGCTGGTCATGTGGCAATGTTTTTTTAATCATAGTGAAATTTGTATCTTGCGTGATCAGTAAATATTTACCGAACACGTTCAGAGCAACACTCGTCTCCCTGTTTGTTATCTCCCATTCAGTGGAAGAGACTGCACAAGTATAAATTGAGTCAGCTGTGTTAGCAGCAGCTTTTACGGTTAGCGTTGTAGTTTGAGAGTTGGAACCGTAAGTCCCTGCAGATACAACATAGTTGCTTCCTGACAAAGTTGTAACATCCGTGCCAACTTTCTTCCAGACAACCGTGTTCAGCTGCTGAGTAATGCCGGTAATGACGCACGAGAGCGTAGCATCAGCTCCGGCTAGTACTTCAATGTTAGCAGGCCGGACTCCTGAGGGATTGTGTGATATGTTGACATATATCAAGTAATAACTTCATCATATCATTCAGAGGCACTAGAGTGTTTACCAATCCAAGATGGGATACACAGGATTTATGAACAATCGCAAGAATTTTCCTGATCAAATTATGTTACGAACAACAAGAACTTACCAAATTCGAGGATGGTAAGTGTCATTGCTTTAATGACCTCTGGTGAATCTGAGTACAAAGCTGATTTCAGTTTGCAGGAGTAGTTCACATCCGAAGAGAGGGTCCCTAATTTTGCTTTGAATATAGTCAGAGTTGACGCTTTGCTTCCAGCGGAATAAGAGCCTTGATTAACAACATAGTTGTTGGTATCAGAAGTAGATATCTCGTTGTTATCAGGACCAAGCCAGGCTATAGTGGTGTCTTGTGATAGTCCAGTGATAGTGCAAGTGATAATTGTCTGGGCAGCAAGTGGAACCACTGACTTATCATTTACAGTTATGGCTGAAAATGTTGAGGGTTATTTTCATGTTTTTTAGGGGATTTTTATTGTTAGATAATTTACATTCAGTTCAGCTGGCATATTTTATATTTTGATCCATATTCTAGAGTAGTTGATAACTTAAACCACCAAATTCTAGGGATTCGATCTAAAAACAAACTGAAGTCGTCTTGTATTTGAAACTCACTGAATACGTTCAGATTAACAGTCGTCTCTCTGTCCGTAATCCCGTACTCATCAGAAGAAATAACACAAGTGTAGGTGGAATCAGCCGTGTTAAGGGCAGCTTTAACCGTTAGAGTTGTGGTCTGGGTGGAGGAGACTATAACCCCCGTGCTAACTACGTAGTTAATATTGGAGAGAGATGTGACGTCACTACCGTCCTTCTTCCAGGAGACTGCGTTCAGTTGCTTGGTGATACCACTGGCTACACAAGACAGGGTGGCGTCCGTGCCTGTTTCTACTTCTTTTTCGATTGGGATGACATCTGTTGGGAGTGTAATTGTGAAGAATACGATTTGAACAATACTGGATGTCGATATGATGCCAGTATCACATACCATCTTTCGCTAGTAAGCTTCAAAATGTCCATGTCAACTGTCAAGTCATGATCAGCTTTAAACCGCATCAGCTATTTTACGTGTTTACAAAATACACGTAAAATTAAAAATATAAATCACAAGCGAACTCACCGAACACAACGATCTCAGCCTCTCCACTGAACACAGTGCCCTGAGACAAGGTCTGACTTCCGACCGTCTGGGTCGGGTAAGTAGCAGCACACTTGTACACTCCGGCGGTGCTCAGGGACAGTGTTACGGGGTATGTGGAGGTGTAGAGCTGGTTAGCTGCTACTGATTCTGTGTTACCAACCTGGGGGAGTGACTGATGGGTCAGAGATACTGTTTACTTGTTTAGCACATGAGGGATCATAGGGCTCGTTTAAAATTGAGGGAGTAACTGCTCGAAACATCAATAGCATTAGCATACAGCCTTGCTCTTTCAACACGTATAAGTCGTATCTTATTTGGCGCGGGTGCAGAACGCGGGTCAGATAACCGCACTTTGTTCGCTCGTTTCTTGTGCCATGAATATTTACCATCAGCTGATGGTAAATATCAATAACCCGGACGATGAGACATGAACCAGTTTAAAGTTCCGCTGATAATTCATAATAGTAATAGGGCCAAAACTCACTTGCATATCAAAAATATTAATGAACAAGTTATACTCCAGTAGCAGGGAATAGTTGAGTGTGCACTTCGATGTACACGATTTCTGACAACACAGGGTTGTTTGTTAGATCATTCTTAACCAAAATCGATTAGGTACGCAATTTGTGTCGCTAGACATAACCCTACAGGGCAAATTTTCTAAATTACCCTCAGTCGCGTATACGGGATTTTTGTATTTCAGCTCCTAAAGGTCATAGAGACTTAAACTTTAGCTTAAAATTACCGCAATGGCCACATTTATATACAAGTTATGAAGCAACATAAGGTCTCCAGTGCTTCGTTTTATAGATATTGACAAAAAACTGTTTTTTGGCTCAGCGAACCAAAAATGGCACTGAATTTTGGTAACTTGAACTAGGAAGGTCGTAGAGACTTGAATTTTAGCTTAAAATGACCGCAAACATCATATTTATATACAACTTATAAAGCAATATAAGCCCTTTAATGCTTATTTGTTAAGATATTGACAAAAATCAGTCATTTTGGCTACACGTGTTAGGAAAAATACCAAATTGGGCAACTACTTTGGTCTTTTTTTGACAAGTTTTGTGCTCAAGTTATTAAAATGTGCTTTGCAGTTGTATATCGGGTGTTTTCTTCCAATATGGGTTTCGGTATAAATCCGGAAGCACCCGGTTCATGGTTGATAAGGGCTAAAAACCCTGAAATGTCAGGCGATGGGCGAGACAATTGTCTGAATTTGGTTATAAAATCACTCTTTGTTGATACATGTTTCGTATCCCAATATCAGAGATAATATGCCTTCGGCGGCCTTCGGCGGATAATATGCCTTCGGCGGCGCGCGCTTCGCGCGCGAAAAGTGGCATGCAACGTATGTCAAACTCTTTGCTAGGGTTTGCTTTTTTTCCGCTACATCGATCCGCTTTCTTACTACTAATCATCCCCCTCTACATCATTCACTTTTAGATACATGATTTCTATAAGTTCTTGAAGGTACATCCGGCATGATGTAAACTACTACTACTACTACTACTATGTCGGAGCTAAGTCCGATCTACGCCAGAAAACCCCCTCCATATATCCCTGTCCCGCATCAGGGTTCGCAGTTCCTCTTTAGAGTTTGTCCCAACTTCCTTCAGTAACATAGACAAGTAGCTTTGTCTTGGTCGGCCTTGCTGTGCTCTACCGTGCGTAGGTTCCCATAAGACTAAATCACTGGCAAGTAGCTCAGGATGTCGGATGCAGTGTCCCGCCATTTTTAATCTCCTGCTTCGTAACTTGTTTGACAGCCTTGGGAGGCTACCATACAAAGTTATATTGCTGACCTTGTCCTTCCATGAGATACCCAGCACCATACGCAACATCTTTGTGTATGTCCCGTCCAAACTTTTCTCTTGAGCCTTTGTCAGTGTCCAGGTTTCTGATCCGTAGAGCAGTACTGATTCACAAGCCGCTATGAACAATCTAATCTTTAGGCTCTTTGAGAGTTTGGATTTCCAGATATCCTTCAGTCTATGTAGGGCACCCCACGCTTTTCCCTTTCTAACCCTTATCTCCCTATCTGTGCTCTCAATCCAGGAGCCTAAGTAGATGAAATCATCTACATTTTCTATGGCTTCCCCGGATCGACTTTGTAGGTCGCTAGATCGATCCTCCATATTCAGTGTCATGACCTTGGTCTTGCCTTCGTTTATGTGTAGTCCCACGCTTGCTGCCGCCGATTCTACTCTGAGCAGGAACTCGTTAGCCTTGTCCATGTCCTCAGATATAAGTGCTATATCATCTGCAAAGTCCACATCGGTGATGATCTTGGGCCCCACTCTTCTGCTTTTTCTACGTTCGAGGGTGAGTCCAAGTCGCTCCGCATCATCGCCTATGGCTTGCCTCATACAGTAGTCGATGACTATTGCAAAGAGGTAAGGTGCTAAGGTATCACCCTGTAACACACCTGCAAGTATCTCGAACAATTCAGTTTCTCCGTCTGGAGTTAGGACTTTGGCCATTGTCATGATGTAAAGTCTATATCAAAGCATTTTAATGTGGTTTTAACAAGTTGCAAGATATTCAAGTTCACAAATAAAACAAAGATTGTAGGTTATCCTTCTATTACATATTGAGTAATTGTGGGCTTTTTGAGGGGGGAGGCTATAAAATGGCCAAATATAATTTAAACGTAAACGACCCAATAATAATATTAAAAGTAGAATGAAACTACTTAAAACTTATACAGATTTATGGTATCCTGTTTCAAGACGCTTGCTCCTGATTTGTAGCAACAATATCGACTGACCCCACGGGCCACGACGTTGTAATATAATTGTGGGTAGCCAATCTAACTACTGTTCTATAAGTTTTGAACGGTAGTTTGTAAAAATAATTATTTCCAAGGTAATACTAACCTTCAAAGGTACATTTTTAGTTATTATCAAATTATTCGGGTTGACAGTATTAAACATTTTGAATCGGGAAATCAAAGCGTAACTTTTTGATTACAGATAAACGTTGTGGATGCAGATGTTGTACAGTGTACATTAGCGTCATCTTAAATCTATTTTGAATGGAGTATCATACAGTAGTTCAACTATATAATTGCATATTCAGTATTCACCTACAAGCATAACTGTTTGGCGTGATAGGGTACATCTTTGAATGGTAGTAGGGTCTTTCAGCGACACAGCAATATCACTTCCATGGTAGTCCCCGGCTTATAACGGGTTCATAGCGGTATCAAACATGTTTTATGGGCCCAATCATCTGTCCATATAATGGTGTTTCTGGACAGATAGATGGTGTATGATGCCCTCATGCTAATTTCAGTGATCTTCATGCAGGCCTTTTTCTCTTAAGTTTACACTCAGGTGGTTCATAAAGGTTTGGAGGCTGCAGTTGTAAATGCCTCGAGCTCCCACTCCTACTGTCTGGAGCTTGCAAGCCCATCCGTTGGCTTCTATCTCTTCTGTCAGCTGCTGATATCTCTTCATATTCTTTTCTCTTGATCAGCAAAGTTCTCCTCATTCAGATGCACCTTCTTCGCTTTATCTGAATAGATCACTACATCTGGTCTCAGTGGTATTACACTAATGTAATGTCTAACAATAACGTTTATAAGCGCTAAAATTTCGAACTAGCGGACCATATTCGGAGGAGATATTTGGGACAGTTTTTTTGCTTGGAAATACTGATTTAATCGAATTGTAACCACAACAATGACTCCCAATAATATTCTTATAGAAAATGTGGATAAATATTAAATATTAAAAAGAATACAGGTTTGACTATGAAGTTTCGTAAATAATCACGTAAAGAATAATAGGTAACCTACAGTCTTTGTTTGGTAAACCAATTTGGTATCTTTCCTCACATGTGTAGCCAAAATTACTCAATATGTAATAGAAGGATAACCTACAATCTTTGTTTTATTTGTGAACTTGAATATCTTGCAACTTGTTGAAACCACATTAAAATGCTTTGATATAGACTTTACATCATGCCGGATGTACCTTCAAGAACTTATAGAAATCATGTATCTAAAAGTGAATGATGTAGAGGGGGATGATTAGTAGTAAGAAAGCGGATCGATGTAGCGGAAAAAAGCAAACCCTAGCAAAGAGTGATTTTATAACCAAATTCAGACAATTGTCTCGCCCATCGCCTGACATTTCAGGGTTTTTAGCCCTTATCAACCATGAACCGGGTGCTTCCGGATTTATACCGAAACCCATGTTAGAAGAAAACACCCGATATACAACTGCAAAGCACATTTTAATAACTTGAGCACAAAACTTGTCAAAAAAAAGACCAAAGTAGTTGCCCAATTTGGTATTTTTCCTAACACGTGTAGCCAAAATGACTGATTTTTGTCAATATCTTAACAAATAAGCATTAAAGGGCTTATATTGCTTTATAAGTTGTATATAAATATGATGTTTGCGGTCATTTTAAGCTAAAATTCAAGTCTCTACGACCTTCCTAGTTCAAGTTACCAAAATTCAGTGCCATTTTTGGTTCGCTGAGCCAAAAAACAGTTTTTTGTCAATATCTATAAAACGAAGCACTGGAGACCTTATGTTGCTTCATAACTTGTATATAAATGTGGCCATTGCGGTAATTTTAAGCTAAAGTTTAAGTCTCTATGACCTTTAGGAGCTGAAATACAAAAATCCCGTATACGCGACTGAGGGTAATTTAGAAAATTTGCCCTGTAGGGTTATGTCTAGCGACACAAATTGCGTACCTAATCGATTTTGGTTAAGAATGATCTAACAAACAACCCTGTGTTGTCAGAAATCGTGTACATCGAAGTGCACACTCAACTATTCCCTGCTACTAGAGTATTACGACCACATTTCACAACCACTGTTCAATACAAACCTGTTGGTTGTCTTTTGTCCAGATAAGTGTGGCAGACCACTGGGATGACGCCAGGATACAAGACAGCGTGGTGGAGGCTGCAGCCAGCCCTTTGAAGAACTGAGGGTCTGTTGTGAAACCTGCGAGAAAGCTAGCGAGTCAGATTGGAAATGGGTGTGCAGGCAAAAACAATAATAAATAAAAGATTATTGGATCTAAAGCTTAGAATTACTGGGTACACAGGAATCAAACTTGATGTTGTTGGTAAGAGCTGGTTGATGACGACATATTTTAAATTTGAGGGAAGCGGAAGGCTCGATTTAGTCACATTCCAAATTGTGATTAATTTCAAAATGTATTTTCGATATAATTACAAAAATAATTATCTGGCGTTTGCATGGTTATCGTGGTTATATGTTATCGTTCCCTCCCATGTTCAATCGACGCACAATTTGTCCAAAATTTGAATCTTGGAGCAACTTAGCATTAGCAAGGATATAATCAACTTATATTTCCGCCATTATTGTTCGTCTATCATTGCTTGGGTCGCGCTCCCAAGTGCCACTACAATTCTAGAGCACCTTCTAAAAATATAATTTTCCCTTAGATTATGTATCGTGCTCATATAAATAATTGATTTTGATGTATTGTGAGTGTTTACAATCAAAAGTTCTTTAATTAATTTGACCGGGATGTGAATACCTTATTTCATTTTAGTGATACAGATTTTCCGACGATTTTGAAAGATAGCAGCACACTCAGATTATAGTAAAAGTTATTTTGTTTGATGTTGAACACAATATGATATAAGTTCATAAAAAGTAACAGGTAAAATTATTTTATCAATACAAACATGTAGTGCAACATACAAAATTCAAGAAAACTAAAAGCCACATGCAAATGCTAACAGAAGTGCCAGTTCCAGTTGTGTTGTCTGTAATGGTTTCTGTACTAGCGCAGTCTTCAGCACTCCTAGTTTTGGAAAAGACAGGACAATCCTTCATGATATTATATCGTTCTTTATACGTTGTTGTTAACGCATTGATCAAGTCTAGAAACGAAAAAAATGTTAAAGGTTCGCTTCCCTTCGCAAGATTTTCATTGCATCCAACTGTAGCTGTGCACTTATCCGTAATGATGGCACATTCTTGAACATCACTTTTGCAAGTTTCCTTCTTGTCGCAATGTTTTTCGGCAAAGTTTTTCCATTCATTATCGTCGGTGGAACAAGAATCAAACTCTGCCAGGTCTATAACACAAACATTACAAACAACCGGCTCCACACAGTTACCAGCCTCTTTACATAGAGAATCTGAATCAAGATTACACTCTTTATCCTCACATACCGAACACGTTGTAGACCCTTCTTCACATGCTAGTTCTGGAGGTTTACATCCCTGGGTTATTTCACAAGCATCAAACTGGGAATAGCACTCCCTCACCCCGGAAGGACAGTCCTGGAAGTCTTGACAGGTATCCGTAACGTCACTACCACAAGCTTGGTGGGTACAGGTGCTACAGACATGAGGAGGTTGCTCTATACATCCTCCGCCTGGTACACAGAGGGGGGTTGTATCCAGAGCACACTCTTCATCTTCACAAACAGAACAATTGTCAGAATCTTCCTCGCAATCGGTAATTTCCGGGGTTTTACAACCATAACTGATATTGCAGGAGTCGACCTTGGTAAAACACTGGCTAACACCAGCGGTACAGTTCACTAGCTCACAGGACTCAATGTTACTAGAATCCTGATCACAGATATCACTAATTGGTAACTTACACGTAGAACAGACATGAGGTGGGGGTGTGGTTGGAGTGGTCGGGTAATTACAGCCAACTTCCCCGCAGTTGGCCGTCACGTTACAATCCAGTCCCTCCTCCGCACCCTCGTGAGCACATATCTCCATCTCTACCTCGTTCTCGATACTATTGTTATCAAAAGTACATGCAGAAGAACACTTCAACAGACTCAACCCCATCTGTTATAGAATGATCTGGACCCATTGTTACCGAGGTGCAGTTATGCATTCCATAGTCGTCATCCTCTTCACAAGGCTGGGGTTTCTCGAGGCAAGACGATCCAAGCTCTTCATGCTCCAAATTATAGTAGGAGTATGACTTAGGACTTTCAGGGTCAAGGAGGGTTTCTCTTCTACATTGGTGGCAAAAGATGGTGAGCCCAGAGCCGAATAACGTTATTATTAGGATGAGGGATCGGGTCATTACATTGCATCTGATAGAGATGGGGATGATTAAACATTCTTTGCATATTTTATTAGATTTGACGTTTAATCTAGATCGAAATGAAAAATAATCCAGAAATTAAGATAAACGCTGAGAAGTGGAGCCTGTTCTCGTGGGATATTTCGACGGTTCATGTGGGTTGAATTATGATTTTGATAAAATCATTTTCCAACTCCAGATGTAAGTCAAGTTGGAATAATATGATTACAATTTGGTGACAATCTTTTGTACGATTTTGAGGATAATACCGAGATAAAACCAATATTCGCCGTCTTAAATTGCTTAGTGCTCAAATTCATAAAGCTTTAAGGATGTATAAAGTATGTATATTGTATAATGTATATTGTATAACAGCACCTAATGTTATTTAAATTACGTTATATCTATAAGCCCGCCTTGTAAAGAGAATATTACGTAATCATAAATAAAATAATACATAATATGCGAGTACGTAACAAGCTGAAACATGACAACTTGATTAACACTATTATACTAAACTAATTAAGGGTAACTTTGTGAACTAACACTATTAAAGTATCATAGTTACAAAACACTGAAAAATAGATGGGACAAACTCGTTGAGGCATGATCAAAGAGGGATGTGGCTGAGTGTAATAATGGACTCCTGATCAATAATGGGTACCGATACGACGTTATTTTAATAATTTAGTTGGAATAAATATCATTACACTTTGGAAGCAGCAGTGGTAGGTACGCAACACAACTAAGTAAGGTGCATGGTGACTGTCAACGGACTAAACCGTGACAGAAAGTTAATAACATCCCTAAAAGGGAAGATTACGGGCACAGTTTCGAAACGATATTAGTTATTCTGTTCAAATATGCTCCTACACTCGGTATAGTACTTCAGAAATCAGACCATATCATTGACGATCAGGTTAACAGCTGAAAAAGAAATAAGGCTCATCGGAAATGAATGTATGACTCGACTCAGATGATTTCAATTCATATACATTACAGCACTTTAAAACATGTTACTGAAGCTGAGCTAGTTTGTACTCTGTGAGGTAACTTCACAAGATAGGATTACTACAAAAAACCTTCACAAATCAGTCTTTACTCAGTTCAATCAGGTGACTGCAGGCTTGAAACTCAAACAAGGAAATGTACATAATATGCATACTAGAGCACATATAATACACACATATGATGCAAGAGCATATAAATCGTAACTTAATACTGCATACTGAAGCTAAACTGACCCAGTGCCTCGTTCTAGAATGTGGTTGTGTAAAAATGTGCTTTGTTTAAGAAAAACATCATGTAAGACCACTGCAGATAGCATGAACATTACACTGAGCTTCATTGGAAAAGAGGGCGGTCACGAAAACAAAAGTTCATCCGGTTATAGGTTCATGCTTGGTAAGAAAACTTGAGAATACGGGTGCGGTTACTTTTTAATTCGCGTTATTAGTAGCAGAATAACTGATAGGTATCGAACATAAACAATCAAACTGATAGATACTGAAAGATACACATAGAAGATATTCGGAGAGCAACTTAATGAATTAATGATTGTTTGCACCTACACAGCTACACGCACACACGAGTGTGTTTACACTAGTGACTACTGACTAGGGCTCCAATTAAGAGACAATGTTGACCGCGCGGTGACATCATGAGCACGAGTCATTGGTATGGTCATTGTTTATCTTTACATTCCCCGTGTAGTGGGTAGTCTCATCAAGTTTACTAGGTACAGCTGTGGAAAATGATGAAGGATGGACATAATTTGATACTAATAACTCATTACGATCGATAACAACTGAAATGCGAACTCGATTTAGGAATTATAAGCAAGGCTACCTGTACTTTTATAATGCGTGCTAAATTAATTTCGCGGCAATTTAGAAACAAAAACGAATTTAACACTAAGTACCGGTATATGAAACATTGCATATATTCGTCAATAATTTGTATATTTGAGATCCCATTCGCTACATCATGTATACTTCCAGAAAAAGCTGACATGCATTATCCAGCGGCTATCATGCAAATCTTTATTCAGGGAAACTTTAATTTGTACATTTTAATAATCGGTAAACATATTTTATAGGTATTTGTAACCTTATCTCATTTCATCTTTACATAACACTTAATAACATGGAGTGTGCACATTCAGTGTGCAATCAATCTTTTCGCTGAGTGTGCAATCAATCTTTTCGCTTGTGAGTTGATATCAGTTGTCTCTTATCAGTAAATAGGTAATTGCACTGCCTTTTACTGTGCAGCTTTGCTATACACGAAGTATACACAATATGGAATTTTCGGTCAGTACTCTTCACGAACTGGAGAAACAGATTGAGGACTTATCAGACTCGGTTTTAGCGAATCTTAATTGCAGGAAACTAGAGGACCTCACTCATGACTTGTTCAAGCCAAAAGGCGTTACAAAGGATGTAATAACCGAAATAGTTTTGAAGATGGGGTCTATGATATGTAAATCGAGAAATGTTTTGAGATCAGCAGCAGAGACGCTTGACCAACAGAAATCAGAACAGATAAAAACTCAGAACGAGCTCATCCAATGCAAATCTGGTAAACTAGCTTCAGTGAAGGAGACAGTGAAAACAGAAATGAAACTGTTTACAGATGTTGTAAAGAATAACAGCGTAGCTTCTGATATCTCTCCAGCTAAAATCAAAATGGCTGTGAAATCGGCGATTACAGAAGATGATCGGTCGAAAAACTTTATCATCTTCGGGGCCCCAGAACAGCTCGAATGTGAAGAGCAAGAAATGAACGAACGGGATCTCGTGGGTGATATTTGGGGTTTTATGAAGTTCATTGGAAGGCCGACTATAACAAACATTGAGAGAGTGGGAGTAAAGAAGTCTGACAGCCCTCGATCACGGCCGATAAAAGTTACTTTGCGAGATCCTGAAATTGTACGTGAATTTCTGAGCAGAGCAAAAGTCTTGAAATCGGTTGATGTGGCAGACTACAATTTCAACTACAACAAACTCTACTTATCTCCAGACAGGTCGCAGGATGAGCGAATCTCTCGCCAAAAGCTCGTACAGGAAATGAAAGAGGGAATCAAGAAGGACCCGAGCAAGAAATATTACATAAAAAACAACAAAGTTTGTGTCGCTGAGTGACTAATTATTTGAGAAAGTCAAGCATTTGTGTATGTGTGTGACGTTAATTTCATGGAGTTTAATACTTTTTGTATAACTGAGAACAGAGGTTAGAGGAACTACTGATAAGAGTATGATTAGACTGTGTTGCGTTATCAGTTGACTTTTTGCATCACTCTTCTAGATTATACGTAATAGGGTAACTTAGTTATAGAATAGGATTTTAGTTGTTGCAAGCATTGCACTAAGGTTTTAAGTTAGGTAAGTAGGCCACGAACTGTTGAGCAAACTGGGCTGGAAGCCCAAGCAATATGCAGTTCTGGTCTTGAGGCTATTTTACAATGTTTTATAACATGTGCTTGCAACTAGATCTTGAATGTCGCGTGCCCCACGGGGATTTGATTTATTCATACAATTTATTATATATTGGTTCCAAAGCCCTTATGGGTACCAGCAAAAACTGGTTTTCAAACAAACAAAAAAAAAAGTACTCCAGCAAAACGGGCGAAGCAATATGCAAAAAGCAAAATAACGGGAGATTATTAATAAAACAACAGTAATAAAATATTACTTACTTATATGGAGCTATCAAAAATTGTAAAAAGAATTAAGAAATAACTCTATTATATGTCTCGCTGGAGAGTTGTAGACCGTGAAATGCATGTGAAATCGTTAATACGAAGATAATAAACGTGCTGAATCGTGAATGTAAAACATTCCGTCTCAGGTTTTTATGCAATCGAAGTAAAGACAGACAACATATTTTTACATAACCTGATTTTGTTATCTAAAACTTAGCAATTCTATTACATAGACAAATTAGATGAACTTCCAGCTACGTGAACCACACCTTACCCGAGTGATCACTTTATTAAACAGTTATTTATAACATTAGCTTCAGGTATCTGGTATAAGACTATAAAAGTCAGGCATAGTGCATACCAAGATTAGTAAATCCAAACGTTTGAGGAAAATGGTAATTTTGATCTGATAATTAAATGGAAACGACCACAGTATTTGAGTTCTTACGTCAGCTTATATTTAGCATTTACAACACACTAATAACAATGAATAAGTAATTACTGAAACAGAAAGTTTCACTGAACGAAAGGTAATCCGAACGAAAGGTAAACCTGAAAGAAGGGCAAAACCGATTAGATAAATCAATATGGAAACAGGAACTAAATTTAAAAATCACAAATAGCAATATTGTACTTGTAGCGCATACGCGGAATTTGAACCTACATGTATAATATTCTAAACTGCATACCGATGAAGATATATAATGAGCTAATTTTAGGACCGTAGTTAATGAGAGAAAACATAATAACATTAACATGTCTTGCTAACTCCGTTGGACTTCACCTCAACGAGAGTGAGACGAAGTACATCAGAGTCAATCTCTCTGAGTCTGACTCTACCGTCATTAAAGCAGCAAGTGGGCAGGAGATAGAGCAAGTAGATGACTTTGTCTACCTTGGAAGCAGAATAATGAGTGCGGAAAAGGACTTTGATGTTAGGAAAGCAAAGGCATGGGGGGCCTGTCATCAGTTAAAGACAACCTGGAAGTCTGGAATGCGCAGGGACTTAAAGATCCGTGTCTTTCGAGCAACGGTTGAGCCCGTACTCTTGTACGGCTCTGAAGCTTGGACGATAAGCCAATCCATGACTAAGCGGATCAATGGATGCTACACTAGAATGCTCCGGATGGCCTTGAACATACGTTGGCCACAAATCATCAACAACAGTGATTTATACGGCAACATCCCCAAGCCATCAGCGATGATAGCCTCCAGAAGAATGAGACTGGCTGGACATGTAGCCAGGCATGACGACCTTCTGGCAAACCAACTTCTGTTCTGGGACCCTCAGCATGGATACAGGAGACCGGGGAGGCCCCACCTTACGTTTCTGGACATGCTAAAGAAGGACACCAGCCTTTCCTGTGTTGAAGAGATAAGATCTGTTATGCTTGACCGCGACGTGTGGCGAGGAATTGTAGTTGCTCGGACCAAGAAGCCGACTTAAGTCTTAAGTCAGTGAACAGGCTTCCCTGAACCCTGAACAGACATTTACAAAAGAGTGAACTTTTGGGTTGCGGTAGAAATCTCATACCAGAAAACATCAAAGTTCCGTCCGTCCTGTCCTATTATTACCCACCTATAATAAATACCACGTGGTACGCTTTCACATTTATGGTAGGCCGATTTGAATTTGACTGCAGGTTGGACACAAAGGCATGATTTCATAAATATTTGAGATAACGAGCGCGGCTTAAACTGCCAAATATGTCGACATCAGGATAATTTTGCCAAATTTAGCTTTAGCAAAATTCCAAGGGCGGTCTAATGAGCTCATTATTTTATCTGTCAGCAACAATCAAACTACTTTTCACTTTTCAGATTTGAGAGCTGAACCACAACAAAGTGTCGTGAGACTATTTGACTACAGCTTGACAACGAGCACTCTGCTGCCAATGTTTACGACATTTAACTCATGCTTCAGAGCTTGCACTTTAGCAAAATGATTTATGTCTAAAACTATTGAACGATTCCAGATCTTCCTTTACTTATTCCTACAATCTTATTCCCACCCTTTCATTTGGCAAACCCCTGAACCCCGAAATCCGATAACGCTTTGAAGCGAATTTGAAAAATGATCTCAGTAGAGACAGCTAGCCTTGGCCCAAATATTTTAACTGATCTGAACAACAGTAATTGAAAAAACCTCATTACCGTAGCCTTATTCGAGTATATAATTTCGGAGAAATCCAATTGCGCCAAGGTCAAAGATATAAATCATACCGTTCGCAACTCCATAGAACTCCACGCAAAGTATTATTAATATTAGTCACCCAGCATAGCTACATATTGCTTTATTTGTCAATGTTGTTAGAAAACTTAAAGTAGTAATCAGCAGTGATATCCCCAATTTGTCGAACAATAAGGTAATGATAATTATGTGACATTACATGAAGAGCAGCCCCAAGGACCCAGGGTGGTGGCTTTTAGTTTTACAAACGTTATGGAATTGAGCATACAACTGTTTACCGAATCCCAAGCTAACACCGTAACGGGACCACAAAACGACGTTACAAAACCACAAGGGTTACAGGACACGTCACGTCCTGGCAGCTGCTCATGCATACTTTGCTAAATTCCTTGACAAGTTGGTCTGATACATGTGTAAAAATTAAACTGCAAACTGCACACAACGAATGAAGCGACTGAAGCCATTTTGCAATGCAAAGAAAACAATGATTACGAATAGAAAATGAATACTGTAAATAAGTAAATAGTAAAAACAATCTCATAATTTTTTAACTTATGGGCTGGTCAACAACAGATGCTCTTCTATCTGGTATATCCGTAGCGAGCACAATTTCAGTTAAGGATGGACTACAATTAGTTATGTTGTGATACTTGAAACTGTTCTAAATTTGTCAGCCCCAGTTTAATCCATAATAACATAGTCCATATCACTGACAAGCAGAGTCACATTGTCAATACTTATTTGACAAATTAAGCAAAATGATATTAATAAGCGTATGATATGTGGTTGAATAAATAAAAGTAAGCAAGGTGAGGTAGAAATAAAGTACGAAAACCAAACCTTAGATTCTCCTTATGCCCCTTATTCTCATCATAAAACTTAACTAAATGAATTATATCCATGAGTGTGGCATGCCAACCACATTAATAAAGTAATAATAACGGAGAGCTGAGTGAGAGATTAAGCTGGAATATTCTCACATGATCGGATGACGTACTTCGCTAAATTTCCACTATAAGAATCATTATTATCGGCATCACCCGATTTGAACGAAGAGATACTTTTTTCAAAAGCGAAACTCAACTCCTCTATTAATGTGAAAGGACTGGAGGACGAACAAATAACATTTGAGAAGAAAGGGAGAAAACCCGATTTAAATCTCGTCTAAATTGTCTTGTCAAGTCGATACTAAATGGTCTGGCTACACTGACCGAGATAATCAACTGCTATTAACAGATGACATAATGAGTATAAACTAACAATGCTATGCATTTTACTTTTCACCGTCATTTCTCATTTTTAATTTCTCTAGGAAGGGTTTTTTAATGACAGATATTCGTTTGAACGTTATTAATGGTCACAGAACAAAGCATTAGAAATTTTCCACATTTATTGTGTAGTTAACACACGGCAGATTGAGACTGTAGATCGGACTCGACGATTAGGCACTAACATGCTGACTAGACAGCTATAACGGTGAGATGAATCATAAACGGTAAATCAGGTATTTGAAAATTACAGCGATAAGCGATCGATGACGCGAAGCGATTCAATATTTAAACCTTAAAACTTAAATTTGATACTAATTACAATACTCGATAGCGATGTCTCGAACTGTGATGCCATCGTGATTATTTCATATAGATTATTCGCGTGTCACTATAATGGTCATTATGATTTTGGTGATTGTAACCTTTTCCGGCTCTATTACCAATTCTTTACACAAAATCCACTTAATAACACATAGAACTGAGACCAATATTAACAGTGACTAACTGTAAGTAACTGCAAGTAACTTAAGCAACATTAACTGATTAACAGCCCGAACACATGTACCTAGCACAGTGAGAGTAACAGTCCCAGAAGACAGCACCTCTCTGCTGTCCTCAGTAGCAGTACACTTGTAATCTCCGGCATCTGCTACTGTCAGGGAGGCGAACACTAGAGTTCCTAGATTCTTCCCGTTTCCAAGGTGAGTTGTTGTTCCCGTGGTTATCACGTCGTTTCCCTGGAGATTAGTTATTGTTATAGTAGTGAATTTTAATACTGAATATGAATAGGGATATCGAATTGAGAGCAAAAAGAGGTAGTGTCGGTTGAAAAAATAATATGATAGCGAAAAATCAAATTAAACTCAACAGGCTTCAAATTGTAATTAATAATACAGAAGCACAGCTTCTTGTGACGAACTTGTTTCCAAGAAACGGTGACAGCCTGGTTAGACATGTAGCTACAGGAGAGGGTGAAAGCAGCTCCAGCAAACTCATTGTTGGTAACCGTCGAGTAATTGATGATTTCTGGGATAACATTGGTTATTAATTTCTTTCATCATTATGTAATATGAGAAGCCTCTTCTTAAATTCTAAGTCTAGCGTACTCAACGCTTTAATCATGATATATGGTGATAAACAAAAAATGTTCATAAAAAAACACTGAATGGTTAAGTAAAGACTAAAGTGGCTCAACAACTCTCTCAGGTCAGTGCAGACCCTCACCTCTGACGTAAACATCAGCGAAGTTAGACTGGAGAGTTCCGACCCCGGTGTACGCGACACTGCACTGGTACTGGTCCTGTGTGTTTAGAAGTTAGAAATATCTTAATAATTTAACACATGTATCAGATCAAAACTGAAGTTTTAAATGAATATTATTTAACCAAATTCAGTAAACATACCAAAAATAAAGGAAATTATCTAAAAATACCTGTGTGTTGGTAACCGTATTGTAGGACAGAGATCCTATAGTCAGGGTACTGGCTCCGTTTGTGTTTGTTACTGTGATTCCACTTGTAGTGCCAGCTGTAGGGATGTTATTATTATATGACTGTTCCAATACGAATAGTTGCCAAGACGTCTGACATTTATACTTCTATAACAGTGAATTACGAACCTTGTTGAAATGTGCTACGTTTGAATCTGAAAAAAAAACATTAATCTCTATAACATGTATTATGAGTAACCTGAGAAAGTAGTACCAGCAGCATTGATCCAGGTAAAGGTGGTGGGGAGGGAGGAGTAGTAGCTCGCTCCACAGGTCAGGGTTAGAGCATCTCCGGAGAAACCGATGGACGTCACTGGCTGTGTCAGCACCTCTGCAAATGAAATTGTTAATAACAATGTAACTAGATTGAATACATTTTCTACAAAAAATATATCCACCTGTAAACACTTGCAATTTTCTTGATTCCTAAGTTAAGGGACGGGGGTGTTAGGATTTTTAAATTAGTAAAAGATAAATCATGCAACGTACGGAGTAGATTAGGAGATTTAGCGTCTGCCTTCAAGACTCCAGCACCAATGCTGGAGAAGTCAGCCTGACAGAGGAAGGTTTTCCCGGTCAGCAGAGAGACTGAGTAGGTGGTAGTGGCCTGGTACTCGGAGCTGGAGATCTCTGATAGCGTGGTCGTTTCTATAGCTGTGGGTGGGAGAGTGGTGAGTGAGGAAGAAGAAGAAGACGATTTACACAAGTATTTTGAAAGCTCCTGCTTATAAATATTTCGTATCACTTATATGTTTATATGTTTTGAACAGACCCCCTCCAAATGAGGTTTGTCTGTCTTTTTAAACAAGAGAATTTTAATAATCAAGTTTTAGTTAGATGAATTACAATTTACAAGTGATAACATATTCATTTTGGTATTTACTTGTAGAGGAACCACCAGAGTCCAGGTAAGTAAAAGTTGCAGAGTTTGTGCTGGGCTTAGAGGACAAAACGCACGTCAAAGTTACTGTTGCTGCGTTGGATGTGTAGTAGATATCCGACAAGGACACCTCTGAAGAGAAGAGGTGTTTATGTTTCTTTATTTTAGAATTAATCTTTTGAAACAAATCATATATCAGTAAAGTTTTAGAGTGAATCGAGAAGAATATTTATTCGTTTTTTGACGTTCTAACGCCCAACTCTAACAAAGGTTTTGGGTTGACAGCTATTTCATATTTGCTCAATACGTTACAGAAAACATCTTATATTTAATCTTCATCATACTCTGTTTCTACAGTTTCATAAGGTATACCACAATTTCCAATATAATAATACGTTACCTATAGGTTGGACGAGAACAGGGTCTGTTTCTTTTTCTGAGTTATCAGAGAACTTGGCTTTACACACATAGCTGCCTTTAGAGAAGCTAGTCACGTACTCCACTACCAGCAGAGATTGCTGTGGGAGGATAATTTTGTTTTCAAAGTGATGTGGACTGGTGGACTATGTTTTTTTTGACAGCGAAATCAAATAAAGTTGGCCATAACAAATATGATGTTGAACAATCAAATTGTACCTTTGTGAAAGTTAATGGATCATAATTTGATTGAATCTCAAATACAGCAGAAGCAGAAACCACCAAAGCATCGTCCTTGAACCAGGTGATGGAGTCAGGTTCATCACCGGACACCACACAGGTCAAAGTCAGTCCCTCTCCTGTCCTTACTGCTACAGCCTCGGGTTCCGTCATGAATCCTGGCAATCAAATGGTTAAGTATTGCAGTTAACATAATAACAACATAACGTTTCCCAAATAGCTCCGTAAAATTCAATCAAAAGTATTACAACGATACCATAGTTCAAGATATCCCTATCAATTATAAACCCAAAGAAATGTCCTCACCTCGATAGAAGAGATCAGCCTTGTCACTGGTGAAGGACTCCCCAGTCTGATAGTCTATTTGACAGTAGACCTGCAGGTTCTCCACAGAGGAAGTAGAAGTGTAGGTGAAGGTGTGGGTGCGGTCCTCACCACCGGAGCCAACAGATGCTGTAGTGGTGACGGGACTGTTGCTTGATAGGGGTATCTGACAAGGAGATTACTGAGTTAGATCACACCATTTTATATAGAGTACAATAACGCAAGAAGTTAAACAACCCAAATTTAGTTTTATTTATAGGAAGGTAACGATGCCAAATATAGATATAGTCTTTGTTTAATACGAAATAATGGGTTTTTTGTACCTTCTCCGTGATCCACGAGATTTGGCTCAGTTGGCTGCTGGTCGAGGTTTTGCAGGTGAATGTCACTGTTCCTGCGGCTGTCACGTAAACATCAGCAGGGTGCTGAATCAAGCCCAGACCTGTGATAGTATGTGTTAAGATTGTGTGAAAAGAATAAATCCATTTGAAGTTTACATAATTGTGCTGATGTTACTCCCACGTGACAGTATACAGCTTATTTTCGAGCGAATGCACCATTAATCATTGTATTCCAAAAATCTTATTCTTACTATCACGGTTTTACAATTAGATTATGATGATTTCATTAACTAACTGGAGGTGGTGATAGTGGAGACAGTTGAGTAATAAGTCTCGACATCACTCCAGATTGCTCTACATTTGTAGCTCCCAGCGTCGTTTACTTGGACACTGGAGAACACCGCTGTTGATGTCGTCTTCTTCGTTTCACTGAGCAAAAAGTAACTTTTAATAGAACAGGATCCAATGTTGATTAACTTTAACTGAAGTACTCCTCAGAGTAAAGAAAAATAAAATAAAACAGCATCTATTTTAATCGACTAAATCTGTGAAAGGTAGCAAAGTTTAGCAAAGTTTGAAAGATCCATGACAAACCTATCGTAAGACGGACTGGTAACACTGGTAGTATAAAGCTGGTCATCCTTCAACCAACTCAGGGAGGATGGCTGAGAATCTGCTCTAGCGACACAGGTCAGTGTCATGCTCTTATCCACAATTCCCAGAGTAGACACGGGGTTGACAGAGAATCCTGGTGAGATATTTCGGTTCATATTGTTAAATTAATAAAAGTTTTTGAAGCAGTCCTCATCGCATATCCTTGCACAATGCATATAAACTGAGAGGTTCCGAAAAGTTATGCTTGATAATTCATATCCCATAAAATTACTACTCAAAAACTGATTTCAGGAAAAAAAATACTTCAATGGAATCAAACGTTTCGATTTCAGCCAAAGCTATAATATCTGGTTTCTCGAACTCACCATACACAGTAACCTGAGTGTACTCTGTCTCCAAAGATCCACCCAGGAAGTTGTCACTAGCCCCGTAGGTTACTTCGTAGAAGTAGTTACCCGCATCTCCGAACGCTATTACAGGCACAGTCATGGTGGACTGGTAGAGGTTTCCTACAGTGGTTGTAACTATGTTGTCGGTTACCTGTTGGAGAGGTGTTCGTGGGTAATCTAGTGCTAACATTGGTTAACAGCACGTAATCTAGTGCTAACATTGGTTAACAGCACGTAATCTAGTGCTAACATTGGTTAACAGCACGTAATCTAGTGCTAACATTGGTTAACAGCATGTAATCTAGTGCTAACATTGGTTAACAGCACGTAATCTAGTGCTAACATTGGTTAACAGCACGTCATCTAGTGCTAACATTGGTTAACAGCACGTAAACGTTAGCATGGAGTTGGCCGGCGACACACGTTTTTAAACACGTAACTCTGAAAATCTAGAGTAAACATACATAACCTCCCATGCTTGCCCTACCCTACATTCCTGCTTCAACTTTACAAGAAGCAGGATCTACAGACAGTATGATACTGTATACATTGTGCATGATTTGTAAACTTTACACCTTGTCGTACACTAACTTTACGTTACTGACCTGAGTGAAGGACTTGAACCAGTTGATAGTGATTGTCTCCCCAGTGGAAACAGGAGCTGAACCAGCCAGAGAGATTGAAGATCCCAGCTCCACGGAAATAGAGGGTAAGGCGGTAGGCTCTGAAACGATAATATGTTAAAAGTGAGTAAAATACTAATCGCGGGCAATGCGGCTGGTTGTTTTTTTTTTGCCGAGTTAAACAGCATTGCATTCATTTCCACACTGACACATTAAAATTCAGGAATTTAAAAACATGTAACAAGATAATCTATATTATAGGTGAATAAAGAATAGTTATTTTTTTCTTCTGAATGGCTCTGATAAATTTACTGTTCAAACACGTGGCGGCCCTGAGAGCCAATCAAAAGCAAGATAAGATGACAACCTAATATCATTAGAGGTCATTCATAAAAGTAATTATATACTCGAGTAGATACTCATAATCCGAGACTGACTTCGAGTGAGTCAAAAATTAGGAATTCATAAACGCAATCCAGGCTCACCGATTCAGACGAATAGCTCGAATTAGTGGCTTATTGGCTTACTTTCTGTAAGTCTCGGTCCACTGGCTAACTTTTTCGACTCAGTGGCTCAAACTTTCGGACTATCAACTAAGCATAATAGAAGGGAAAAACGCAAAAAGTAAGGATACTGAAGCCGACAACCAGTTTGTTTTTCTGTAAACGGAAGAGATAAAATAAGTTAAATCAGAGTTTAAAGCACAGACGCTGATAAACAGAACAGAAAGGAAGAGCATATTGCCAAGGGATAAAAACGGAAATGGGACTTTGCTATTTTACAAAACTGGTAGGGGCTTCGATCACGTGATAAGCTGACCAATCACGTGATGTTCCTCCTGTCACGTGACGCTAGGCCTACCAATCACACGATTCGCGTGCTGCTTATCTTTTGTTATGATTTCTTATCTTATAGGAGATAAACTCCGTCGTACGGGAAGGTTCCCGATCAGTATCGAGTTGGATAACCACGTGACATCTTATCGGCCAATCAGAATCGAGTACGATAATTATAAATATAAGGACGTTTGCCACGAAATTGTCGATGACGATGATTTATCTTGCACTATCTGGCTCAGTTTGCGCCAATAATAATCCTTTAATTGGTAGATTTGACAATACAAAAGCATAATGTATACATAATGATTAATGGGCACAGTTTTAAAAACTTTGATAATAACAAAAATCAACAGCAGCTTTTTTAAACAAGATACGAAAGCATATCTGCATGGTCCATAACCTTTTAAGCCCCGTGACCCACTGAATAATCACTTTAACTCTTTAACTTTAACTTCGATAATTATCATGATTATAAATCTAGTGAGAGTTAGTGGTGGTGGGGTTTCAATATCTCCTCTTGAAAAATCAAGCTTTCCCACAATTTATAAAAGCCGAGGTAACAAAATTTTCGTTGAAGATCCCAAGAATATTGATCACAATGTAAATCAGCAATATGCCTAACACTTACGGTAAACAGTCATGGTAACAGTACTAGAATCCACAGTGACCCCTCCCAGTGTAGCTCTGCAAAACAGTTGGGCCTGATCATCACTAGCGGTTACTTGGGACAGGGAGAGCACACTGGTTGTCAGAAAGTTGGAGAAGGTCAGGGTGTTTTGGTTCTCGTTCACGGTGGAGCCTCCAGCTGTCAATGCAACGTTGTTCTTGTACCACCTGTGTGTGTATGTTAGTTAAACTTGTCATAAGACGGAGATAAATCGATGTGCAACTATTTTGATGTTATCAGATAAATATATTTATATAGCAACTACCACTATAATTGGGGAAAATGTTTCTTATCAGATTAAATAGCACAGTTCGCAAGTTCTATTCTATTATTTTATGTTGCTTACAACCTATCAGTATCTTTTTATAGTAAAATACTGAGGTACTTACGTGACGGCTGTCTGAACTTCGTTTTTATAAACACAAGTCAACTTAGCATCATTGTCCTTTACCGCGTTCAGATCCCTCGGATTGGTGAATACTCCTGAAAATGAACAATGTTGATGATTTGCTTTACTGGTGGAGGAAATTGTGTGGTCAAATAGAGATTTCATTTAATTCATTATCACTTTTTCACCTTGTTCATTTTATCATATGCGCTTACGATTATCCTATGATAAATATGGGGATCAGGCGACTTAAAACCTATAAATATTAGCCCGATTTTAATCCCCTCCTCGTGATCAATAACGGTATGTGACACTCTCCTTGTCTGCATATAACAAGAGCTATTATTACCGATGACATCGTTCATTCCACTAATTAAAACCGCTTATATTTGCCAGACCGTACGAGGTTACATAGACAATAAAATTGTCAAAAAATACCAAATACTGAGTTAAAATCCCAATCTTGTGACGTTTTATCATGCTCGACGACACACTATCGTCATCGTCAAGCTTGCAGCAAACACAGTTGTTCATTACTTTTAATTTTATTCGGTCTTTGTTTTTCTTGGTAAGCAAATTTGATTCCAAGAAGGCATGCAATTATGAGTTTTACTAATAATATTTAAAACAATTGCTCCTCTAGCATGTACGGTCGACTGATTGCTGCCGAAACGAGCAAATTTATTAAATTTCATGCAGGTGAAGTAAAGCCATTGTATCAAAACTTTAAATGCCAAATTGATCATGGACGTCAGAATAGACAATTGTATTTCTTTTAAATTAAAAAATAGCCACATACAACTACCGGTACTTGAAAGTTAAGTAAAGACATTACATCGTTAACAATCGAACGATCTTGAATCATTACATGGCAAAAAAACTGTTCAATTCTCACCTCTGACAAAAAGTTCGAATTCGGTAGATTGGAGGTTTCCAGTAAGTCCAGAGTATGTGGCCTGGCACTTGTACTGGCCCTCGTCAGCAAACACTACTGAGCTGAACACTAACGTACTCGTTGATCTGAGGGAGGATGTTAACTAATTATATGGTAACTAATTAAATGAATGTTAACTAATTAGATGAATGTTATCTAATTAGATGGATTTCAACTAATTATATCGATGTTAACTAATTAAAAGGATGTTAACTAATTAGATGGATGTTAACTAATTAGATAAATGTTATCTAATTAGATGAATGTTAACTAATTAGATGAATGTTAACTTATTAGATCGATGTTCACTAATTAGATGGATGTTAACAAATTAGATGGATGTTAACAAATTAGATGGATGTTAACAAATTAGATGACTGTCAAGTACAAAGATTGTTTGTAACCAGCAGTAATGTCCAATGTGACTTGTAAACAATCCACCATGAGGATAAAACAAATAAGCACTTGTCAGGGTAAGAGCCAGATTGTTTAAATTACAATAAGACAACACCGTATTATTTCTACTAACACTAGATTGTCATCGTCGTTACTCTGGGTGGCACTCTGAGTTGCGAGATCAGCGCCCTTGTACCAAACTATGGTAGGCGGCGAGTTAGAGTAGTTGATACTGCAGGTTACTTTTACTTCGGTGTTAGCGTTAACTTGGGTTGTCGTCTCCGGTAGAGTGATGAACGCTGAAACAAGGTACAAATTATTTAAAATCTCCTAACTTAGAAAAGAATTTTCTTTCTAAAATTGTGGTATGCTTTTGTCGGTTGATGAAGAAATAAGTTTTATCAAGACCGTACCATATCTGCGAGGGTTATTTGAGTTGATACAGCGTGAAGTATATTTGTCCAGAAAGCATCACACGAGTACAGTGTGAAGTCCGACTCCTGGAGATTCTCTAGCACCAGAGTGCTGGTGGTGAGACCTGATTCCAGATCAAATGTGTCAGTAGACACCACGTTCACCAGGTCTTTCTCTCTTAAGAAGTTAACCTGGAGTGGAAATAGTTAAGAAATAAAAGCCTCGGAATGTTACACTAACGAGAAGAAATTACTGATTAGTATTCAGATATTACAAGAATTTATGAGCATAAAGAACTGGTAATCTATTATATCTAGATAGCGCCAGAGTATTTGTGGGTGACAGTCGACAGATTCCACTAAAATTTATAGAATTGATTGATCATGAGTGTAAACTGTACATCTAACTATTAAAGTACTTACCAAGTTAGGCTGCTCCCCAGCGTAGATCTTACAGGTGAGCGTCGTGGTTCCACCGACAAAACTTTGTCCAACAACCATCAGCGAATCTAAAGCTAAGAGTATGAAGTCGAGGTTTTTGGTGATAGAACATTTGACACGACTTGGTTGGGAACGCTGGTGTTCCCACCCAAGTCTTGTCACATCTCGGGGTTCTGCTCGACCGTACGTGATTCATTTAAAACGGTTAAATTATAGAGGGGTAAGGGAAGAAAAATTGATGAAGGCACACAATCATGTCTCAAAGTTCACAACCTAACACAAGGGAAAATAAAAAAGACTCACAGTATATCTCAAGATTCCCAGTAACACTGTCCACCACAGTACCACTATCATAAGTCACCTTACAGTTGTAATTCCCCTTATCAGCAAGTTCGAGCGAGGTGATGGCCAAGTTCCCCGAGTCTCACCCTCGACAATCTCCACACGCTTGGTGTGCTTGGAAGAGTCTGATACCTCTGAAGACTCGTGATACCACTGAACAGTGCTTGGCACCGGACCACTGATGACACAGGTCAGAGTGGCCTCATTGTCCAAAACTCCTACCACTGTGCCCGGACTTGTTTTGATGCCTGAGGTGATCGGGGTTAGTGGTAGATTGTGGAGAGGAGACTAAGGGCCACCATTGAGTAGCAATTAAGGATATCGCAATATTTCCTACACAGACCAGTATCTGCATTCTGCAAACCCTACTATCTACCATATTTATCTGATCTATCATATCTAAGGGGGGAAAAGATAGATATAGCTTGATCTTTACCGTAAACAAGAAGGTAAGCATTAGCGCTACTGATAACAGTGTTATCAGCGTAAGTTGCTTTGCAGTAGAACCCTCCTTCAGAGCTTGTCTGTACTGTCATTTGGATAAACTTGGAAGTGCCTGTTGGGTCGCCTGGGAATATATATGATAAGATAAAAAATAATACTTCATTAGAATCACATGTTCAGAAATTTAATTGTCATACTTTCTGTTTCATAGGAAGTCTTACGTTGCTCTATTGATCTAAATCAGGGCTTTAATGAAAAAATATGCTCTAGGTAATGAAAAATACTCCATAACTGATGGATAAAGCTGAAATATGATAAACATTATCTCAGTTATCTTACCAAGGAAAGTGGTGACTCCCTCTGTTAGCTCCACATCAGTATCCCCCTTATACCAGCGAATATGGGTTACTAGGTTGATCGAGGGAGAAAGTACTGTACAGGACATCGTTACTGTGACTCCCACATTTACAGTTTGGGAAGTGGGTGGGGTGTCTATTCCTATTGCTAGAGATGGAGAGAGAGAGGGTTAGAGGAGTCGTAAAATGATTCAGTTGATATAGCTTACTTCATATATTGATGGAAATATGACGTTCGTTTCGTTGATAGTAGAGTATATAATTAAAGCACTTTGGCATCTCTGGTCAATGGTCTGTAAACCATTTCTACCGCCCTGTTCTCTAAACTATGTTTTACAGTTGTATTCCATAGATTGTACTCACATTGGACAGTAATGGAAGCAACTCCGGTGACCTTTACCCCGTTATACAGTGCAGTGCACGTGTAAGGTGTATCAGAATTAACAGATCCGATAGTCAGTGTAGAGGTTGTGTGTTTACTGAAACATTAGATAGTTAATAATCCTCAATCCTCCGCAGAACATTCTGTGTTTTGCACATGTCTTTCTTGTGTTTTGATATGTGAAAATAATTCAACTTTACAAGAAACAGGCCACTCTCGACTTCGTGTAATTTCTTATTTCTGCACATTTCTGTGAGCAAGCATGTACATGCAGCGGTTCTTAAAAGTGATACTAGAACATTCAAGAAAGTTTTTATTCCTCTCTGCATATCACAGGGGCCACTTCATGGCTGGGCCACAGAACAACTGCTTACAAAGTTTTTATAGAATTCACCACATTAAATTCAGTACAAGAAACTATATTGTTTTTGAAATGCTAGCGAAACGGTTCGCAGAAGAATATCTACTTATCTAAATAGTATCTAAATAGTACGACCTAACTCTTCATTTGAACGAGATAGCGCTCCCAGTACTTCCACAGTCACACTGTGGAAGAGACATGTAGTTGAAGGGTGAAATATAAAATTAAGATTTTCAACCATCAATACCTAACAGAGTTGAAGGAAACGGCGGCTCCAGAGATATCAGAGTCCAGGGTGGTGCTCCAAGTGATGGTGGCCTGTTGAGCTGAGGATGCTACACAGGTCAGGGTTACTGACCTCCCCGTCACGATTGTTTTTGATTCCGGTGCATCGTACATCGCTGATGTGGGGTTCTCTCGTTATTTTAAGGGAGTAAAATTGGAAAATATTGAGGTTAAACGTTTTTAAATCTCATTTGATGGTAGTTGGCAAAGGAGCGAAGATAGGTACACTAACAGAAAAGTACAGTTAATGAAGATGACTCACTGATAGTGGACACAGAAACGGAGCTGACTAGAAGGTTATCAGAAAAGTCGCTGTAGGATACTGTACAAATGTAGGAGTCCACCAGAGCAGTGGGGGTCAGGGTCAGGTAACTGTACCGGATGTTGTTAGAAGTACTGTAAGTTACAAACTCGCTGTATCCAGTGTTTCCTTCGTCTGAGAGGGGGGTTTGGTTAGAGGTTAGAGGTTGGGTAAAGGTTATCATAACTAGTATGAAAATATCTGTTGTAAATATCTGTGCAATACCGTGTTCCGGTGTTCGGTCTCCCGTCAGATTTTACAGACGGGAGCAATAATTTATTTGAGTTTATTTTATACGTTATAATTGCTGTACTCTGTAAAGTTTGAAAAGTATTTTTTTTAACGAGAGGAGGACGAGCTGACAATATATTAGGAAGAAAAACAGGAGCTGTTACTGACCATCAGCCCAAGCAATAGTAGGAAGGTAGTTGAGTTGAGAAGGAGCGTCAGCTCCACACGTCAGTATGATCTGACTTCCTCCTATCACATACACAGGACTGGTGTTGAACACAGATTCTAGTAGAAAGAGAGAGATGGATGTGGAGGGGGTAGTTACACTGTTGATGGACGCGCTGCACGTGTACACTCCTTCGTTAGATGTACTGAAACTCCTGTAAAGGGGGACAGGAGGTAAACAGCCAATGTTGCAATGGTTTAACTTCTTTACGGCCTTAAAAATAGCTAAAAACGGGCTTTAAAAGGTTAAAGAAAGCTTAAATTGACTCACGCAAGACTGTAGGTGCATGTGTGGACGTTGTTGCTGCTGGTGAATGTACCACCAGACACCACTACATTGCCGTCTTTGTTCCAGACACAGTTACTTGGTGTGTACTCTGAGGGAGATATCGTGTGGTCAGTTTTTATTTTCACCTTTGGCACTTTCACTTTCACTTTCACCTTTAGCACTTATTTATACGATAGCTGTTTGACCAGCAGCCTGATAGTAGATAAAAGGGAAACTTTAGGCCTAGCGTACATCTCCAGTCTCCACCTTGGATTTATTTTTCAGGTCTTTTTAGAAAACATTCAATTAAATGCCTAATAATGAACAAGGGAAAACACTAACCTGAAGAAACTTCACATGTGATCGTTGCGTCGTATCCCTTCACTATTTGAGTGTACTGAGTTGTCGCCTCCACCTCTGAAATTTTTTAAAAATATCATACTAAAAGATTGAAAGCAGAGTGAATCTTTAAGTTTATTATGAATAATATATTCTACACAAGTATAAAAAGAACATGCAAGCTAAAGAAATATCAAAACAACCCCATTCATCTCAAATAATTGAAAGTAAACTAACTTGAACATGAGACGATCTTCTCACACTCGTAGCTGACAATGTTCTGGTTGTTGGAAGAGTAACCTGTGTTACAGTTAACAACCACTGCCCCGTTCTGCGCTACAAACGTACCGGATTGCGGGCTGGGTGTACCGGCAAACACTGTCGGCACCGTGCATATCACTGCAAAATCATAACTGTTATTAATGCTTCATCAGATGAAAATTATGCAAAACCGAAATCCTGATTTTTGGTGTGAAGGAAGGCTTTTTAAAGTTTTGTAAAATTACTAAAATTGACCAGATTACCATACATATCATGGCCAAACAGTCCTAAATTTTGAATCCTACAAACCGATGCAAAGTGAGGCAGAGGTGGAAGCAGTGTTAATAGTGCTGAGTCCTGTGCCACAAGGGGTGCATTCAGTAGCACCCTCTCTGTCTGAATATGTGCCTCGAGCACAATCCACACAACTGTCCTCTAATGCGTACGTACCCGTGGCGCATGCCACTGTAAAGGAGGTTCAAGATTAGAATCTCTTATTTATTTAATGTTTTTTATAGTTAATTGTTTTGCAATAGCAAATAAGTGCCGCTCAAAGATGAAATTTTAAATCAAATACCTTGAATGGTCACGATAAAAATGTATTAAGTATTCTGCAGTTAATTTTTTCAAAGGTTAAACGTATCAACTACTATAGATCTACAGGTGAATTGATGCACATACCACACGTAGTCCCATCAGACGATGCGACCTGTCCTTCTCCACAGATCACAGCCTCGTTTTCACTCGACGGGTCCCCTCCGTCCAGACTAAAGTCACTGGTGACTCCTGGGTGAGCACATTATTAGCTTAGGCCTTAGATTGTCTATCTTTTGTGGGTGTTGGTACGTTTCACTAAGTTTTTATACTGGTTTAATCATATTTAAATGATGTATATATATGAACTAGGCTGCTCTGTCAAGCGTTAATAATGTTTTCAATTTTCATTCATAAATTGGAAAATGGAACATGATTAAAATTAAAATGGATCTTACCATTTAGTAAAAGTACCACAGAAAACCACTGTAATACTCTCATACGTTTAATGATGCAAACACGTTGTTTGATATTAGGTCAACACCTAACACATTAAGTAGGAAAGTGTTAATAAAGTGATAATATATTAAATGTTAATAATATAATTATAGTTTAATATAAAGTAACTAACGATGGAGAAACAGCAAGAGTGCAATATAGGTAAAGCTGGGACTAAAAAGTAAAGATCTGTCCAAAGGTTGTAGAAAGCAGCAAATGTTTCTAACTTTCAATTTAATGACAAGCAGCAAAAAAACGCCGTTGAAAATAACAAGCTTCAATCCTTATACTGGCGCGATCGTTATAAGTTTAATGTCAAACCTAATCAGCTATCATCAAGCAGCAAGCATGTAGAATATCAAGCAAAATCCGGAAAGCAAAAGTGCGACACTATAAATATTATCGGAGCTAACAACATTGGCGGTTAACCAGGGTTTGGCAACCTCGTGCACTTCATACCGCTGAATCTATAACCCATAGATCATGCTGTGATTGGTTCAAAGTTTTTAAGCAAAGTTTTTAAGCAAGATACATCTCTCTGGTGAAGGTCTCGGGTGTACCGAGCTCTATAAACGGTTCAGTGTATTTCAGAACGTACTAAGATACAGGGTATATGAGCAATAAAGCAATATGAAGTAAGAGGATCATTACAATTGTACTTAAATTATTTGTTATGCAGCGGTGTTGAAAGTATTTTAAACGTTTATCATCATGCCGCTATACAAATATTAATCCAAGAATGCGATCGATATGAGAAGTGCATTAGGAATTATTGAAAAAAATAGTGACTTCACTGTAGTACTACCTAACTGTAGAACTGGACGTGCTTTTAGGCTCTTCTAGTCCCTGTCTGCAAGTGTAGTAATGCTTTTATGAAATTAGAAGATGTGTGCATGCGCTGAGCTCTAAAAAAGAGTGTCTGCCTTGTTCAATAAAGCGTTTCTATTTTGGTTTTAAACTTCGACTTCTTACGATTGCATATTAATTTGACCTAGATAGCTATCATAGTCCCTGACATCACTCATCAGTTACCAGTAATGCTTCAGATGGCATCGCGCTTCACCTTGTCCAGAGAACCGAGACAGCTTGTATGAAGTAAAACATGGACAAAAACGGGCGCAAACAAGCAGAAATGAAAAATTAGGACTAGCGGTATAGTAGTGAGTGGGATCTACGAAATCGCTTATCTATCTAAGATACCATTTTATACAATAAACAACTTCACGCTCGCTAAATGTATACATTCCTGGAGCGCGCTTTTTTCTCAAGCCTAACGCGAGTCACGGCGTCGAGTCACGTGATATCAGTTAAGCGTCGTTATGTTAAAGTACGGCCATGACAACAAAGCTTAAATGTAATGCGGTGCTGAGTGTGTGATAGGTCCACGGTAACATATCAGCGGCCACCATCACTGTCTATGCAGTCCTCTTCACGTTCCTAAAAATTCTCACCCCTATAACACGCACTGAACTATAATATCACTGTTAGCTTAATGCACCTGCTCTTTCTTCCGTGCGATGCAATTCACGTTATGTACTCTATAAAATTCCAATCAAATTGATTTTTTATCGTTTCCACTTCACGTCCTATTCACGGCTACTTGTCTACATGTTGAGATCTAATAGACTGCACTGAGTACACGTATCAAGTTCTCAGCGTAATCAGTGAACTGTGACATGGTCATATGATCGACTCGAGTGAGGGCAAATAGGACAAGATAAGATAAAACGATTGAGAATATAGGTGTACTAATAGTATTAGGGTCTAATAGAGGCGTAGTGTGGGCAGACCCTAATACGATGACAGAGCTTACGAACCTGCACGTACGGAGAGTGTGCGGCAAGCGAGTTACCATCTCAGTAGTTGTTAACAATGAAATGCACACCAACACCCGCACGACAAGCAGTTGCACAATAACAATGTCAAGTAACGATACTGATGCTGCTCCTGAGAAAAATAGCTATAACTTCAACTATCAATAGTATAAAACGCGATATATTCACCGTCCAAACAAGCAAGCAGCCTCGATCGCTTACGTTAGTAGTTTGGCTAGCTCGTCAAAAGAGAGTTGAGTTAGTAGAGCGTATTGTCGCATTGTGTTCTAGCTTGAGATGAAGCAATGATGTGCTTGTTTTCAGAGGGAGGTCACACACCTGTATTGAAAACGCACATCATACGGTGGGAGATCGTAAAAGATATTGATACATGTGGAGAGGTGCATAAATTATGATTATTAAAACTAATTACGATGTAATTGTAATCATTTTTAGGCTCGGCTGAACCATTTGACTGGGTAATCGTCAATTTAAGCATAACAAAATAAAAACAGCGGGAAATGATAATGTTTAAAATCAAAGGATGTCACCACATGAAAACGAACCAAGTTAATTTAATCATAATTTTTTAACTTTATGAGGTAAATCATCATCCATAACACGTGAAATAAAACATTTACATATTCATGCAAGTCAAGCTGTTCAATGAGAAAACCCTATCTATATGACGACCAGTCTGTGACGTCTGCCATAAAAAATAAAAACATCCACAGACGTAATTTTAATAACTTTTTAAAATCATGATGTTGTTGGCGGACGTGATAAAACTCAGATATATCCATATTTTACATAATTTTCACTTAACTGATCAAAGTCGTGAAATTAACGTTTGTTTTTATATTTGGTTTCCTATTAACAAACAAAATACCACATTTTTAAATATAAATAGTTTTCTTAATCTTATGAACATATCATAAAGTAACAAGGAGGTGCTACATAAACATATCCGGCCCTAGTGATTCACCCTATCACAGATCTTCAAAATCTTATGTCGCCGAGATGCTGTAAAGGTTTACAAGGCTCGTATGAAACATCACAGCAATGATGAACATCTCAAGCAGCTTGTTGAAAAACGTCACGATCTCTGGCAGCTGCCGAACATTAATCAGTCTCTTGATCGATCTACGAACTGAGGTCATCCATCATCCATATCATCCACCTGATTAATAGCATCAATAGAAGATTAGCTGTAATAAAATCTGCTGAAGCTGATCAGACAACGAACATAAATGATCCCAGAAAAGCAAAAACCTAAAAATTAATCAATTGTTTGTGTTCCTGATGAATAGGATTTTTTTTCTGTTGTCAGAGACTATCTCAAAAATGTATGTGATGAGCAACCTCTTCACTCTTGGGCCATTTAAGGTTGTATCATGTGCAGCTCTTAATGTCCTTTTTACTGAAGTTGAAACACATGCAAGCACCTCCTTTAAAATGAGAGTGTTAACGGTCATGATGGCATAGCTTACTGCTTAGTAGCACAGTATGTGAATACTACAACTGCAGCTTGGATGCGACTAATTGTAAAGCTACGCCACTACTTCTGCTGCTACAATTCAACTGCCACTTACCTGTATCACAAAAAGGGATTTGTAGAACATTCTCTGGTAATAAATTTCCTCCACAAGATCAGTTTGTAAAGCTCTCCGGGGATGATGATCCTATTTAATTTTTGGAGAGAGTAGAATTTAAACAAGTTTTGAATATATCATCTTTTTAAATCTAGAATCAAACCGCAATAAAGTTGTCTAGGCAGTATCCAATAAGCCCGACCAGCGGAGTTCCGAGTACAGTGAACCCTAACCCTGAGCACAACCATAACCAATACCATAACCCTAACTCTAACTGGAAGCCCCAAGTCCCAACCACATTCCACTTCGAGAGATTCGCGCGGAATTCCGCTGGTCTGGCTTTTTGGACAGTACTGTTGCCTGAAGAGAAAACAGATTTACACATGTTCTCTGGCAGTCCTAACCCTCCAGACCTGCATATCTTCTCTGAGACACTGACTCTCCATTCAATATCGCATTCACATTTCCTCTGCCATCCCCACATTTGTGTGAGTCAAAATCATAATCATCACTTCATTATCATTATGATATGCTGATCTATACAATGGAAACCATTACGATGCTAATGTGATTATGCTGATTGTATCCATTTCTCATTACCACAGATTCACAGAACAGAAAGATAGAAACAATTACAATTCATTCCTCTTCTAAATGTAAATTCTTGATGAGTTGATGAGATCGAGAATCTATTGGCTTTTCAACTTCAAGAAGGGCTGCAATTCCGCTCGGTACATTTTACTTCTGTGTTTAAGTAGCCATTTTTCTTACTCTTATGTTACAAATAGATGGGATGTAACATTGAACGTATTTAGGTGGAGTTTTCCCACATTAGCTGTCAACAAAGGTAGAGTACGCTGTTTCTCAAGCTACATAGGCGAGATATTCAACAATGTAGCTGATTCATAAATTAGTAGGTCAATACATTTGAAAATCGTTAAAATTTACCGTTCCATATCAAGTTGTCTGTCCAACTATAACTTTTGTATCTTTCTTGACAGCGTACAAGCAGTCAGTCCTCTTCAACCCACCAGAATGCAGGGCCCAGTTTGTAAATACAAACACAAACAGTAATCTAATTAGCATATTGACAGAGGAGCCGTGCGCAGGATATAAACCTGCACCACATAGCATTAGGTTTGTCACCAGGACGACAGCTCTTTTCACACTGTTTAGTTTTATGCTGTAAACACGTTTAAAATATTACTGATGTTGTGGGAACACCTATTTCTGTCTTCCTGTGAATCTTCTTCGTTAATTCCAGGTTTCACACTTCTATTGCTATTAATTGAGTAGTCCACGTATGAGGCTAATTTAACTTCTCTAAATTGATTTTCCCAGAGAAACGAATCCATAAAAACTTACATTAGCTAGTGAATTAAGGCTGTAATTATTTTACAATTTATGTATTTTCGTCACTTCATTTGGTTTTCTTTTGCTTTTCGATGATTATTTTCCTTTATTAGTTTATTCGGTAATTACAGCAAACTATCGGCTACAGCGCGGGGACTTTAACTTTTATATTGTATACTGATTACTACTGCACGTCATTCTCTAAAGTTTAATTGTCTTTAATTTTTGTTTGAAAGTTCACAGCGCTATTTTAAAATCAATGCAACACAGCAACATAGTTTCCTTGAAAAAACCCATTTTTGTATCACTCCAACTCAAACTAAAATTCAATGGTCAATATTGATTCCACACGACCGATGCCGGACCACGGGAGGACAGTCGAGAAGTGTTAGAAAGTAACTGAGTCGGTCACTGGTCAGCCCCGGTTCACACAGTCACCGGTGCTAATTAGAGAAGTGTGCCGGGGACGTGCTGTTAATTACACTTGGACCTGTGAACTTGCTACTTCACGACTGCTCTGTGATATCTGTTGTCTAGTTGATAGTCCCGATTTTTCTAGTGGTACGTTCACAATCACAACTTTAAAATAATTGATAAACGTTCACAATCATATTTTCAGATTAGGGTTGATGAGAACTGGTTGAAATGTAGATAACACCAGAATTTAGCCGTTTACACTTACAGGACATTTAACAATGATCCTCCTCCTTTTCCTTCTCTACATCTCTCCTCCTCTCCACTCTGCTAACACCTGCTACCGAGCCCAGCAAGCCTACCCCTTTGCCTCCTACTCTGTTCAGCACCACGTGTTCTGGCCCTCCCTCTGTCCGGGCGAGGTTTCCTGCTGCTCCTCTGCCACCTGAACAGGCCATGATTAAAAATGCCTGGGGATTCCCTGACCTGGTTTACTCTAACCTAGACCAGTATCTGGTGATGTTCGAGAATCACACCATGATGCCGCTCTTCTTTATACCAAAGGTGAGTGAGTTTATGTACTCTGACAAGAAGATGACTGAGATTTCCTACACTGATGTACTGTATGGAATAATCAGACTGGTCGTGGACGACCCTGGGAACTGTCTGGACGATGAACAAATTCAGAAAATCGCAGATAGATCACTTCCCCACGTCAAAAACATAACAAACAATTTCTACGCACTCCAATCCAACCTGGATGCTATATACGAGTCTCTGCAAGCGGTGAGGTTCCACAACATAACAAACCAGTGCTACGAGAAGGTGATACAGAATGGGATCCCAGTAGATCGGGAGCTGGGGAATGTAATGTGCCCGGTTTGTAACGATGAAACAGCCGCTGCTAGGACCTGTCACAGTACTTGTATGAACACTGTTAGGGGCTGTTTTGCTGATGTCACCAGTATCATTGCTCTTTATGAAGAGCTGCTAAAGGTTATGGACAGGCAGCATTTGGAGCTTAAGTTTATGATGATATCTAGGTATGGAGATCTCTCTAAGATAATCTTCTTCATAAAACAAGTCATGACAACAGACACTATTGATTGCGTGCGGAGGAACCCGTTCTCCGGAGGCTACAAAGACAGTGGGAACTATCTGAACAAGCACCCTAGAATGTACTCAGTTAACAAGGGTCTCTCCGGGATACTCTCCAGCCCTGATGAGCTTCCCTGCTCTCTCTCCAAAGACTCGACCACCAGCTGCTGGACTGGTTCACGAGCAGGTGTTAGCTACGATTCAGGGTTTGTGAGGCCATTTACAGAGCCTGGCCAGATGATGAACCCACAGCTGCCATACCAGAGAGAACCTTCCCCGTACATACTGGAAGCTAAGACTACTCTGGAGAACGCGTTACGGATGAGCCAGATGGCTAGAGACGGGGAGTTGTTGATGGCAGTCAGTAGTACGAAGGGGCATGGCTTCAACAAGAACGGCGCTGCTCAAAACACCTGTGTGTATAGGGGTGTATATTTTGTGGTATTGTTGGCATCCATCATGATCTCAAATATTGCAGAAATTTAAAATATTGTAAGCTAAAAGATCTTCTCTCGAAAGTTAGTTGAAGCGCTTATTCTTTGATTAGGACGTTATTCTGATGCTATCATTATTAGAGTAGCAGCCATCAATGAAAGACTTGAAAATAGATGGTATCACAATTTTTTCTTGCGTGCTATGAAATATTACTTTATTAACTTTGCAATTGCAGTACATTATGTATGATACTTAAAGTTGATGACTCGATTTTATTTAAATCTGTTTTTATCACCTTGGCATCAATAACAAGTACTGCACTGAAGTGCATACTAGTTCCATAACGAAAGTTGAATAGTTTCACGTAAAAAGTTACCACATCGTGTGCAGAAGTTTAAATATTTTCCAAATAATCAATGGCGGTTCAGACGCCATGCCGCATAAAAATACAAATGAAAAGCATGCCATGCACAATAATAAATTCGCTTGATCCGCTAAGGTAGTCTCAAGGTGATTAGAAGATCTGTAATAAATAGGATGATGATTAATCACTCTACAGTGTAGAGTGATTAATCATCATGATAAGAAGTAAGTACGGTACCCGGCTTATAAAACGTACGGTACATGCAACCTTTCCTAAAAGTACGTACCGCAATTATGTTTAATACCGGTGAAGAATTTTTAATCTTAGGTCCAGTTTCTTGTCAGTCAATGACTAAATTCGAATTCAAGGTATAAAACGAGTTTTCATATGAATAATAAATGAATGAATTAGAATAATCAGACGTCAGTTCACATGTCTAAATTGTCATGCGCTTATTGTAATAGTAATACGCAAAAACTAGCTTGTCGGCCCTCTGGATTTAGCCGTAACCTCCTTTGATTGTAAATGTATTCGTAATTGGTTGTACATATTGACGAAGAACTAACTGAACAGCTATGCCTATAGTGAGTTAAGACCGAATCTGCAAGAGTCATTTTAGGGCCTACGAAATAATTTCCACCGGTATTTTGTCGAGCTGAACATCTTGCACCCTTTGAACATCCTCGATTTGCTTAAATCTCAAAAATGGTGAGCTGGAGGCCAGTCTTACAGGTTCTAGTCGGACGTATCAGAGCTTTTTCAGCTAGTGAGTTATGTCCAATTAAGGCTTAAGAGTCTACAATTTTTCAACCCGTTCTTTAGCTGGGCCTGAACGACTATTCGAAACCCTAACCCTCTAATCTGATCCCAACCCTAACCCAATCCCTGACAAAAGCATATTATGCTGAAACTTTAACCCTAACGAGAAATTAGACCAACTTCCTGATACGGTCATATCACGTGATCAAGACAGTTTTTCGCCGATATGTCGCCAGGGGAGCATTTTAACCCTATGTCATGGGGGGTGATTCGGAATTAGCGTCCGAAAATTCATCTATCCTAGTTGGTTTAGAGAAATCTCGAAGATCGAGTGTAGAGTGATTTAGCACGCTCGTAATGAATATTCGGGTAAAGTATAAAACTAAATTTCAACAAGAAAGACTGATTGATCTTCCAATTCTTCCTTGCAACGGACTTGGCCCGGGCGAAATGGAGAAGTTGGCTGTGAGCCAAGAATACGCCTTGTTAAGAATACACTGAGTTTCTCATCTAATCATTACTCATGAAGTGTCTGAGTAAAAGAGTAGAAATTGAAGATGATAAAAACGTTTAAAGTTCCAGTAAAGGTCCATCTTGCTCGGCTGTTGATACTACGTTTCTCATTCAAACATAATTGCATAACCTAACGAAAAGATAATGAATTGTGACGTATTATTAGGAAATATTCACTCTCCGGAACCATGATCTACTAATGACGTGTGACAAATCCCGAGCGTCTTACTAATCCTGCTTTACAAAAATGTGTGTAGGTACTTGAGCTGCTTTAGAGTGGAGTTAATATTTGAGAGAACAATACCATCAATACCTTGTCTTCCGTGTGGTTAATGATTTCTCTGCTTTCCTAACTATCCGTTAATCATTAGAATTCCACGCTAAAGATGTAGGACTAGAGACCACACGGAACTGCACACCGCCTGCTCAGACTGCAGTCCCACCAGAAAAATCTGCAGATCGGATTTGATTCTCCGTCTCTCTCTCTCTCTCTCTCTGTGGTATTATGATTTTCTGTTCTGTGATTTCAATACATGTTTTGTGCTTGTTGACACTTTATGAGGGCTTTTTAGTATCAGTTTCATTGCTTTTTGGGTTCTATGAAACATTTTATTCCAACGATATTTTTAGTCAATTTACACAAATTTACATAATTTTAGACCTCCATCTTGTTTTGCCTAAGATTAACCGATACCCACAGGATGGCCGTTCTGACCAAGCCAATCTTGGTTAAGGTCCGGGCCGGCGGGTGCTACGCAGTGAATAGTGATGTCTTGGTGTCTGACAGTTCTGTGCTGGACGACCTCATCTCCAAACAGGGGAAACAAGATGTCGACATGACAGACTTTGAACCCGAAACAGTGATTCTTTTTCTGACCTTGCTTGAGAGCAAATCCATTGACACCATCAATGATCTACATTTCCTTGACCTTCTTAGACTCTCTGTGCAATTTCTTGTCCAGTGGTTGACAAAAGAATGCCACAAGCACTTTGCTACAAAGATACGTAACCAGGAACAAAGATGCCTGAATGGAGAATGGGAGTATAAGGAAATGGAGAAAATATGGGAGGAATGCAAGTTTATGGTGACAAAGTGGGGGGATCCTTACATGGTTTTTGTTGACTTGTTTGTCAAAACAGCTAAAGAATTGAATGGAAGCGGCCATCTAAAGTTCGTCGAAGAATTTGTCAAAAGAGATTTGACGCCTCTTGAAATAAACGTGATTCTAAGATCTGCTGCGATCTCTACCCTAGGCTTTCTGATGAAAGCACTTCTTGTAGATGTCGAGGGTAACAAACAGCTGACAGAAAAGTCGAGAATTTTGTTGGAGAATCTTAACATGACACTCTGCAAGATCCTTTGTCGTGTGGACTATAACAAGATGGTTGATGTTTTGGCATCTAGGTTTCTCAGCATGCCGCCCGAAGACATGAAGCTGGTTTTCGACGTCGTAAGAGATTCATCTAGTTTAGCGATCTCAAAAGATATTTCCCAAGAGAATGCGGTATTTGACTACAAGTGGATGCAAAACAGGTTCTTCCCAGAGAGTGGTCCTGTACCCATCACACAAGTAGCTGGAGATACTGAAATAAAGAGTGTAAACACTTTGGTGGACTATATTCTTCACATGCTGCTCGGATTCGAGGGTGACATACAGCAGCTCGATGGGATCGAAGACATTTGCAAGGAACTGGAAGAAATATGCTGTAAAAAGAATCTTAATCGAGCTCACAGGCCGTACATTCGCTCATCCATAAACCTCCTGAAGAATATAAACGTGGACATGGGGGACGGTCTACTGGAAAGCTACATCAGATTACTGAATCTGATTGAGTACAGCGAGATCCTATCTTCTGAATACGATAACGTTGAGGTTGGTTGCGGTGGTGAAAGCAGAGGTGTCTCCCATTTCTTGTTCGCCCATCCAGGTGTGAATAGGGAGTCTTGTGCTTGGAAAGGGACTAACTGTGGCTTCCTTCTTACGAAAGTTGAAACTAAGATTGAATCTGAGGTCGAATCTAAAGTCGAATCTAAAGTCGAATCTGAGATTGGAGCTAAAGTTGAATTTGCGATTGTACATGATGCTGAAGATCAGCCTGCAGACATTGAAAAAGTGGAAGTGACAATTAAGTTTATCCGGAGTGATGCATACATATGTAACCAAGAAGAGGAGGCAGTATTGGTTGAGGTCCCAGCCGTGGAGGAGGAAATCCCGTCGTCTGATAACGACATTCTCCGCAAGATGAGTGAGACTGTTGGAAGCTGGAAGGCGGCGCTAGGTGGTAAGC